ACCCCGCAGATCGGCAACCTCACCCTTGAGTGCCTCAACCTGCGCATGTGCGGCGTCCAGCTCACTCTGCAGGTCTCTTGCCACGGCTGTCTCAGCAGCTAGTCTGGCGCTGGCGCTGCTGCGGCTGTTGGTCGACAGCGCACTGCTGCTGCGCGGAATCGTGGCGGCCACAGTCCTTCCTGTGGCCGCTGCCGCTGTAGCCGTTAATGAGCGTGTACCTGTCGTTGGCCGGGTTGCGATGGTGGCTGTCGTCGATGCGCCGGGACGCTTGGCCGCAGTGCTGCTGCCGCCGGCAGAAGGGGCAGGCTTGGCGGCAGCGGCGGAGTTGGCACTGGCGCTGGCACTCCCCAACGGACGCTTGGTTGCTGCTGCTGCTGCTCCAGCACCAGTCGTGCTGCTGGGCCTCGCGCTCGCAGCTGTCGCGGTACGCGCAGCAGTAGTAGTGGCCGCCGTGGCGGGTTTGCGAGCGGCGGCAGATGCGCCTATCGAGCTGCTCGCGACGCTAGACCGCGGAGGGGCAGCAGAAGTCGTCTTGCGGACAGCGGCAGTGGTAGCAGGGGAAGCACCCGTGGTGGCAACCGAGGGACGGGAGGACGCAGCTGGCTTCCGGGCTGCTGCTGCCGCTGCCGCTGCGCTGGTGGAGGTGGCCGTGCTGAGCTTGCGGGCAGCGGAGGCGGCGCCAGTGCTAGTGGCACCCACAGTGGTGGTCCTAGTCCCTGCGACGCTTGGGCGCGCAGCAGAGCCTGCGGCTGTGCCTGTGAGGGGTCTGACGACTGGAGAGGAGGAAGGAGCGGCCGTGCTGCTGCGGCCTGTCGGTGCAGTTGTCTTGGGCTTGGCGGTGGCAGGAGCAGCGATCTTTGAAGCGGTGGCAACAGCAGCAGATCTACTCGGAGTCAAATCCGCAACAGGAGCAGCGCTGACAGGCGGCGAGCTGGGCGCCTCTGCCGCGGCGTGCGCTACCTGCTCTGCGGTGGGTGAGGCACCTGCAGCCGCCTCGATCGCTTGGCTATTTGCGTCAACTTCTGCATCTACCTGAGAAGAGGAGAAAGAGGGCTGCTTGGTGCTTTCGCCCTCGCCACCGTGTCCTTGCGCCCCGTCGTCCTCCACCTCTAGCTGCGGCTCTGGCTCGGTTGCGCCCTCAGCGGGCGGAGGCGGAGAGGCGGAGGTCTGTGGCTGCGGCTGTTCTTCGTTGTCAGCCATGGTCGTTGTGACACGGCACTCTGAGGGGGAAGGGAGGGAGGAATGATGGCTTTGGACCAGGTTACCGGACAGGGCGAGCCGGTGTTGCTCGTGTATGGGGTGTACACAGGAGGATGAATGCGGGTCGTGCTGGAAGAAAGCAAGTCTCTATATATGTGTTGCGTGTTGTCGACTGCTGTTGATGGTGCGCGCGCGTGTGTGGCGTGTGGCAGTAACCCTAACTCTGGGACATACTTACGTAAGCATCGATTTCGTGGCCCCCTCCTCTCTCTTCCTCAGACCCATCCTAATGGAATTGAATAGCGTGTAACAGCTATATCAGTGGGTAGGGTTCGGACCCCCAGGCTTGTTGGCTGGCTCGCCCTCTTGGCAACGGAGATCTCCTGCGCATGCTGATCCCTGGGACACTTCACAGCCTGGGACGACGCCGAAAACCTCGAGCCTGACTGTGAAGCCCAGCTCGGCGATCGATCCCGACGGTTGCCTCGGCTGCCGCTCTATTCCCTGCCGCTGGTGCCCACCCGCTCCCCCAGCGTCAGCCACTGCCCCCGCTCACCGCTGACACAGATAGGTACACGCAAGCTACGGTAGATCGGATAGAGACCGCCCCGCACATCCCCCGACCTGGACCCTTTTGCAGCCAGCTCCCGCCTGTAGCAGACGAGTGATCCTTTGCAATGTCCAGAGCGGCACTCAACGCTGCCGCGCTCCTCGCGCCACCTAAGTCAGATCCCGCGGCGGTCGCGAGACAAGCCAACAGCGCAGGTGATGCATCGTCGTCGCCCTCGTCGGCTGCAGGCGCGGAGGCAAACGCCATCCCGCAAGGCGACGAGGTGATCGAGGAGGCGATCACCGTCAACCAGCGCGCGCTCATCGACAAGATTCTCGCCCGCTACGCCGCCGAGTTCACCGTCTTTCGCGAGCTGCTGCAGAACGCTGACGACGCAGGCGCCGAGTGCTGCCAGCTGCGCTTCGACACTCGCGCTGATCTCGGACTAACAGAGGACCTTGAGCGTTCCTCGACCGGTGTCAACCGCAAGCAGCCCGACTTCAAGGCGCCGTTACATCACTGGACGTTCAAGAACGATGGCAAGGTCTTCGGCGCGGACGACTGGAGTAGACTGAGGGTAAGCAAATGAAGACTCGCATCTGCATGTAGGCATGAATGCGAGACGCGATGCTGAATCGATCCAATTCTCCCAGCGCATCGCCGAAGGTAATCCTGACCCCGACCGTATTGGCGCGTTTGGCGTCGGCTTCTACAGCCTTTTCTCCATCTGTGAAGAGCCGATCGTCTCTTCCGGCGACAGCCTCATGGGCTTCTTTTGGAAGGGCGATGCACTCTACACGCGGCGCGCCAAAAATCCCGCCTTCCGTTCAAGAACGGCGCCTCAGTCACATGGGCAATGGCAGAGGCACGAGCAAGGGCAGGATGCTGCTGACTCACCGCTGCCTGACGACCAGGCCGACTCGGACACGAACCCCTTCAACGGTCTGCCGTGGACGACGTTCCACATGCGCCTGCGCGAGCCGGCACCGCTGCCGGACACACCCATGGCTCTGTGCCGCTTCCTTGCGACGTCGCTGACGTTCACCGCGCGCGTCCGCCACGTTGAGCTGTACTGGAACGACGCTTTGTTGCTGCGAATCCGCAAGGCGCTCGCCCCGCCGCAGCCGATGCGCATGCCACCGCACCTCAGCGCTGTGAGTGCCGAGCGCACGATGCGCGTCGACACGCTCGGGGCCGCTTGCGTCAATATGCACGCGCGCGTCGCTCGCGCCGTGCTCGCAGACGACGAAGAGCGCCGCTCTGCCAAGGCGAGCCGCCTCGCTAGCCTCGCCAGTAAGCTGACCGGCGCCGGGCCCGGCGGCGCTGCTGCCGCCGCCGCCATGGCCAGCACGTCCGCTGCCGCTGCCGCCGGGTTCCTGGGCAGCGCACTCGGAGGGAGGAGCGGCAGTAGCGGTGGCAGCAGCATCAGTGGGTTCCTGAAGAGCGCCTTTGGTAGCGGTAACGGTAGCGGTAGTGGCGCAGTTGCCCAAGGGACCAAGAGCTCTTCGTCATCATCACAAAAGCCGTCAGCGGCAAAAGTACCATCTGCACCTACAAGCGACAAACAGAAGCTTCTGCCCAACGGCAACGGAGAAGTAGCTGCTGCTGCTGTTCATAATGAGGGGAGAGCGGCCTCTAGCGCTTCCGCTTCGGAAAAGGCCCACACCTCGCCCTTCGACCTCGTCGAGTCGTCCGTACATCTGCGCATCGCCACAGCGACCGTCATCGTCTCGGTGGACCGCGCCTTCGAACGTGAGATTGAGCGCAGCACCAAGAAGCCACCGCCGAAACGCACACAGCTGAGCCTGATCTTCACCGGCAAAGACGAGTACGACGCGTCATTCCAAGATACCCCTGACGGCAAGGTGGATGGCGCCGGGGGTGGTCTGAATAAACAAGCTAGCGGGGTGCGACAGATCTTCGATGGCCTCATGCCGCGCCTGAACGAGCTGGGAAACGTCTTCATCGGCTTCCGGACGCACCAGACCACCTCCTTCTCGGGCCACATCGCCGCACGCTTCATCCCGACCGTCGAGCGCGAGTCGATGGACTTTGTCGACCGCTACTGCGCCAAGTGGAACCTCGAGCTGCTCAGCATCGGCGGCTACGTTGCCCGCGCCGTCTACGAGGCTGAGCTCGCAGACATTGCGCAACTGTGGACCGAGGGGATCGGCACCGACACAAGCCCCGCGGACGGAAAGGACGACAAGAGCGCTGAGTGGCTGCTCGCGCGCGCGCTGCACATCATGCGTTTCTTCACCTTTCGCCCCTCATCACCGTCGTCACGCGTCCAGAAAACGCTCGAGGCGTGCTTCTTCTCCTGTGCGCGCCAGAGCACCATCACGCTCATGTCCACCGTCGGCCCCAAACACTCGGCCGCTGTGCGCTACCCGAACGCCGTGCTCGCGCAGTTCGTTAAGGATCTCCCGACGCTCCCGTTCGAGCACGTCGAGCAGGCCGCAGGATTCGTCGCGCAAGTGCGCAGCCGCGCGCTCGTGCAGGATATCATGATGGACGACGTCTTCACCGAGCTCACGCAACGCGCGCTTGCGCCGCTCGAGATGGTTGCATGCTTGCAGTGGTGGATCAGCGTCGCGGCACATCCCAGCTATGACGCCGGCCTACGTGCCCGGCTCGTGCAGAGCGCTATGTGCCGCATCCCACCGTCGAACGATGCCGCGGGCATGACAGAAACGATCCAACCGCTAATAAATGTGCGATACTGGCTCAACCCTGCGCGCATCCCTTCCGACGTCCCGCTTCCTCAGACCTGCCTTGCGTACGCCGTAACAAGCAATCTCAGCACGAACGAGCTGCTGCATGTCTTTGGGTGGCAAGAGCTGCCTGTCGACATTTGGGTGCAGCACATCATAAGCATCAGCAGTCATTCAGGCGCCGGTGGGAGCGCGCCGGACACGGACGTGTGCACGAATGCATCATTCTGTGAAAAGTTCTTTAGCATCCTCGCGCGTGCCTGGGGCTCCGTCTCGGCAGAGCGGCAGAAGATCATCGCCGACATGCTGTCCCGCGTCGCTTGCGTGCCGACCAAACAAGGAATTAAGCTGCCGAGCGATGCGTACTTCGCCAACGTGTCGCTTTTCGAGGACCTCCCAATTGTCGCATTCCCTGCCGCGACAGTCAAGGGCAACCTGGAGAAGCTCTTGACAGCTCTACAGGTGCGCAAGCACGTCGAGCTGCAGATGATCTTTGACCGTCTCATCTCCGCCGGCAACTGGTCGCATGTCGATCTGCTCGCGTACCTCGCAACCAACAAAGGCAGCTTGGCAACCCTGGAGAAAGACCGGCTCATCAAGACTGCTATGCTGCCGAAGGAAGGCGAGGTGGGGCCATCTGGTAAAGACGGCAAGCCAAAGATCGTCCGTTATTGTGCTTCCCAGCTTTACGAGCCCACGCTGGCGCACAAGGCCCTGGGCTTGCCTTTGCTCGACTGGCCAGGCAAGCCATGGCGATCAGGCTCAGACGAAGCCAAATTCGTCTTCGAGCTTGGACTGCAGCGGCATCCGCCGCTCGACGAGTTGCTCAAGCTCGCAGCTGATGAGAGTGACCAGCCGCGGAGGGAGAAGGCGCTCGAGTACCTCTTCGAGCGCTTCGACTCTGTCTATCGAAACATTTATAGCTTGAAGGTGGCCTCAGTGTTCTCCTTCGTCCCATGCACAGTGACCGACACGCTGACGCTCAAGACCAGCCCCCATCTTTGCACCCCAATCAACGCGTACACGAACGAGGGAGCAGCCATCCTAGGCTTCCCGGTTGTCAAACAGGACCTCCCTCCTGCTTGGTCAGAGAAACTGCAGCTCCGCAGAGATCCGCCTGCGGCTTTGCTCATGGCCAAGCTTGTGAATCAGCCGACCAAGGAACCGGACCTCGCACGCAAGATCTTCGAGTACCTCTCGACGTGCACCGAATTCACCCTGAGTGATTTCAGCGTCCTCGGTCAGGCCGAGTTCATCCCTGTCAAGCAGCGGATCCGAGGAGCAGAGGAGCATGAAGTCATTCTGGCTGCTCCAACGAGTTGCTATTTTGGCGGAGAGAGCGAGACCCCGCAGTTCAAAGACATCTTCCTCTACTGCGACTATGGTACGAAGGCTGGCGCCTTCCTGCGAAACTGTGGTGTCAGCAAGGAACCCAGCATCGAAGAGGTCGCGCAAAAGCTTGTGGCTGACCCCCAGAGGTTCTACACTATCCTCGGCGGCCCAGACGCGTACAAGACCATCCTTCGACAAATTGCTTCCAACTGGAATCGCATCCGCAGTCCTCTACGCTCGCAAATGAAGCGCTCGCCATTCTTACTTGGAGCCAAAGCTATGCCAGCGTCAACGACAAAGTCGACAAGTCTGATCGACATCGACGAGGACGATGACGCTGACGTGGACACAGGAACACTAGTCTATGACCTGAAGAGACCGGACGAAATCGTCATCGACGATGACGCTACCTCTCGTATGCTCTTCGCATCCAGTCTTTATTTTGCTCCGCATGAAGACCTGTTGGAGGAGAATCGTGAGTGGCGCGCAGTACAGTTCTGCTCGAGCGCCAGAACTGAAACCTGTTGCTTGTACATTTGCAGTCTACGGACAACTGGGCTCTCCCCGTCTCAGCAGACTGATCGAGGAGCGTTTCGCCACTGCGGGGCGAGTAATGACTGGCACCAACCTGGCGACCGAGGTGAAGACGCTCGTCCTTGAGCGTACACCGCTATTCCTCTTCGAACAAAAGTCGATTGGCCGAAGTGAAATCAGACACGATTCCGAATGGCTCAAGAAATTCCTCGATGTGGTGGAAGTCGATGGCGAGGGCCTGCGTCATACGCGAACGCTTCGATTCGGTCAGCTGCAAGAACAGAATGTACAGCGTGCATCAGCCATGACGGCCCTTAACAACGATCGCCTGGTACTCCACATAGCCTCCAACACAGAGATTGACTGGTTTGAGGTCGCATTCTCCCTCACTCGCCACCTGGTCGCCCGACAACACCTGCAAGAGGTGCTGCTTTACATGACACTGCTGTCGACGTCTCTGCGCAATCTGAAGAGGAGAGGGTATGTGGAGAAAGATCGTTGTGTTTAAGATCATTACTGACATAGTCTCTGTTCTATTCAATCACCAGTTTTCATGTGGACAAGATCTTGCAGCAACGAAAAGCCGATCGAGAGGCCGAGGAAGGCAAAATGCGAGAAGCGAAACAACATGAAGAGCTTGCCCGCCTAGCTGAGCCTACAGAGAAGGATTATCGCAAGTGGACAGGGGAGCTGACCTCCATGTTCCCTGATGCCGAGCCAGCGCATCTTGATGCGATCCTGCGCGCGCAGAAAGACAGCCATCTGCAAAACGCAACAAACACATTGCTGAATACACCCTACCCGCGGAAACCGGAAGGAATGATGCCCGGGCCGCAAGCGACGGCCCACGAGCGGGATTCGGACCACCAAGGCTTTTTGTCGTCATGGCGCAGCCGTTTTATGCAGTCTCGAAAGCCCAACGAGCCGTACTCTTCGCTTGCCGCTGGTACATCTTCCATCGAGCGCAGTGGTTCTGTACCTGGAGGTTGGGGAAGCGAAGGGTCTTTGAATGCAGTTGCTGCAGCTGGACGATCGCAAGGCGTGACATGCCCGCCACGACTACCGGCGCAGAGCGATGTGGTAACGCCAATGGCGAATATCAAGAACAACGTTATCAAGGCTGTGCAGGCTTCGCGACCGGACGCTTCTGAGAGCATCCAGTCCGAAGCGCAAGTGCAAGAAGTGCGAGAAGCAAGCAGCAGTTACTGCGACGTGACTGGTGTGGCGACAGATCTACGGCTCGCGGGCGAGATCGAAGGAATGAGGTTCTTCCTCAGTCCTGATCTGGAGCCCGCTCAGATGCTCTCTGAGAACGGCGAAGCGCTACAACGACTTATCAACACGGTCTACAAACCCATCGGCCGCATCTTCCGCCTTGACCCGCGTGCTTTGAATGTCTTCGCAGACACTTCTGGCCCCAACATTGCTTTCAACCGTGGCGGCACAATCTTCCTCAATTTCCGATACTACAAGGAGTGGCACGATGACCTCGTCAAGGAAGGAAAGCTTTCCGAACCACTGATCTCGACATACTTTTCTGTTGCGCATGAAATCGCGCACAATGTCGTGAGCGCACACAATGCAGAGCACGAATTCTACTTTTCATCGATCTCGGAGACGTTCCTCACAGCACTCATGGAATACATGGCCAGCGTGGCTGCCCAATAGATTCTCGAGCACTCCCAAACTCAATCTGGCCTTGAATCTCCGATGTAGCATACACAACAGCATACAAGTCTATTGGCAATTTGTCCAGAAGAAGCATGCCGACTACCAGAGAAGGAGTTGTGAGGTGATGGCATATCCAAGAGAAGCAGCATTTCACCCTGTGCTACCATTTGCCAGATTTTGGCGGTGATCAGTCGAAGGGGCCAATGGCATTTGGTTCGCTGCGATTTCGAAATGTGGCGTTCACTATATATTGGCGTACAGAGCATACCATATAGCAGGACGACGGCACCACCTCCATCTTGATCTGTCCAGATCCTTCCACTGCCATTCCAATCCTGTTCGGAAAGCATTGCACTGGCGTCAATCCGAAATTGATCAAATCCCGTGCCGCTGACCTGCCATCGATGAGATTGCTCCTACTCCTCTCCACGCTGGTATGGGTGGCCCTGGCTTCGGCTTCGGTGCCTACCCATGCCAATGCAACTGTCCCTCGATGGATGACGCTACCCAAGACACCTAAGCTGCCGCAGCCTTACCAGGAGGGTCGCGTGAAGCGACCCGACGGGACGTCCATCTGGTACGGCAAGTGGTTTGCCCAGCAAGACAGTGCACGCGGAAGGAAACGAGCCGCTGCTCACCCACCGCTGGTTTTCCTTCATGGCGGTCTTGGCGCTTCGACATGGCTGGGCCACCAGATTGAGCATTTCAAGCAAACCCGGAACGTCGTCGCAATTGATTCGCGTGGACAAGGACGCTCGACCTTCAATGATACCATCACGTATGATCTTATGACCGACGACGTCGTCGCAGTCCTCGATCATCTCAACGAACGGAATGCGTCATTTGCTGGGTGGTCTGATGGCGCCATGTGAGCTCTCCGACTATGCCAACCTGTTCAATCTCAATATTGACCTTGCTCTTGCCCCGTCCTCTCCAGCATAATCCTCGATATGCTTATGGTATGTGTCCTCTCTGTTCTAGCTGTAATTGCTAGGCTCCCAAACGCTGATGTGTCATTGCCAACTACACACCGTGCAGCGCCATCCATCTCGTTTGGAGCGAGGCTTTGCATTCGCTGCCAATTACGACATTGCAGGTACGCAGGATGTGACCAAGTCACCCGTCTTCACTGAATACCTGAAGCGCACAGAGAACATTTACAACCGTATCAACCCCTCAGCCGAGTACACAGGCCTGCAGAACAGCATCTTCGACATGTGGGCCCGTGAACCCAACGGGACGAAGGAAGACTTCACGTCTATTCCTTCGGCCGATGCTCGAAGAGTCTGGGTCGTAGACGCCGATCACGAAGAGGCGGTCAAGATCACGCAGCTTTACGATATGAGTGCATGGCTGCCCGATGCCGGTACGATAATTCTGCCTGCCGTGTCCCATTTTGCGTTCATGCAGGACCCCAAGTTCTTCAACCAAGCTCTTGAGGACTTGCTGCAATATCCTTTATAAGTTGCACCCCAGCATATGCGCTTACTCTGTTGCAGTCTCATATATTCTGCCACCTGTCAAAAGCTACCTGGTTGAAGTTTAGTGAGCACTCCCCAGAGTGACCGAATCGGATTATGAGGCACAATCTTTTGAGTGGATGGTTCTAGTTGAAATATGAAGATTATATGGTACACAAGGAGTACAAAGGTATAGTCTAGCACTGCGTAAAACGCCGAGCTCTCAAGATGGTCAAGGCGATTGTGTCCGCGGCGACAATTGCAACGTACTCGAGCCGGTATCAGTCGTTGCAACGTCCACGGCTTCAAGCACACTGATGCGCGCGGTCGCATCGTCTGCGCCATCGTTTCGATTCTCAGCACCCTGGATGTCCACACCGTGATCGTCGAACAAAACGGGGTCGGCATGATTTCCCGACCGATGATGTGAATTCAATAATACCTCGCCTCTTGGTGTGATGTTATACTCGATCGAACTCCCTTGTTGGGACGGTGAATCTAGCGGGTGCCATTGTTTGGTGTAGAAATGGCCCACGTCTGTGATATACGGATTCGTGACAACTCCACGCGTCTCTCGATATTTGATCAGTCGTCGCCGGTACTCTGTAAAAGAGAGTGGACAGGTATCAAGCAGAATAACCCATCAGCGAAGCAAGCTCAAGGCACGTGCGGGAGTAAGGCCAAAGCTTACCATCAGTCAAAAGATGTAATGCTACCATCGTCGCTAAGCATATGCCTGGTTGAATAGTCAAGCAATGATGCCCCTTGCGATCTTTCGATGCACAAGAAGACGTCAGCGTCGATCAGCCTAGGAAACGTACCGACGGGTCGGGCTCACAAATTGACCTGCCATATACGTCCTTGTGACTCTTGGCCAAGCGCGCAAGCGGCTGCTTGGTGACCCCGTTCCTAATTTCGCCCTCCTCTCTATCCACCGCGTACGTAAACTCGAGCTTCTCCGGCTCTCCCACGCCAGGCCCCGCGTCCGCTACTGCCGAATTGCGAAGGACAGCGGTGCCGTAGTAGTCCAGGTCGAACCGGTTGCAGTCTGCCAGGAGCTCCATCAAGGTGATGTTGTGCGATTCCCACGGAAGGCTGCTGGCGCAAGTATTGCTAGCGGGGGAACGCTCGTCGTCTTTGATGATTGAGCTGCCTTCGGCTGGGACCACGTAGTACCGGACGCGATGCACTTCGTATTGCAAAACGTGAACCTTTTTCAGGTAAAACAATGCTTCTCCTTCGGCGTTGGACATGCGGAGCGTCGAGCAACCGGTTGGGAAGCCGAGTGTCTTCTGCGTCTTGAAGCGTGTTACCTTGAAGTAGAGCTCGTTTGTGTGCACATCCCGCACCTCGACCAGAGGTAACCGGCCCGTTTGATTCTGCTTGATGATCACTGTGACCGGCGAGGCGTGCCGAGTGTACTCCTTCAGGATGCCGATCCTTTGCGGCGGTACAGGCTCTGTGAAAGGCGGCGCCGTTTGCAGCCGAGCTTGTTTGTTGCCCATCTCGACCTTGCACCTAACTCCAATCCTAGACGTCAGCTCGAACACAAAGATCCTCCTCGAGACATTCGCCACCCTTGGGGATTGAAGAGGCGAGAGATTTGGGAATGCAAGCCGCGGGTGAGTCGATGTGGGCTGCAGGAATCGACGCCCTCAGATATATCACAGCTAATCCTGCTCGGCCTACAGTCGTCTTCAGCGGGCGTGATTTGTTGTCGACGTGCTTGTTGGCGGTGCCCAAACTTGCCGCAAGTAAGCGATCGAAGGGGCCTGAGAACGTTTCAGTGCACCCTCGACGGCTTGGTAAGCACTAGGTGAAGCAGACTGCATTCAATGTATCAAGATGAGCCCAAGGTGTTTTATTATTATTTACAGACCAGAAAGCTTTATGTCCGACTGAGCAATAAATGACGTTCAAAGTCGGCGACGTCGAGGAGAATAAGATGGAAGATGATGAAAGGGTTATGTACATATACATACTACTGCGGATGTAGTTCCTGTACAAAACGTAGACCATGCCGCATGGTCCTTGATTTGTGCACCACACTCCATACAAACTCCAATTCTACCCTGGAGATTCGGAGAGTAAGGCATAACATGGAGAAGTGACCGCGTAAGAACAGCCCATTAACGAAAGCAGCGATCTCCGGCCGCCGGCGGGATAAACATTAGCTCACAGAAAGTCCTTGGCAGTGCGATGTTGTGGCTCGCAGATATGTAGTTGTACTGTAAATACACTTGTGTCTGTTCCCGTCCGGGTTGCTTATCGTCTCTGCAACGGCGTTCAATCTCTTGACAAGGCACATGGGTACATACAACCACACATACATTCAAACTCTACATACATAAGTTCAACCATAAATACAAATACATACATACATGCATACAAATACACATACACATACATACAAAGACAGATACATACATTAATCGCCGAGTCGTCTACGTCTCCAGCACATTTACGAAGTTATCATAACCCTTTGACAAGACTGTTCTGATTTGCGCGGCTGATTCGATGGACATTCTTTTCCTGAACATCGTGCTGTTCGCCTCCGGCTCATCCAGCTTGCCAAGCTCCGGAACTGCGTGACCGCGGGGAATAGGGCGGAGGAGGGAGCTCCCCGCGTTGAAGGCGCAATCAAATTGTTAACCATTTCGCGCTAAAATTAAACATTGGCAAAAGAATGATTGATTTTCTAAAAGAAACAAAGGGAGCAAGCTTTTGTCGAACAAGCGAAAAGGACATTCAATACGCCTTCGCCAGGTTCGAAGGGAAGATTGATCGTCGCTGGTTTGAAGGCCTTAAAAGCTCTCGAGCAGGTCATATTGGTGATGGATTCATACCGCCGAGACTTGCGGGCTTTCTATGAAGTAGCAGCCACACACGCAGAGTCTGCAAAGTAGTCTGTGTACATCCAGGCGCGCACGTGACTACATAGAGAGCACATCTGAACGCGACCAGGCGATCACTGCGGGGACTGCACGTCGGGTAGGTTTGCGTATACGTCACCAGCCACGGACAAGCTCTGCGTTAATGAAAGAGAGTCATCAGCGGTCTCCATGAAGTGGATCTATTGCAAAAGTGATTACATCGAACGTCTATAAAGATAGCCGCGATTCCTTTGAGATTGAGGAAGATGAGACAAGCAGACTCAGGACCCGAGCGGAAGAGCCCCGGACAATGAGTGCCTGCACCACGCTTTACGTCTTTAGACGGATCTCCTCTGCAAAATTGCTGCGACGAGGCAAATAAATTACCAGATCTGGTGGCCGCCCGAGACGATAATGTCGGAACCGGTGCAAAACGAGCTGGCCTGCGAGGCGAGCCAGATGCTCACACCACGAATCTCAGCGCTGCGCCCGATGCGCCCGAGAGGGTTGCTGTTGCTCCACTTGTTGAGCAGCTCAGGGTTAGCATCGAGGTACTTGGCCGTCATCTTGGTGCGGACTAGAAACCCGAATATGGTGTGCTGAATGTCAGGGAGTGACTTGCGGAAACCTCCTGTAGGACTAATCGACTCACTGTGGCCAGGGCTGAGCGAGTTGACACGAATACCCAGCTCACCCCACTCGGCAGCAAGGTTGCGCGCCATCTGCAAGACGGCAGACTTGGACGAGCTATTTTGGATGGCAACAGGAAGGCGCAAAGGGTTCAGAAAACCTCAGTGGCTCGTTACGATCATTCTGAATTACTGGGTCACTCACTTGTAAGCTGCCCAGCGGTGCGAGTGGTTGACGACCGAGCCGGACATGGAGGCAATCAGGATGATGGATCCCTTAATATGCGGAGACTTGATCATCTCGCGGGCGGCACCCTGTGCGCTCAGGAAGACACCAGTCGAATTGACAGCGAAGAGCTTGTCCCACTCCTCCTTGGGGTACTCGAGGGCATCGTGGGTTTGAAGCACACCGGCACCGGCGACCAGTACGTCAAGACGGCCGCTTTCTTTGGAAATGTATTCCATCGTCTTCCATGTGTCCTCCTGGTTCGTGACATCCATGCTGATGTAGTGAAGCTCCTGGCCGAGCAGGTCACGGCAGTGGCGCGCCACAGCCTTGAATTCAGCAGATGGCTCGTCGTGAATGTCCAGGGCATAGACGGTGGCACCTGCCTCCACGTAACCGAGTGCGATCTCGAGACCAAGGCCGCCATTGCCGCCCGTGATGACGGCTGTCTTTCCGGCCAGAGAGAACTCGGTAAAGATGGCTGGTGTCGGCGATTTCGCCGAAGACAAGTTGCCGGAAAGGCTTCAAAGTGGCAAGCGCAAAGATTAGGTACTCCGGTCAACTTCGTCACCGACTGCCAAGAAGGGGTAGGAAGAGAAAGTGTGCTCACACAGCGTCAACGCCCAGCGTCTCTACAGGCGGGGCAATACCAGGGTTGTACTGGCCGGTGGGCAGCGCCTCTGCCGGCACATGCTTGACAGTGTTATCTTTGTGCTGCCACACGTGGAACGCACGCTGGCTCGCGAAAGAAGCCGCCACGGAGCGTGGCAGTGCCGAAAATGAGGCGGAGCCGGCCCGCAAGGTGGTGTGCGGAGCAGCGGCACGCAGGGTCGAAGCGAGAGCGTTGCGAATCATTGTGTTTTCGACTGGGAAGAATGGGGAAAGAAAGGCAGTGATCGGCACCACGTTGGAAGCGAAGACCTGGTAGAAGAAGCCTCACAGATGGAAGCACATTCATAAGAAGATGCTCTGCATGCCGTTGGTAGCAAACCACAGCCGCACAGGTCACAGCCAATCGGAGTGAGCCAGGACTGATTGACGTCCTGGTTGGTAGGGTGCGGGGAGGGGCAACAGGCCTGGCGCCACAGACGATCGTGGTGTCTTACTTCCGCCTCTGGCTGGCTCGTGCGCGCGGCAATAGATATGACCACGAACAGCTCCTCAGTTCCGAGTGCCGCGAATAGATGCCATGTACCTGTCTGTAGTAGTTGATCAGTCGATGATGTAATCAGCGACAGATACGGTGTGCACGAGCCATGGGCGACAAACGCCGCGCTGTGGAATGATTGACTGCGCGTCACAATCGAGCGGGAAGAGAGATTCAACCCACAAGATCCCAGCAGGCAGCATGTATCGATCCGGCAAGCTGGTTGCTGTCGAGGTTGTCTTGCATACAGTGAAGTATATATATATATATGGACGCTCAAGTTGCCTCCTTTCCCGCCAACGCCACTCGCACCATCGTCCACATTTGGATCTAGTCACACAGAATGTCTTCGAGCGCCTTCTGCTCTCACTGCATCGAGCTCAACGAGCTCCCCGGCAAGCCGACCGGCCATGAGACTGAGGTCGTCGGGGTCAGCTCTTACGTGGCTAAGGGTAGCAAGAGGGGCACGATTGTCATCGCAACTGACATTTTTGGCCTTGGTGTGAGAATATGTTGTGGAAAGAGGCTGAACATGTAACAAACAGGCTGAACCTTCATCGTGCTTCACAGATCCCCAACCCGATGATCATCGCCGATAACTATGCCAAGGAGTCCGGCTTTACGACTATCGTCCCAGACCTTTTCAAAAAGGACCCGATCTCGCCGAGCGACTTTCAACTGAAGAAGCACACCAACGATTCGGACCCCAAGCCCGCCGAGGAGAACTTCGCCAACTTTGGAAAGTGGCTCGAGAGGGGCCATGGTGTAGAAGACACTTACCCCACCTTCAAAAAGGTGGTGGAGGCGCAGGCGAAGGAAGGTCCAGTTGCTGTGATCGGATACTGCTACGGCGGAAAGCTCTCCAGCTTTGCAGCGCAAGATGCTATTGTTAAGGGTGCCGTTATCAATCACCCGGCCATGCTGGAGAAAGGCGAGGCGTCGAAGATCAAGACGCCAATCCTGCTCATCACATCTGAGACGGACCCTATATTCTCAGAGGATGTCAAGAACGACTGGACCGACACACTTAATAAGGCTGGTCTGCTTGATTCCAATAGCCAGACATACTCTGGTGCTGTCCATGGCCACGCTTGCAGGCCAGACTTGACCAAGCCTGACATCAAGCACGCTTACGAGGACAGTTTTAAAAACTCTGTCACATTCTTCAACCGCGTGCTTGCTTGAATAACAGAAGAGACCACAAAGTAAAAAAAAACGTGTGTCAATCCGCACGTCCTGCAATCAATGTTGTTAACAACCATCCATTTTCAGATATTTCCCACAATATTGAAGTTGCAGCATGGAAGCTGCTCATCATTTAGGCAGTCCGCTTCACTGCTGCCCTGCCCTCCGTATTTAGATAGTCGATCAAGCTCATATCGACGAGCGCAACACTCGGCATTAACGTGCCCCTGCGGACATACACGTCCAATTTGGACATGAGCACTCCGAGAACCAGGTGCGTGAGCAGTGCGTGTCGCTCACCCTATCCCGTTGCTGTAGCATTACGCGTGCTGCCGCACTGTAAACAATTGGGGTGGTGATATAGCTGACCTCGCCTCTTACAGTGGCCCGTGACGTTCAAATCGGGCCCCATCCTTCTTCCAGGCCGAGTGCTCTTCTTGATGATCGATTCAGGGGGACCATGTGCTTGTAGAGCCGCACATCACGAATTGTTCCAGTGTCGGACCAGCATGGGATGCAAAAACTAACGAGCATACGTTCAGATGAGCGAGGAGGAATCGGCGGCCCCAGGCTCGGTAGGCTAGCAGGCCAAATAGGGTGAACGTCAACAGCGTCTCAAAGCACGATCTGTAATGAAGGGAATACGATCCATGCTTTGAAGATGATCGGATTCAACCACGCTACCGAACTTGGCATCTAGTGCTTGCGTCAGACGAATGACTGCAAATGAAGCATTGTCATTAGGCTTCCTACTCGCGGGCTCGGTTGCCCAACGCAACAACCGTACTTTAAGGAATCGCAAAGAAGGGATAATGTATGCGCCTTGGTTCTCAGCGTAATAGCACCGCCAAGCCAGCCTTTTCGCTTCGACAAGCCAGACCCCAAACCCATTCTCGACGGCTTTGGGCTTCTTCTCATCATTTATGAAGGTAAGGTAAAGATTCTTGTGCTGTGCAGCCAGCTCCTTGCGCATCGTAAAGCCGTTCGCTGCTGCGGCGTTGGTCGCATAGTGACTGAAGACTACGTCCAGGCGTAATCGCACCGTGGGTAAAAGAGCTCGTCGCATCGGTGAGGATGGGCTGCTCAAATCCCAAATCCAACATCTTTGCTGGTAAGCGTCCATAATGAACCATCTCCACGCTCGTTTGGATGACCTCTTCGCCTTATGGCACGGTACTCAGCCCTCGCTTCGCGGCAAGAACTCCAGCGTTCCCAAAAATGGAGTCGAAATCAGGTGCGAAAAAATTTGACCGCTCCAACGTGGAGATGCTTCGTGATAATACTGAAGAAGGCAGTGGTCTGATCCTCATGTTATGCTTCTCTCCCGCGCTCAAAGTTAACCACGAACTTTGGGGGCCATTTTTGCACTCCAGGTCGGCTCCCCGCGTAGGTCACTGTAGCCGCGTGGTATTTCACTAGCGCCCTTGAGCTAATGAGACGCAGCCAGGTCGGCTTTGACAACGGCTCTCCAAGACAAGCTTACGGGCTGACGCATGAAAGGAGCACCGAAGTGAGGCAAAAGGACGCACAATTCTGCAATAAGGATCGGATACTTTTACCGTCTGGCATGCTTAAAACTGGCACTTAGTCCATTTGCACATCTGAACGAGGCTCTCGTCATCTTGCACATCCGCCAAGCTGGGCGATATCGAAGTGTGAAGCTGATATGACGACGAGACGGTTGGAAGCAGACTGCTCGACAAATTCGACAGGGTAGAGACGGAATGCAGAATGGCACACGTATAGATAAATTCGAACAGAGCGACAGCAATAAAGAAGTTGGTGTCGATCAACGATCAATCTTGCGAATTGTCATGACCATCTCTGCTGTCCCTACGCTGTCCGCATTGCCGCGGAAACCATGGTGAAGGTGTATCCCACCAAGAAACATGCCGCCACATCGACACATCAAATCTCTGTCTCCTTCAAACCGAAGCGTCTGAATGGAACACCTCGCCTTCCCCTATTGAAGGCACGCATCGAGAGTTTCAACGATGTCTTTGTTGTAGCACCCTACGAAGCATCTGGATTTTGGAGGACATCGTCGAATCCCTCGACGGGGCCGTTCAATTGAAGATGACCCGCTCCCATGCTCGCCACGCCTATCATCTACGCATTAAATTTCTAACCCGTTCGAAATTCGAACAGGTCCAAACCCGTCGTCCGTTGCCACAGACAAGTCAATACCCCTTGTGGCGCAATCACAATAATCGGCGTAATGTTGCACTGAAAGGACGTGTGCGAGCTCTCCTGAGGGGTTCATCGCATCCCGAGCTCGCATGAGGCGTATGTGCATTTTCGCGTTTGTATTATCGGAGGCACTGATTGTGTATGTTGCATTGTGAGAATGAATCTCCCGGGTTCATGCTGAGCCGGCACTCAGCTTCGCAATGAGCGCCGAAACCATTTCGGCCTGCTTGATGCCTTGAACCATTCTCGGGCGGTAGCGTCGAAGATGCGCGATAAGTTCTGCTGTGATATGGTCGCACCCGGCCTGTGTGAGCGGCTTGCTGCCCAGCTGATTGCGATTTTGCATTTCCAGAGCCATCAGCCCTGCTATCACTGTTCCTGTGCGTCCGACGCCTGCAGAGCAATGAATCCAGATGGGAGGGACTTCGGCACCAGAGGATGCGTTTCTCGAGGCAGCAAGCCATGTTTCTTGTTGTATCAAGTGCAAGAGATGCTCGTATCCTTCCAACGATGACGCCCCGTGGTCCGGCCATGTGGTGAGATGAAACAGCGTCAAGCCGTGCCTTTTCCGCGTTACGCCGCCCGCATCCGTCTGCCGGAGTTCTAATGTTCGTTTTACCAGCTCCCAGCCGTCACCGTCAACGTCTTTGAACGGCGTTTCGATGGGCTCTTCCGATGTTGTCGCCACGGTCCAGCCGTCTCCAACCTCAATTGGCTGGCCGTCCGTTGCAGCCCAGTCTGGCCAGTATTGATCTGCTTTGCGCCTGCCTTTTTCTCTCAGTGGTGTTAAGTTAATCAGGAGCGGCGCGCGTTGTTGAAATAATGCAGAATAGAATCGGTCAAAGGTATGTGGAAGTGGAGCTTGAGACGCGATGTATGCTTGTAGAGATTCGCTGCGAGGACATGGTGGGATGAGACTTGCATTGAGGTACTCCCCGTCAAGTAGTGCATGATCATCTAAAACGGGCAAGGTGCAACGGTTCATTAAGTGAAAAGAGCTGGCATTGCTTGTCCGCGCCACCACGACACTCACAGGAACAGATGTCACCGTATCTATTGTGATGCGAATTTTCTTCGCTTACCGCTGCATCCACCGCGAACTCTTTACGGTGCAGGCCGCCGCATCTTTCCGTATCCAATGCATCCAGCTCATAGAGGAGATCCTCCAAGGTTCGCTCCGAGGCTTCCCCCATCCTGCTGAGCTCGGTTGGTGCTTCGGTAAGGGCCATAACTTCCTGGGCCGCCAAACGACGAGGAAAGCGAGAAAGATGCCTTGTTGGCGTTGCCAATACCGCTTAGGCCTTTCCGCTATCGGACCCGAGTCCGCTACCGTTAGTCTTGTTGACTTTGTTGCCTCCCGTGCGACGCCACTGACACCGCTCGTCGAGCGACTGTGGCTCTCGTTCTGCTTGTCGCTGCCCAAGCCAGTCCTGTTTTTTTGGTGCTGGAGCCAGAGTTGACGCGGCTGTTTCCGGATTAGGTGCCCGCACGCCTGTTGCTGCTCACACCAGGGGCACCGGTAGTGCTGCTGCTGCTGCCTGTGCTCCAAGTGCTTTGCTGGCCGCTGATCTCGGTGTGTCTTGAGTTGTCGTGCCAGTCGCCCTATCCCTAGAACCTCAAGCACTGCTGCTGTTGGCACTGCTGTGTGTTGCTGCTGAGTTGCCGAAGTGGTTGGCACCGCTGCTCGTAGTAATGATGCCACAGCCTACAGCGCTGCCCTTGGTGGAGATGCCGGAAGAGTCGGCCTTGCTGCTGCCAGCAAAGCCACTACTGGTGCTGGCAGTGTTCGTTTATTGGGTGCCACCGCTGGGGTTGCTAGTGTGGGCGAGGATTGACCGCTGGCTCGTGTGTTGTTCGTTCCCGAGCTTGGAATATGACCGATTCTAGATTGCCCGAGCGGTTTGCTTAGTTGTTCTTGCTGCCAACACTGAGAGTGGTACCGCCGCTGGCAATTACTGAGGTAGAGCCTGTGCGGTCAATGCTACCGATACTTGTTCCTTGAGCCGAAGTCGAATGGGCCGGTCCCCCTGCCAATACGGGCTCCTGCGTGTTCACTGTGAGTAGTCCGTTTCAATCTCTGGGAAGCAGTAGACTGAGTCTAGCTGCTGGCACCACCTCTGTTGCTACTTTCTGATTGAAACTGTCTCGAAGAGTTTTACCATGAGTTTCCGGCGTTTGTGTACGCCTGAGACGTATTCCCTCGTTCGCCACCTCACTATGTACACGAATAAATGGTGCTATCGTCCTGGTAGTGAGAACAGGCCGCGCTCCTTCCAACCTGGGAGTTGACGGTAGGCTGAGGGTTTCTGCTGTCTTTCGACTTCGCCGTACTAGTCTGTTGATTGTTTGTAAATGAAACTGAAGGGACACTATGTTGCCGAAGTGTTGGCTGTCGGTGGCTGTCTGAGAATGTGAAGTGGAGGGCTGAGCACTTTTGATCGCACTGCTCCTCCTGTTGCTCGCGGCGGACGAGGTGTCAGCACTTTTTATGACAGAGCCTACCGGCTCGCAGTAGCGCTGTCGCACTTGCTGCAAGGTTGGAAAACCCTCTGGCCAGAGTTCTATGGTTGAAGCGGGATGTATCAGAAAAGATTCTTGTGTCATTTTCTATGGGTCACAAATACTCACGGCACTCGTTCCTAAATGAGTGGAAATGTTCCGAGTATTCGAAGGCCGATCAGCACTGTGAACAATGGATAAACTTATCCTCTGCGAACCGAATTGTGGAGACAGAGCCTGTGTGTCCTCCTTGCGTATTCTAGCTGACCGTCAATCTCTCAGAGAGATCCTCTCGCGTTGATCGTCCACTGTCGATGAATGAGCGTTTCTCGGCTGGCCCTTTATGCTTACTTTCTTGAGTCGTAGAACCCTTGCACGTGCCTGACTGGAACGTGCTTGAGGAGTTGAGGACAGCGCTGCTCTTTCCCCTACCCCTGGCCTTGTCCGAGCCGTTTGGTGCAGAGGTTGCAGCCGGGGCGGTCGACCGATTCGCGGTTTGACGAGTTCGATTACCTCTCCAAGGTCTCCGCAAGCGAGCCGGAGCCAGAGCCTGTCCTCGCGCCAACCTGATGGAGGATCGGTTCAAAACCGCCGCGCTTGTGATGGAGCCGTCGTTTGCAGAGGAAGGCACCGTTGAGGTCGTCGAATTCCCAATCTTGATTGAGGATCTTGTTCCAACAAACATGGATGGTGACCGATGCTGTTGCTGCTGTGAGCCGGCGGCCAGCGAAAACAAGGGAGAAGCAGGATCCTGCATGAGAAGTTGCCGAGAGAGAAGTCGCCGACAACGCAGCAAGCGCGGTCAGGTTTTGTCATGATATCTCTTAACTGCGCTTCGAGATGAGGCAACGCAGAGCCTTTCTGGGGGACATGAACAAGTTTTATTTGAAGCATCCCCGTTCACAACATGCCAACGCATTGCAACGCCGATGGCCACTTTAGGTATGCGCTCTCCTCAAGCTGGGGAAAGTGCCATACCCTTGCCGATGATGACGCTCAGATCGCTGGCACGAACCCTTATGTTGCAATCTGATTAGCAGACACAGACGTTGCCAACACTTTCCCGCCACCTCAAGCTCTGCTGAAAGCCGGCGCAAGCCTCTTGGCTGCACTTGAATTGCCCAATGATTCTAGCATACATGAAACTCAGCAAATCTCACTGCGAAGCTCATACCCGCACGAGCCGGCCGCGCCGATTAGAGTTGCTGTTGTTATATATGTCTACAACAGCCAGGTTTGCGCACATTCAAGGCATGACAGCAGCGCCAGGACCTATTCTTCGTCCGACCAAATCAGGCTATCTTCTGCAAAGACTCCTCCTTCGACGCCGGGCTCAGCCTGCCCTTCGCGTTCGGTCGGCGTCGTCAAAGGTGACCTTGGGGGTGAGGGGGGCTTTGGCGGAGCAAAGCCAAGTTGCTGGGCGAGAGAAGCAAGGCCAGCGTGCGCCGTAGTGTGAGTTTCTCCGTCTGGCGGAGCGTCGTCTTCTTCATCATCATCGGTACTTTCCGCATACGCTCCAATCAATTTTGTCGCTGGATGGACCAGATCAGCTCTTGGCGTTTCAACCTTAGAATGCTCTCCTTTAGCCTCATTTGAAGCGGATGCAGCTGCGTTATCTCCAGCTTCCGAGTCCGAGTCGGTGTCTGATCCGTAGTGCCCCAAGCCCAAGGCAACGCTCGGCCCTGAAGCCCATTTGGCTGTCTTTCGTGCGCTTTCCGGCGCAACAGATGCAGGCTCGAGAGCTCTCTTTTTTGCCGTGGCAGTTACCCTTTCTGAGGTGATTTGAATCTCACTCGATTTAGAGCTGACAGTCGAAGAGCCACTGGATGAAGAGCCGCTATCGACCTCGCTTTCGCTCCCGCTGCCATCGCTACTAGACTCGCTGCCGTCCTGGCGTTCGCCACTTGCCTTCTTTCCTTTCTCGAAATTGAGCAATTTGATCAAGCCTTGGTGAACAGCCGCATCGAGATCGTGTTGCAGCCAGATTTCGAAGATGGGATACTCCACAACACCATAGCCTGAGGGGCAGTGTTGCAGCAGTTCTTGAATCCCTTTGCTCGGCTCATTTGTGTCGAGAATGGGTACTCGCAGCAGTGTGCGACTAGATGCCGACTTGCTGGGCGCCGGTGCAGAACTTGCAGCCGCAGGATCCTTTGCGTCAGCTTCGAGTGGCCATGCCTGACTAATGTTAATGGATTCGACATGGGCCTTGTCAGATGTGTCGCAACCATTTTCTGCAGGTGGCAGGGACTGGTCCCGGGAAAGCGCCTTCATCTGAGCTGACAGCTTTTGCAGGAGACCCGTATTGACAAGGCTGGAGTCAGATGCAGCGACCGAGGTCTCCTGATTGGTAGCACGCATGCTTCTTGGCCCAGATGGTACGGTGGCCAGCCATCGCTGATGTTGTTCTTCCGTCTCTTCTGGCTTCGTTTTCCTTGAAAAAGCAGAAAGAACTTCCGCCTGCTTTTCTGAAGAGCCACCAGCAGCCGTGTCAAGAAAGGGCGTGTACTTGTCGATCGCACCTTTTGCGCGCTGCCGCTCGTACCATTCCAAATGCTTCTGGCTGCTTTCGTTGCGCAGTGCTACGCGCGTAAGCGGTACACATAGCGAAAAGAGTCCGCGAAGAGATTCTGGCTTGATTAACCGTAAGCGCTTGTTGTTCAGCGGAGATATTGGTGTCGGCGCGGGAAGGGATTCCAAGAATCCGCAGAGTGTTTGCTGGTCCTTGATATTTAGAGTAGCGCTCCAGCCATGCAGGTCTCGCAATATTGGCAACCAGGCGTCATCCTCGATCTGCCATTCTCGATCTTGGCGAAGATTGTCACCTCTCACGGCTTCCAGTGCCGAATTTCCTTGCTTTCCATCTCCATCTCCATCGCCATCGGATTCTCCTTTACCAGGGTCAGCACCGGACTCGAGCATCTGATCATGCTGTTTCGATGCTGAGGAGCTATCTCTCTTTCCGCGAATCCGCTTCTTGACACTATTGATGCTCGCGCCACCGCAATGCGATGGTTTCGCTATTCTGCCGCTACTGTGACTCTCCAAGTGTTCCAGTAAACATACCACCGGGTTGGCTTCGGGTGGCTGCCGGTGAAGTGTAGCCTTCCATTCATTCTCCTTGGAAGACGAAGTAAATGCGCGCGTTCGGAACTCCACGGTATATTCCATCTGGCTCTCTCTGAAAGACAGAAAATGATTCCAACCGACGACGTTAATTCAAATTCCTTGAGCATGATCACCTACCCGCCTCTCACCTTCTCAGCCATGTACTTCTATTGCTCTTTGCAAGTCCCATGCCCTCAGGAAGAAAAAGTATTGGCAGTCGAAGGTATCGACATTGCTTGGCTAATAGCTCTCTTCTCTCTTGATTTCGAGTAAGCCTCTTTCCATTAAGTCCTGCACCGTCACCTAATTTTCTCTTGCCTTTCGCTCCCCTTCTATCTTGCTGCTGTTGCATTTGCAGCAGACGCTCTTCTGCTTCCTTTTGGGAGAGTGCGAGCTCAGCTGCCGCTGCCGGTCCTGCGTGTGTCTGCAACTTGCTCGCTTTGATTGCGCCATCGGCCCACTGTTCGGAGGCGAGCGCACGGCCGATAGAGCTGACATTGCGTGACATGTGAGATAGGAACAAGTAGTCGGATAAAAGCGAGTCCTGATTGAGCTCATAGAGCCCCTTATCGCTGTTTGCTTTTGTGACTAAGGTAGGCTCGGATATCTCAGACGCGTTCCCAAGCTTGCTCGTTGATGGTTGGGAGGCAACTACGGCCGTGGTACTGCTGCCCCTGCTGAGCTTCGGCCCCGCAGACGGGTTGGAGGAGCTTGCATGAGCATTCTCCTTGTGTGCCTTACTACATGTGAGACTGCATGTGATGCCCTGTTGGTGGCAGACTGGACACTTGTATCGGCCAGCCTTTTCCTTGCACTCCACGCAGACGCTGGAAGTTGCCGCTGGCATTTTGACGACGCGATAAAGTCATTCGCGTCTTGTATTTCCTTGTCCTCGCCAATGACTTCGGCGGAAGCACCAGCCACGAAAAATTCAACAGAGCTTCCGAAACGAATGCTTTGAACAGCAGCTGGATCGACTTGGCGACTTTCTCGCACTCCCGCACCTTGAGTGCAACGAACAAAAAGCTGAAATCAACGTTGTCGTCTGCAAATCTGGTTGTTTCCAATGCGTAGAAGATCAATGATCAGGCTCATTTCGGCCGAGAAAAAAACGTAATTGCGAAGGGCGGAACGGCTCTCTTGTCCCCGAAGAAAGTTCTCCATCTTTTCGAGAGATGTTGTCTTCGCCATGGCACTTGCTATAGCAACAGTATAAGCTGCTTCAAGGCCATGCTTTCGATCTCGCATTGAGCGATTGTGGTGGAGCTCAGGAAAGGTCTTTCAGGTGCAGAGCATCATGCCTGACGCTTTCTTTCAGAAGAAACGCAAGAGAACGGCGCCAAATGGCCGTGGAAGCTCTGCAGCTGGCCCTTCCCCATCAAAGGTAAAGAAGGGCAAGGCGAGACGCATTGATCGAGATGCTTCGGTTTCTGAATCCGAAGGTGGTGGTGACGATGCAGGTGGTATTGGAGATATAGATCTACGGCATGATTACGACGACGATGAGGGCCGGGAGAACGAGACACACGCGCAAGCCAGGGTGCGCCTTGCGAAAGCATACCTAGAGGGCATTAGATCAGAGCAGCAAGCAGAGCAAGGTGAGTAGCGGGCTGTTCTGATTGCATTTGGCTCTTTCCTTCATTTCTCATGGACTGATTATGAATTTGACTAAATTACAGACGACTTGGCGTATGGTGCTGACGCAGCAGAGATCGATCGACAAAACATCGCTGCTCGGCTGCAGCGAGATGTCGAGGAGCAATCGAGCCGAATGCACATCTTCATCTCTTCCTACCTCTCCCGTCCTTCAACCTCAAAAGACGCAATCGGAGACTCGAGTCAAGGGCATTTGCCAGTGGAAAACGTTCTGGCTGTGAGGGGACACAAGCTCAGCATCACAGCCACGGCCGTCACACCTGATTGCCACTACCTTTACACCGGATCCAAGGAGGGGCATATTTTCAAGTGGGACCTGAAGGATGGGACCCTGGTGCGCATATTGGGAAAGCGACCGCGCGTCAGTGCTCTGATGACCAGCACAGAAAAACAAGAAGAAACTAAGTTCAGTAAGCGCAGCGGTGCTGCCAGGCGGAGAGCGATGCGTGAGGCAAAGGCGAGGGGCCCAAGAGTACAAGGGATCTCAACGAATGGCGATCAAACAATGGATGTGGATGGAGAAGAATTGCGTCTTTTCGTCTCGCTTGGAGAGGGCGAAGGTCATACAGACGAGATTCTGACGCTAGCTGTGTCCCCCGATGGAAAATACCTCGCCTCTGGCGGCCGGGACACTCGAGTGGGGGTATGGTCCATTCCGCCACCCACGTCGTCAACAGCTCCTCAGAAATCACAACCAATGGAAAAGTGGCTTCGCGGCTTACGCGGGCACAAGGACGCCATCACCGCACTCCGCTTCCGCCAATCAACCACGTCACCGTACGAGCTCTTTTCCACTTCATACGACCGCAGCATCAAGCTATGGGCCGTCGATCAGCTCTCCTACATTGAAACGCTCTTTGGACACCAAGACCCCGTGCTGGACTTAAACATACTCCGTGACGAGACGGCTGTGAGCGCAGGCGGGCGGGACCGCACCGTACGATTCTGGAAGATTCGCAACGAGAGCCAGCTCATCTTTCGCGCAGGCGGCCTCGGCAAGGGTGCAGCAGCAAAAAGAAGCCGGGACATGCTCGAAGGTGGTGACCTGTTCGACCCTGATGCGAAGGGCCTCACCAAGTTTAAGACCGCTCCGAGACCGGGTGGTGCTGCGGAGCCTGACATCACCGGAAGGGAATTTTTCGAAGGTAGCATCGACTGCGTTGCGATGATCGACGAGACGAACTTCCTCAGCGGAGGAGACAGCGGTGCTATCTCGCTCTGGAACACCGGCAAGAAGAAGCCAATCTTCACGCGCCTGCTTGCACATGGCTATGACGAATTCGTCGGACGCAATGAGGATGACGATGTGGACAGGAAGTTACCTCAACCGCGATGGATTACCGCCCTTGCGTGTCTGCCTTACGGCGACATCTTTGCCAGCGGATCATGGGATGGTGAAATCAAAATCTGGGGTATCGAAAGGTCGCTCCGCAGTTTCAAGCAGCTGTACTCGATTCCAGCTGCCGGTTTCGTCAACTCCCTGCAGCTCATTAGTCCTCCGACACCTGCGAGGAAAGATCTGGGAGCATACATTCGACCCGAGCTGTGGAGGCGACGCGGCGGGCTCGTCGACATTCAGGGCAGCAACGACGCCAAGAAGCAGATTGAAACGGCTTTGCCTAACCTCGATGGAAACGCCAACGATGCCAACGAGGAGGATACCGATCAAGTGGTCAGTCACAAGGTGCGCATCGCAAAGGAGCGCTCATCGCCGATGCTCATCGCTGGCCTCGGCAAGGAACACAGACTCGGGCGATGGAAGAAATTGGAGACGCAATTTGGGACAGAGGCAGCAACTGTTCGCAACGGCACATTGATAATTTCGCTTCCCTTGAAGGACTGAACTGTGACATCCTGTCCGCAATGGGAATAACAAGCAATATGTAATCGGAACCAAACTAGCGCGCACCTTTGCCTTTCTTCGATGGCGGTCTCGCATTCTTTTCGCGCCGTTTTTGTTTGACAGCGCGTTCCTTTTGGATGTCCCGAGCCGACCTGAGCTCGCTACGGGCCTTGGTGCCACTGTTGCGCTTGGCACCAGCAGTGTGGACCTTCTTCCCACTGCCATACTTGCCTTTGGTGCCTTTCGCGTCCCGTACCTTCGCCGCGGCATTAGCCTCTTCATGCTGTGCCTTCTCCTTCGCAGTGAAATTCTTCGAGTTCTTGGACCACTTGTCAGACAGCCTGTCGACCGGCTTTGCCTCGAACGTCTTCGTGTGCTTGAACAGACGGCGACCATCGCGCATGTGCTCCGAGCGTAGCGTGATAGGAAGATCTGCCTCGCGCTCGCCGACTTTCGGCATGTCGAGCCTCTGCTCGCGCTTCCACTCGTCGAAACGACCTGAGCGGAAGGTGGCAGGAAGCTTCAGGCCCGATTCCGTCCTAATAAGGCGTTTGTTGTCGGAGCCGGTGCCATCGCCCTTGATGAACTTCTTCTTCTTGGTGTCCCAGCGTGCGGCGTTGGGTCGCTGTGTCTGAGTGCCAAGCGTCGCATCGTCGCCATTGAGATCAAAGGTCACATGCCTAGCTTGCTCGTTGAAGGAGCTGCCTCCTCCTGAGAAAGAGTAGCCTTTCTCCGAGTCGGCACCTTCCTGTTTGTACGACATGTAGAAGTTGGGGTCTCTAAAGGCGCCTTTGGCAAGTGGGCGTGCACTGGTTGACAAATTTGGTGCCTGTTCTTGCTCTTCCTCCGAGCCAGCCTCCTCAACACCACCAAGATCAAAGACATCCTGAGTGCCAAAAATTGAGTGTCAGCGGATGAATGCGTGCTACGTGCTTAGCAATTCACAAAATTCACCTTGAGGTCCTCCTCGTCAGCCTCGCTCAGACTTCCGTCGAGATGTCCTCCGCTGTCGGCCTTCGTCTCAGCATCGTCGTCAGCCTTGCCAGCATCATCGGCTGCCGCTGCCCTTGCGGCGACGTCCTTGCTCTTGGCCTGCTGCAAGGTCTGACGGCGCGACTTCATCAGTTGCGCTAGCGGGTTAGCGCCTTGCCTGCCGGCTTCGAAAATCGTCTCCATGGGTGTGAAGCCGTTGATCTTTGCGAGCATCGCTGCACGGGCCGCATCCATGTCTGCGTCATCAGGGCCAGGGCTCTGCACGCCGTCAGGCTGAGCTTTTATTAAGCTGAGAGCGCTATCGCTCCGTATTGGCATACCCTTGAAGCCAAAGGCAGCAGGGTTGCGCAACACCTCATGGACGCCCAGTTCCTCGCTCGCACACCCTGCAAGCAGGAGACTCGTCGGCTCGAGAGACTTGGCAGCAGTGAGATGCAGATGGGCCTCTTGAGCCGCCTTCACCATCTCCTTCGCGCGCCGATGACTCTCCTGACTCGCCTTGCTCCTCGAGCGCTCGTACATGCCCTGCGCACGAGCAGCGACCTGCTTGAGCGCCGGCAGTGCCTGCGCAGCGGCGGACGAGGAAGATGTGAGCGAGTGCTCCAAGAAGTCGACCTCTGGGTCAAGCATGTGCCGTGAGAAGGTGCCAAGGACAAGGTTGGTGTGCATGTCAGCAGTGCCAGCATCTGCGTCTGCACCGTTGTCGACCAGCGCTTTGCTTGCACGACCGGACGGGACGAGCGGTCTTGCAAGGAACAGCTGAAGGTCGCACAGGTACGGTAGCTCTGTGTTTGTGACGAAACTGTACGCCCATCCCTTCCTGCCGGCCCTGGCCGTCCTGCCTACACGATGAACGAAGACGCGCGGCTGAGAGCAAAAGTCATAATTGATAACGTGCTCGAGGACGGGCAGATCGATACCGCGGGCAGCGACGTCGGTCACGATGAGCAAGCTGGTCTGACCGCGGCGGAAGCGTGCCATCTGGATCGTTCGCGCGGTCTGGTCAAGCGAAGAGTAGATGTGCGAGCATGCGTAGCCGCAGGTGGAGAGCAGCTGCGTGAGGTACTCGACGTGGTGCTTGGTCGCACAGAAGATGATCGTCTGATGCGGCAGCAGCCTCGCTGCGCCACCGAGCGCATCGTTGGCAGTGCGCTTGCGTTTCTTGTCTCCACCGGACGCCCTGGATCCCCAGCCTTTGTCCCGGCTAGCCGGAGCGGAGAAGGAAGGCTTTCTCCGACCGCCATGATGTCGCTGGTCACGATCGTCCTCGTAAATGCTCTCATCTTCCTTCTCCGCCTGCTCGCCAAAAGGCACCCCGATGACGGTTCGCAGCAGGACGAGCAGCGCAGCCTCTTTCTCGCTCGGCTTGACGCTGAAGAAGGCCATGCGGAGATCAGCGCTAATCTTTGCATCGGCATCCAAACGGACAAGCTTGGGGTTCGCCTGCAGACCCGCTCGTGCAAACTCGACCAAGCTCTTGGGAAGCGTCGCGCTGAACAGCAGAGTCTGACGCGATGGCGGCAGACGCAGCAGCAACTCCTCCAATTGCGCGGCGAACCCCATCTCGAAGAGGCGATCTGCCTCGTCGAAGACAACATAGTTGACAGACGACAGGTCGAGGTTCATCTCGACGATGAGATGGAGCAGACGACCCGGTGTGGCGATGAGGACATCGGGGTTGGATGCGATCAGCGCAAAATTTTCGTCCAGTGACTCGCCACCAACGACCAGGCCCCATCGGATTGCCTCTCCGCGCGGCGCGGCATCCTGCCCATCCCTCTCTGCGGCGGCCGAGGAGGAAGCAGAATCCGGCTTCCAGCCGCGCGCGATCTCCTTGCCGACCTTCATGATCTGAAGCGCGAGCTCTCTGCTCGGGCAGAGGATGATGGACTTGATGCCGAACGTAGTCGAGTGCCGCCCGTTGAGGCGCTGGATCAGAGGAATGATGTAGGCAAGGGTCTTGCCTGACCCTGTGCGTGCCATACCGACCAGATCTCGCGGCGGCTGGGAAAGAATTGAGGGAATTGCCTGCCGCTGGATCGGCGTTGGGGTCGTGAAGCCACGGACGAGGAGAGAGCGCAGCAGAGACGGGTGCAGGCCTATCATTTCAACAACGAAAAAGGGTAAGGGCCGAAGTTAAGTAAGAAGACGGTGTATCTCGTAGGATAAAACAAACGGTTTTGTAGTAACACTCACCCATACTCTGGAATGAGCCTCCACCTGTCACCTTGGCGCCGCCGGTGATGATAGCATCCGCCTTGCCCTTGCCCTTGACGGCACGCTTGGCGACTTCCGTGCCAGCTTTGACATTGTGCCTTTGCTGAGCGCCGGCGATGAATTCAGCATCTCCATCATCCTCGTCATCTTTGGCAGCTTCATCTCCGATTGGGAGGCCCTTCCCTTTCGCCTTGGTTTTGCCTTTGCCCGTCGTGGGCTTACTCGCGGTGGCAGGACCGAGGAGAGACCTCGTAATGTCAACATCGAAATCTCCTTGATCCTGATCCTTCGTCATCTCAAGATCAACCTTTCGGCGCTTGTTGCTCGGCGTAGAAGTCGACGGGGCAGCTTTCTTCGATGGTCCTGCCGCCGCCGCCGATGCCGGAGCGTCATCAAGCAGGAAGTCCAGCGCGCGAGCCATGGTTACTGCTTCGGGTCTCCCCGCACAACTAAGGCTTCAGTGAGCTGACTGACGTCTGTTGCGAACAGCTTGCTTCAAGGGGATAGTCGAGGCTGACCGGTCTGCGCACCAGACCCACGACCTTCCATTGACATGCATGCTATACACCAAGACGGAATGCCGGCAATATCCAAAGGTCGATCAAATAAAAGTTGAAGCACACGAGGCGGAACAGCCATAAATTTTGCAGCGAGAGTGACCTTTACAGCCCCTCTCGGCCGAGAGATTGTCCAAAATTGGTTCTTGGTTGCGCAAACCAAGCTCGTGCCGGTCATTTATCGGGAAACCGTGCGTAGCACAAACGTTGGTGGCCACCATGTCCTACAAAGAAGCATGCATTCGGTATCCTCACCGCACTACACGTATCCCCTTTTTCATCCGCCTGGTCATCCCGTCCATGGCGTTTGCGAGCGCCTTGCAGACCTATCTGACCCCTCGGAGCGACATGGGGAGGGTCGGTGCGCATTGGTTGAAAGCGTGGACAATTTGAATGGCTTGCGAAGCTGTGCTTGTGCTACGCTGTCCAGGGCAAGAGGGCGATTCTGGAAGACATATCGAACCGCGCAGCCGGTAGCCCTGCTTGGCAGGGATCGTCGACGTCAGTGAGAGGCATGCCGCTTCCCGCTTTTCCCTGCCCACGCCGCAGTACTTGGCACGTGGTGTATCTCTTGTTTTGCGCTGGGTTTTAAGTACAAGTTTACACAGCCGACCTTGTCCATGCATACAAGTACTGCAACGTGTGCGTTGCGAGAAGAACGTGGCCTCGCTTCTCCATACACGCACCCAGGTTGCAGACAATAACACGGCTTACAGAATCCGTCTCGGTCCTGGTCTCCGCATAGCGACTTGTTCGTCCTCGTACTGTCTATTCAGCGCCGGGGAGAGGTCCAGGAAACTCTATAGGAAAGCAATGACGTACCTGTGCTGCAGCAAGTTTATCGCTTTGTGTGAGGATAGAAGTCACAAATGGCAATCGAATGAGTCGAAGGAGGCGGAGCACCAACATCGAGCGTGCTGTTGTGGCTATTCAATTTCGTGAGAGCGGAGAGCGCGGGTCACGAGTGTGTTGCTTTTTGTTATGAGAGACTTCTCGTCTCGGCTCGTCTCGTTGGTCCGACGCGTCGCACAATCTTTCCTTTCCATCAGCCCCGTCTCGTTCATGCACCAGCTCCTCCCCCGCCTGCTGCCAACCAGCTGGATGCGAGACGGACATTAGATGCACATGAGTGACAACAAGCCCGAGAAACCCCCCGCGGATGAACTTTAGAAACGCGATCCTACACCACAAGCTATGTCGCGACGCGCTCCGCTGGGCGACACGTCGGCCGACCTGCTCGACGTGTCGCACGATCTTGACCCTGCCGCGTTGACACTGGACGACCTGACCTTTCACACCTCGCGCTCCAAACAGCCCGGCGCAGCAGTAGTAGCGGCGGCGCCGCGTCGCAGCACCCGCACCAGCAGGCCCAGCGTGGGCGGAGGCGTCGCTGGAGGCGCGCCTCGACCATCGTGGGGCCCGCCAAGCAGCGCGCTCGGCTCGCAGGCCAAACGCGAAAAGGGCAAGATGCGCTTCCTGCAGGGCCTCGAAGATGACTGGGCTGGCAGCTTACGTGGGTCATTGTCGAAAGGAGGAGAGGAGCCCGACGTGGACGTGAATCACGATGGCGGTGAAAGGGATGGCACCGCGGCGGCCGGGGGAGCGGGGGCAGCTGTAGGCGAATCACCTGTGGCAGGAGCTGGCGCTGGCCCACGCCGAGGACTCGGCGGTATGCAAGCCGGCAGCGGACGTGGTGCCAAGCCGCGATACTCGCTTTTCGCCAAGCCAGCCTACGCACCGCCATCATTCGACTCAACAGGCAAGCAGCAGTCCGCAGCGGCGGCGGTGTCATCACCATCATCATCATTATCTTCCGTCGCAGCAGCAGCGGCGCGTGCAGCCGCCTTGACGGAAGGTAAAGGCAAGGGTAATAGCGACGACGTTTTCGCTGCGTCATCCACTACCCAAAACTACGCATCGGCGACAGGGAAGGATGCGCTCGGGAGGAGCAATGGGCATGATGCCGCTGCAGGCGAAAGCAAAGAACAGGTCGCAAGGCAGCTGGCGGAGGTTAAGGTGATGAACGATACATTTGAGAGCTACGAGCGCATGCTTCTCGGCGCGACGGACCAGATCGACGTGAGTCAATTGTTCGCTTCTCTCTCTCTGTTCCGTCCGTACCTTTGGCAGGCAGGTATCTGACAACTTCGGGCATGGCACACCTCAGACATTTGCCGATCGGATAGACGACACGAACAAGCTCTTGGACATCTACATCGATCTCTTGCGCCAGTCGGAGAAGACGCAGACGCTACTGACCGACCCGGAGTGGAAAGGCGCGACAGACGATGCCGCCGCGCACGTCGCCGCGCTGCAAGCCACTGCAGCCGAAACGGCGCGCATCGAAGCGGAGAGCGCCGAGGCTGCACGTCAGGCTGAGGCACTGCGGCAGGCTACGCTCGTGAAAGCTGCCGCTGAGGCCGACGCGAGAAGGCGCGCGGAGGAAGGCGGCGCCGCTGCAGGCAGAACCGGCACCAGAGGCGGCGCCACCTCAAGAGGCGTCAGCCGTGGCGCTGCTCCTCGACGCGGAGCGAGCTCCTCAGCTGCAGGCGCAGGGGTCACGCGCGGAGTCGCAGCGAGTTCAAGTATCGCACGAGGTGAGGAGGCGGGGCAGCGAGAACGATCGGCTGAGCTTTGTGCCGTGTTGAAATGTGAGCTGATCTTGTGTATACCGTCTTTCTCCCACCGATGCGTCGCGAACCTCCAAATTACAGGTCGACCTTCACGTGCGACAGGAGCTCCGGCGCGTGGAAGCGGTATCGCACGCGGCCGACTCACGTCGTCTACCACCGCTGGCCGTTCGTCGCCCTCGGCATCTTCCTCTTCGGCAGTTGCAGGACAGCGTCCATCCTCATCGGCGACGCAGCATGCGCGCACCGCCTCCTCGTCCACTGGGGCCAGTGAGCGCTATGCGGGCGTGCGCAGCTCAGGTTATGGGCCTAGATGAAACGGGTCGGGAAGCGGCAACGGCATGCAATAGACGACCGCTTCCATGCGTGTGAGGCCAAGTGCGTACTTTGTTCATGCTTTGCAGTGCTTGTGGTCTGAGACGCCTCCGCGACGGCACCGATATGTACTGTTTTTCTTGTCTCTTTATGCGGTGCTCATATCCTCAGTTCCTTCCTTCGGTGTATGAGTGGGTGTGCCTGACCACCATAGGACTGACTTCAGTCTGGGCAAGACCTAAACAGTTGCCTAATCAAAGAGCACATCATGCTGCAGTCCGCACGGCCAGCCCACCCCCTTTCTCTTATGGTGGACTGATCACCTCATCTTCGCCTTTCTGACCACCAACACCTGTCCATATGGTGCAAGCGAGAAGAGAAGTACAGTGTGTAAAGCAAGCCTGGCAAACCACATAACTCAACACTCAAAAGGCACGCATACACACATATACAGAGAGAGACAGAGAAGTCCACGCGTGACATGAATACATGGCATTGAAGCCCAAGGTATACAACAAACCGAAACAAGAGGGCGCAGCGCTTATCGGGCGACTAGGACGCTGAAGGTGCCCCCAAGGTACCCCATTGTCCGTTTGGCGCAGGCGCGAATCCTTGGTCGGGCACGGTTAAGTAAGACGTAGAGTTCGCGTCGAGCGTGATGGTCGGCGTGCCGGCGTTGCCCCACCACTGGAGGACCTTGTTGCCATCTTGCAGAGCGTACGTGGAAGGGTAGCTGAGCGCGAAGAAGATAACGATTCCACTGATGGCCGTACCCGAGTCGAGCGCGGCGGAGAGGACGTAGTTGAAGCTTGCCCACCAGCCGAACGAGCGCCTGCGGACCCAGTACTGGAAGATGAAGCCGACGAGGAACCAACTGGTGAAGTTGATACCCGTCGCAGGCGGGAACTGGCCAGTACCGACGCTGATGACGGGGGTGTTAACATAGCGGAAGAACGAGCGTGGGAACTTCTTGGCAAGGTACCAGAAGGGGATGGGAGCGACGGCGCCGATCCAGAAGAAGTGCAGGAAGCTAGCATACTCCTGTCCGACAGAGAAGCTGCGCGCTGGACCGATGAGACCCCAAATGACCGAGGCAGTGGCGAAGGTGAGTTGGACGCTGCACTTGAAGTCCTGCGGCTGCTTGGGCGTGCATACATCATTGATGTTCGTGTAGACGAAGTTGCTCACGCCGACCTGGACGAAGCAGGCGATGATAGTGGAGATGATCTGCGACCAGAACATCAGGCGTGGCGGGATCTTCATGTAGTGGCCGAACTTGAGATCGCTGACGAAGGAAAGACCCTGGACCATGGCAATATAACCATAGACCTTGAACAGCATCATGGCGAGCGGGCGGCCCGGAAGCATGTAGCCGACGATGAACTCGGTAATGACGTTGAGACCGACCTGCTGATTGGTAATAGCCTGCACGATACCGATCGGCAGAATGTAAACGGCAGCGATGAGGAGAGCAAGGATCAGAGCCCAGACTGGCAGCGTAGTCGGGTAGCCCTGCACCGTGCCGACCGAGATTCCGAAGGAGATGAGGAAGAGAATGCCATACCACCAGCTGGGAACCTCCTTGTAGCGCGACATGAGGCGGGCGTGGATGTCGGGCTCGTCCTTTAGCGTGCTCTTAAACTGCTTGACGATGTCCTTGCCATAGAAGAGGGCGACATGGACGAGAATGCACGTGACCGAGGCAAACGAGAGACCGTAGGAGATCGCAAAGCCGATGGGGAGGTACTGCTTCGAGTAGTTATTGTACAAGTCAATGTCGAGCAGCTTGTCGGCGTTAAGGATAAGCTTCTGCTGATATACTTGTCCGAAGCGGTCAAAAGTGCGTGTCGAGGCAAAGGGCAGATATGACGCGTACTTGACGTTGTTGTAGTAAAGAATGGGGCCGAGGAAGACGAAGAAGACCGCGAAACCACCGATGACATTGGCTTCTGCGTAGAAGGGGGTCGTGAGCGGCGATAGCAGAGCAGAGGTAATCTGTGCCCAGTCGAGCGAGATGAAGGAGAGACCGAGACCACTCTGGCCACCGAAGAGCAAGTTGACCTTGTGATTGCTCGGAGCAATCCAGGTAGGCCAGCTGAATGCGGAGAGCGCAGTGAACTGGAGATAAAGTAAAGGGCATTAGTGAATAATCTAGCTCTGAACAAGAGACAGTTGAATGCTAGATGACCGCTCACCAGGTAGCCAGGGAGGAAGTAATAGCAGAAGGCGCCAACAAATGCATAAGTGAAGAAGCGCTCACGCGACATGCGACCAGACTCGGACTGCTGGACGTGGTGCAGTGTGCTCATGAGCGCTGTCTGCGGCAGCGTCGAGGGCCAGATCATGGATGCGGGCCATACGAGCCAGCGACGACAGAAGCCTGCGAATGAGAAACCGATGAGCTGGGTGGAGAGGAAGAGCAGGAGCTGGTAGCCAAGGCTCCATTGCTGATCGTAGAAGAATCGCTGGGTCGTGACGACGTCGGTGGCGTAAGCGGAGCCGTACGAGACGGAAGCCATGATGACGATTAGAGAGTGCTCTTTAATATTGAAAGGGCCCGGGTTCAAGAAGCGGCCGATGGCGCCGCGGTTCGGCAGGAGTGCCATGGCTTTGCCGAGGGGGAATGCAAGGAGGAGTGCGACGAGTGGTGTGATGGTAACATATGGGTATCTGGGTAGTCCAAGAACGTGGTCCCGGTAAGCACGGAATGCACTAGTAAAAGGCCTTGGTGGAATTGAAGAACGCTCACCGGAAGATGAAGAATTGGTTAACACCCGAGAGGATGATGGATGCCAGGATGCCTAGGAACCATGCACGGAACGTGCTGACCGGCATGTCCGGGTCGTCGACGTTGCTGACGGCGGCCCGGACTTCCGGGTAGATCGAGTCGTCCTCCAGCACGTCTTCCAGGCGGAGCTCGGCCTTGACGTCACCGACGGCGAGCGCCTGCTCCGCCTGTGCAATCAGCTCCGGGTCCATGTTGGGGTCGTTGAGCTTGTGGTCGGTGATGGCATTCTTGAGGTTGAGCTCGACATGCCCAAGCTCAGCGGCGCTGGCCGCGCTGTCCTCCTTGCTGGATGACTTTTCCGACATGGGGGCTGGTGGTTGGATGAGCCCGTTCTTCTGTACGTGGGGTGCCAACGGCGACGTGCGAGACGGTGAGGGAAGGCGCCTAATGGTCGTGGAAGGGCGTCCTCCATTGCATGCTATTTATGCCGGAGTACCCTTTCCAGTGACCAACCCCTCCCTTATCGCACGAACACTGCCTGCATCATCGCTGCGCTGTGTCAGCCGAAAAGGGCAATGGATGAGATTCAGGATGCGCGGTCTGGTGGTTCCGCAATAGGCAATCCCTCCTAATTACGTCTCGTCCCACCGGCACAACGCAATCACCACGCGCCGCCTGGAACATTCAACTGGTATGGAATGGGGAGCCACGCGGCAGCCGTCGGCTCCTTTCAGGCACGCTGGCACTCTGCAACTCTAGACACGCGTCACGCAATCAACAACACATGAGGAGTGGCGTAGTCCTTTTCCGCGTGACCTTGTGGTTCACTGTCGGAGCGGCTAGTGGTTGCAGTGCGGTGCCTCACCCGGCACTGTAGGGTTGACCCGCTGCAACATCTACATGTGTATGTATGGGTGTGCAGCCTGTGCCTGACCATTGCCTCACCGTTCACTACCGCCCCTCCCGAGCTACCTGCTTCTGCAATGCTGTACAGTCCTGGGACGTTGAGATCCTTAGCACAAAAAAGGCTCAGCTCCAGCACTGCACCTTACTGCACCTGCTGTATAGAGGCTGGATCTGCCTACATATATAGTATATACAAAGCCTGCGGCTCTACGGCAGCCTACATACACTCTGGGCCCCAGAGGCCTCAAGGGCGGTCTTTGACTTCCACGCTTGTAATGCCATGCGAACGCTGATAAATGAAGTGCGTGGTGGGCCACGCGGTCTCCGATTAGTGAATTCACACCGTCAACGGCGGTTAAGAAAGGTCAAAAATCTGGGTCTGTCTGGACTCTAGAGCCAGGACGCTTTAAATTGCTTTTGGACAATTCGTTAGAGTTCCACTCTACTCTCTCTTGGGTACTACTTGGGACAGTCAAGGACAGAAACTGTCTGAACCTCTGAACGGGGTATATACGGAAATGTAGGTAACTAGGTAGTGGGTACGACAGGATACGATGAATCACACGCACGACACGCCCTTTGTGACAACACTGGTACGATCTGGTGCATAGCACCTTCGCTTGTCTGCAGGGCGCTGTTGGGCCCCCTGCCAGTCTCTAGCATCGTGGTTCGCCTGCTGGCCCTTGTGCTGTCCACCTTGAGCGGCCCGTCGCCGCCGGAGGACAACGCGGCAAGGGCAAGCCAAAAAGTCAGCTCGAACCCATACCGTCGGCTCAGAATTTGGACAGGATGCGCCTACATACATGTAGACCTAGCTATTTTCGATGATATATAGATGTACGTACACATCTATCCTGATACATCCGGGTAAGGCCTGTCCATCGTACACAGTACATAGGTCATTTTCGTTGGTATTTGTCCAGATACGTGGTAAATTGGTGATCAACCAAAGAATCTTTAAGATTACAGGAAGCACTCAAACCGCACCCTCTGTAACTGTTGCATGGCTTCCTACAGCTTAGCTGCTTTCTGCTTTCCTGCCTGCACTCCCTCCAAAGCCCGATAGCAATGTCATCCATACATTGGTGGCTTGGCATCACGACCGCATGGTGCTATCCGCTTCTCGTTTTTATTAATTATCTCGAGACTTGGAGAGGTTCTCTCCGAAGTCTTAGGCACCTACATATATATATTGCGCATCAATGTAGTAGAACACATGAGCCGATAGCAATGTACGTATATGCTGTTACTCTAGGGCTTCTTGTGGGCTCCTGATCCCTGCGGCCTGGAGCGTTGGGGGGGGGGGAGGGGTTTGTCCGGAGTTCTGGACCCTCGGAGTGGCCTGCGATGTCAAGTGTTCAGAGTCCAGATTCGGTGTTATCTCCTTCACTAGCTCACTCTTCAAGCGCGCTCCACTCCCGCAGCTTCACTCCTCCTGCAAAAGCACGTTCCGCTACCTCTATAAATATTACTGCGGCGGCGGTACGTCCTACCTGTGGTGGCATGTGGCCCTAGAGCTCGGTAGCTCTCGCCTCGCCATGACCTTCGCATCCCTGACCTGCTGCTGTTAAACGAGAGTCGAAGCATCGAAAAGCGAAGCAGACTGGATCAACTGAACAGAGCTGGACAGACTATGCGAAACCACTGAACCAGTTGTGTAAGCGCCTGAGCAGTGAGCTGTCTGCCACTTGGCCCGATATGATTAGATGATTCATTCCATCCAAGCTCCAATAGGTTTGGTTTGTGCACGTGCGTACAATCCATTCTTTATTGGGGATCCAAGGCAAACTCTCTACATAACGAGACCGGCGCAATGAAAACGGTCGGGTTGCCGAGCGCTGAATTGCGGAATCAAATACCTAATAATAACTCTTTTCCTATATTTAAAAGAATACATACCAGTTTTTGAAAGCGAACATGTTAGAGACGGTCAAAGTCTGTCGTCGTCCCTGTTAAAGCCGGTCAGAGCATGGCAATATCCGAACATGCGCTTGCGGATTTTTATCATTATCTTTTGTGGCGCTGACCTCCCGGGTTGCCACAGATTCGCCCACATTCAACGCCGCAATCATGAATGCAGCGAACCCAATGCGTTGGCTGCCATGGCCAGGATGCGGAGATTGGGGAGGGTTGCTCTGGGCTGCGTCATTCTCGAGCCTGGGACTTGGGAGAAAGGGAGGCCGCACGCAAGCCGCATTTACCTCCTTTCGCACATGAACCCTACTTCACCTTGTTCCAATCTGTTGGAATCTACCTCCGTGGGGGACATATGCGCATTAGCTATCGGTATTCTCATCTCTAAGCCTTGCCGTTTTGCGCTCTTAAGATATGTAGATAAGAAGGCTATGTTGGAAGTAGGGGTTATTTAAGAGGACTGAACTGTCTTATCTGATCCCACATCCCAGCTCTTGATAGTCCCAGTTCCCCCTGGTTATTGCGCACTTTTTTGACAGGCTTTGACGCGCGTACTGGTCAGCGTCAAAGCGAAACATGTAGCAGGGTCAGAAGCAGAGCAGCAGTGGATTAGAGTTATGGATCCTTCAGATGCGAGGCGTGAATGGCGACCGGCAAGACGCGGGTGATTGTGTTTTTTTTGTTACAGCAGCCTGTAGCGCTTTCCAGCCTTGCGTCGAATTGCTAAACCAGCTGACTTTTCTGAGGCTCTCTTCAAGAATTCAGGTGCCCATCTTCTCTTCAGCGCGGATGTTTCATCCTTTCCCTCAGGCGTCAAAGCCCCCCTGTCACAGCGCTATAGCCAGTCAGCTGGCTCAACATTTCGCCCCCAATCTTATTCAACGGTGCTGAACGAAGGCAACTCACCCTCCTCATCGATTCAACCGGCCGATAGTCTCAGTCCCACGCTCAAGTCCCTGCCCATCCGCCAGCGTGAGACAGCACTCGACTTACAAAAAATGGCAATGCGGGGCATCGATCACGATAGCATCGTACGGAAGAAGAGAATGGAGCACCGGCTCGCCGCGCTCGAAGAGCCGCTAAACGCCTCCACGCAGTCTGCCAAGAACATAGCCAACCGTGCAAGCGCTCCCTCTCAAGAGCCAGAAGAGATTCAAATCAAGTTCAGAGTGTCACCGTGGCTCAAGTTGGGGCAGGCAGGTTGGGACCTCTAGAGAACAGAGTACCGGAAACAGAGGGATCAGGTGCGAGTCTCTTTCTGGACAGAGGCTGCTGTGAATTATGGGGATGAAATACATTGAGGAAATGCGACGAGATGCGTGTGACCACTATTTATGCGATGCGAGACAGGTGTCACACACACAAGGTGTGCTGCGCACGTCAAAAAGGACGATGATTGATGGACGATGAACCCGAACTTATGTTTCCTGCACTTGCCCCTGCGGTAGAACGCTTTGACAACCGCTCCTGGTGACGACCGACGGCCGGCTGGTGACACGGGCATCTGGTCAAACCACGCGATCACGCACTCACGCATTCACGCAACACATTTTGTGGTCCTACAACAACTACAAGGCTGTGCATAGCGTAGATGCAGCTGGAACCGGAGGCAGAAGGCAAATTAAGTTCTTCTCGACTTCGAGGCCGCCCAAGGGCTGGACCCCGAGGAACTACGACGAAGTATGGCAAAGCACGAAGCGAGAGGAAGCCAAGGCCATTTGCAAGCTTGCAGCTGCAAGAAAGAATTTCGGTTCAGCCAACAAGACCATCACAAAGCCCGGAAAGACCATCAATGACGCGGCCAAAAGTCTCGAGCGCAAACATTTCCCTCTTCTTTGCTCGGCGAGTAGGAAGGGCCGCGCCTTCTTAGAACGTACCATCGCCTGTGCCCGCTCCAACGCAAGCAAGAGGAAATGTAGAGACGGAAACAAGAATGTCAAAATCTCCCATCAACAAAACGGAAGAGAAAAGCGAGTGCCAGTGATACTGACTCGGCTTTGCCGAAGCTCAGCAGGATGTCCTGTTCATCTTGGCAACCAAGTCGGGTCACATCATTGACGAATGGCGTATTCGCTTCCACATTACCCACAGGGGCTACACCTACAAGCAAGCAATTTGCCAAGACGTAAGGTACCGCACTACAAACGTTGGAAATCAATTCCATCGCCCCCAAGTTGAGGGCACACAAGGGTAGTGCTGGCACCGAAAAAGTCAGTAGCAAGCTTCCGGCCAAGAGGACGACCAAGCAAGGCGACAAGCCACACAAGGCAATGGACAACAGCAAGACTACCATTCGCAAGAAGGCTCGTCACGAGCAGGCCTCAGCAGCCGACAATATCGCACGGGATCGACCTTGCGAAGGAGTTGATGCAACGGGCAGCACGCAGCCGACTGGTCTGGACTTTTAGGGTAACATAGAGGTACAGCAAAACGGTGCGCGGACACGAAAGGAACAGCTTTGCTTCTTGTTTGAAGCGGCTTTTCAGTGTCGATTGACAGAAAAAAACTGTCCCTTCTCCTGCCTTCAGGTAATCATCCTCCTGGCCACCTTAATTGCTCGCACCAGCACCAGCATCACCAACAGCAACAGCAACACCGGCATCTCCGGCGGCAATATCAGCATCAGCAAGCTATGCATAGCTCGCCCCCTCACGGTGCGTATGACTACTTCTCATTCCATGCTCTTGCAAATGATTCTCATAACCAGCCTGTCTGTCACGACCACGCTGCAAGGAGAATCGGCCGGGGCTCCACTCAGCCCTTCCACCTCCTCGATATGGAGCAGCAACGCCGAAGTTCAATTCTCAATCTGAGCAACGTGTAAACGGCATGTCAATCCAATTGCAGTGACCTCAGCAGCGAGTGGAAGGGCCTGCGTTGGCTCTTGGCTGCACATCAATATCACACTCATTGCTTCCCTTTGCACCAGCATCTGGCTACGTCAGGGAAGGCGTATTCAACCCAGCTACACTGTCTCATTCTAGGTCAGGATCCCTGCATCTTACACCTTTCTCCCCCTCAATACGAGCAATACAGCAGCCGCCTTGTCTCTGGCCCTTTCATACTGGATGTTAGCTTCTATCTCCATTTCCCTGGTTTCCTGATTCGTCTTTGTTTTGATCTACGCCCTGCTCCTTCGCTTTCGCGTTCCCACTGGCTCTCTCATTTCCATTTAAATATGATAAGTGTAGCACCAGACGCCAGCGCTTGATCCCTGCCGCTGATAGTTCGACCATCCGACGTCGAATGAAAGTGAAGCACCTCATGCCCGCCTCGCTCGTCCATGATGAAGCAAAGCAGTGCTCGTCATAACTTGCTTTCGGCGAGCAGACCCTTGTTGGTTGGGTTGACCATGACGAAACGATACCTACCGTGCAAGCCGCCGTTGTGTCAGTAACTTCCGAAGACATCAGTTACTGAGCGCTATATATGCGTGCTCACCGTACGTCCCCCCTTTTGAGACGGTCCATCGCTGTGTTTAAGTTTTCCTCCGTCATGCTTACCTTGGAATCCAAAACCAAGTGCAAGCGTGAATGGGAAAGTGTCAGCTTTCCTTCCTCTCATGTCATTGACCGCAGTTTTCATAGACAGCGCTCTTACCTGCTCGATCATCGGAATGATCCCGTGACGGCATGCGAACTCAAGCATCTTCTCATGCACGTCGCGTCCACAGACGAGGCTGCCAATTACGCGCAGCTCCTTGCTGAGGAAGCCGCTGTACGGTGCATTGAAATTTCCAAAGGCGACCGAGAGCGGCACCACAGTGCCCCGAGGCTTGACGAACCGAAACAGTGCCTTCCAGTCAGGTTGTGCGCTGCTGCAGACACTGTGGTTACTAGCAAGATTAGCGCAGCGGGAGAAAATATCAACGTTAATATGTGACCTACAGAAGGTGATTGACCGGCTTGACTCCTTGGAACCTTGGATTGTCTTTGATGGAAACGAACTCGTGCGCGCCGAGCGACAGAGCCTCCTCCTTCTTGGACATGGTTCCGCTGACTGCAATAACCGCACATCCCATCGCGGCGGCAAACTGGATGGCGAGATGGCCAAGACCTCCGACGCCGAGGATGGCAACGCGGTCGAAAGGCTGCACGCCTGCGTTAACTAAACCACCAACGACCGTAGCGCCTGCATAGTTCAAGCAGTTGAAGATGAACGTATTGCACGAAGAACTTCCTCAATTAACGTGACTTACCTGCACATTGAAAGACTGCTGCATTTTCCATGGGTAGCCCATCAGGAATCTACTAGAACGATTTAGTCTGTGATCGCATTCGACACACAGGTTCGCAATTGCTCACCTTATGCACAAATGATTCTTCTATGCAGGCTGTGTCTCCGAATCCGCCTTGATCTCTGTCATGAGAACCGTAAGCTTTTTTATATCTGCAATTCTGGTCATTTCCATTGACGCAATCGGTGCAGCTCAAGCAGCTGTCGTGGATGCAGCCCCACCCGACGCGGTCGCCGTTCTTGAAGCGGCGGACTTTAGATCCGACTTGCACGACGACACCAACGGGCTCGTGACCGAGGACCATGTCATCTTCCTTCAGAAAGTGCATGTCGCTCCAGCAGATGCCCGAGTGCGTCACCTTGATGACGACAGTGTGTGGCCCAACCGGTCGCGACCCGCCTTGTCGCTTGGTCACGCGTCCGGAGGACGACCCGGTGTAGACTGTGCCCAAATGGACCGTGTCACTCATCGTGGCAGCTTATTCCTGTCGTTTTTGGCAACGAAGGCAATGGTAGTCCCCTTCTTTGATCATGTCACAGCGATGACCACGAACTGATCTGCAGTTGCTTCGGTGTACAAACTCTTGGGCTATGAAGAGGATGAAAGATGATACGAGAGGAGAGGATAGCTGCGTCGAGTAGGACCGGGACCGGGACCGGCAACCAGATCGCCGGAAAACGCCAGAGCGCCACAACGGAGGAAAACGAAGAACACGCAATCGGTGCAGTTTGCAAACGCCCTCCCGCCAAGGGCATGGCGCCTAGCGGCCCGGTCCACAACAGGGTAATAGCATGCGTGTCGAATGAGGTCGATTTTGAGGCCTGCGGACCTGTCGAGGGTCGAGTATCGCCTACCCTGCTTCCCGGGGGTTGTCAACAAATCGACAGCAGGGAAAGGGGGAGAGACTGAGTCGGAAGCCCCCATTGGACCGATATCAACGGAGACGTCAAGAGAGCGAGCCGGGAGCCGCCCTCCGGCATTCGGGCAAAAGCACGTCCTGCCCGCAAGGGCGGCGCCAGCGTCGTCTGCGTCATCCTTGCAAATGCGGTAGTGGGTTTCATTTCGCACTATGGCATTATGGGTTCATAAAAGCAGTTGAGTTTGTATACATAGAACAATTGAGTTCGGGTGCAAAGTAAATGCATGAAAAGCAGATCCGACGCCTGAGCTTTGCGTGCTCGAGCTGCTACGATGAGCCTTAGTCTCCTTGCCACATTGCCGGCCACTGCAAGGAAGATGGGCATTTGTCAGATGGCGTGACATCTTCAGTGGGAACATGCACGACACTCACATTGACGGGCAGGCGAGGCACTGCAGTTCGCTCTCCCTCGGGCTGGGAATTCATGAAGTCGTCGTGTTCCTACAAATGCGATCTTCAGGTTAGCATCATGTTCGTGAAATCGGCGAAAGATCACCACAACTCACCTGGACAGTCTGCTCATACTCGCGCAGACTCTGGACAGCGTATACATGTCGTGACTTGTCGTAACCACGCGGACGCAGGTGCTCAGGGAGTCGGGGTACCGGTGGCTGATCATCGTCTACGACCAATTCCAATGCTGGACCAGGCACCAAGGATGATCGCTTGGAAAACGCGCGCGAGACCCGTGGTGATGCTGAGCGGCGCGAGGACAGCGTGCTCGGATGCGGTGATGCCGCTGTCGGTGACTGGAGGTCGAAGGCAGCATCCGTGGCGATATGGTCGCTTGTAATTGGTGAAGCAACGGAGGGAGTCTCACTGCTCGTATCCTGGCTGCTGGCGGTTCGCGGGAGGGTAACTTCGTCCGGACTGTCATCTCCGCTGTCATCCGACTCTTCCAGCATAGCAGAAAGGCTTCCACTACGCTGTTCTCCAGGAGATACTGTCAAAACGCTGTATCGCGAATCAGGCGTGCTCGGCTTAACGGGAGTTGGCTTTCCCTTGCCGCCTTTGCCGCCAAGCGCACGCAGCCACTTGGCTGCACGGCTCGACGCTTTGTTCTCGCCGCGAGTAGCAGTGATGGCAGGGTCAGGAAGACCAATTCCGAGGACTCGCTCCGCTTTTGCAGTCGGATTGAGCTCAGCGCGATGGATTGAGGGCGTTCTCCGGATTGTGGAAACAAACGATGTGCGTCGCCTAAGCCCTCTCTCGTCGTCTGCTTCATCATCCGAACTGCTCTGTCGGTCGGATGGAGAAAGCTCGTCATGTCGCTTGCGGATCTCATCTAAGCGCTGAGAAAACAAGCGAGCGATGGATACGGCCGTGCTGTTCTTGATGTCATCATTCGGCGGCGCAAAATCAGTGACATGGCCAAGGCGGACTGTGTGAAGGGGGAGCGTCAATCTCCAGCCATCGTACGGGTTGATCAGAATGACGCGACTCACAGACAAGAAGGTGAAGGAAGTAAGCCCTGATCGTGAACGACCACGAGAGGAACAGCTTGTGGAACACGGTCGGCTTTAGCAGGATCTCTTCACAGAAGCGGCTTCGATTTCGCTTGCTCGAAATCAGAAGGCCAAAATTCGCATAACAGAACTGCAAAATTGATAGACACCATCAGCTACCACTGTGCTGAAACGCAGCGTGTGGCCCTCACTCACAGCGATTGTGCGCATCAGGGCAAGTGCATGATCCGCATTTTCGAGGAGTAAGGCGACCATGTCGATGATGAAGGAAACGTCCAGAACGTCCTCCACTTGCAGCTCTGCTGCCTCGACCTGTGTGAAGACCGAATCCAGCCAATCGAGCAGACAGAACACACCCTGAACATCGTACAGCGAAGTGCGCTTGATCAAACACTTAATGTGTGTTTGAATCATAGGCATAAAGACGCTATTGTTAATGCCTGGAGCGCGCACCACGTCGACCACGATCGCTGTGCATCGCCGATTGGCAGCCTCAAGGTGACGTGGCTTGCCAGCTGTGCTGCCTGAGAGCACGTTGGCGGTCTCGCCAGGATTGCTACGGAGGATGTCACGTCAGAACAGGTAATGCTCGAAAGGGGACAGACGCAACTCACAAGTTCTTCTGCGATGAGAGCGTGGTGACGGAAAGAATTTCACGATGGACGAGCGAAACACATTTCTGGTGGATGCAAGTAGCCAGGTGAGCGTAACCTGGGGCGCCGAAGAACTTGTTCTTATAGCGCATGCTGTACATCATTGCTGCCAATTGGCGGTGGTAGTTGCGACAGAAGCTGAAGAAGAGCTCGGAATCATCTGACTGCCAGCGACGCAGCCAGTTGCCGGACATCTCAACCTCGACCTCGTCCTGGCGCACGAGGTATCTGTCGTCGTCTTCGGAAACTCGCTCCGTGCCGAGCGAGTCGAGCTGCACAAGATACGTGCGCACATCTTGGAAGCAGTGGCTTCTCAGGTGCTTGGGGAAAACGGACTTGAACTTGACAAAGTCGCGCGGCTGCATTTCTTCCCACGAAGCCTCTGCCGCAATTCTCTCGAGGGCAAACCGATTCACAGGCAGCGCTCGTAGAAGCTTGCTCGCGACGCCCTCCAAGCGGAAGAACGCGATGGCTGCAGGGAGACATCATGTCAGAAGCAGAGCAATGATGCAGCGTGAGTACACGTCTGACACTCACCCAGCAAACGTCCCGAAAATATGAGCGTGTTCTGGTATACACCCTTCTTATTGAGCTCGCCGATAGCGTAGGTGAGGATATGTCCAAAGACCGAGTTGAAGCGCTGGCTGTCCTGAAGATCTTCCTGCAGGAATTTTGGCGAGAGGTTGCGCGATTCAAGTATGAACGCGATGCTTTCGAGGATGGCTCCACGATCTGCTGACGTCTGCACGTGCTGCAGCTCGATGAGCAGCCGGCCAATCCATTCGAAGAACAGGCCACGTCGGCTGCGCGCGTCAGAGAAGCTGCTGTCGCTATCTGGCGCAACATACGGTCGCTCGACCTCCAGCTGCAGGAATGGCAGCAGGACGGTGCGCAGAAGCGTGCCCTTATCAATTCCCGCTGCCGTACTATCTTGGAATTGGAGTAACGCATCTTCCACCTCCGTCCACGCGCTCGAGGGTAGGACAGAGCCTTGCATTGATAGAGCCGAATGGTCGTTCTCCCAAATCTCATCTTCCTCTTCCTCTTCGTCCTCATACTCATCCTCCTCTTCTTCCTCACCTTCCTCATCGATGTTGGACGGCATGTCAAACCCCGGTCGGATAGGGGTGCTGAAGGACCCAGTCGTGCTGCCAGAGAAGCGACTATTGTTGCGCACCGCAGATGCATTATGTATGATTCCATGCTGATCCGCAGGATGGGTTTTGCGCTTGCGTGTACGCGAAAGTGCACCAGGAGGCACATACATCGCTAGATTGGCGCCGGGAGGTACGCTCGCTGCAGCAGTTGCAGCAGAGGCGGGTTGCAGCATGACTGCCTCGTTAGTCGTCGTCGCGCGCGAATCGCTGCTCTCCAGGCGCGCAAGCGTACCTGGTTTGAGCGTGAGCGCCGAAGCGGCAGGTCGTTCGGGCGAACGCATCGGCTTCTGAGGCAGGGCGCGTCCTCGGTCCGGTGTACCCTTTGCACTCTCGTGGCTGGTGTCAGATGCGGTATCGGACACGCCATGCGACAGCGGGTTGAGCTTCAAGCTCTCTTGGCTCGAACTGGCTTCTTCGGCAGCCTTGCTCGGGGACTGCTGCTGCTGCTGCTGTTGGTGGTGAGATTGCCGGCCGGATACAGGTGTCTTTGGTGTCGGAGGCAGAGCTTTATCGGCATCAGTCTCGGGAGAAGTGTCGAGCGTGTCGTCTTGAGAAGGCTGCAGCGAGCGCCCGTTTGGTGAAGCCATGGAGAAGAATGATTCGCTTGGCAGCTCGAAGTCAATCATGGGTGCGGCACCGCCAGCACCATCTTCACCGAGCCTTCCTACGAGCAAGCCGCCTGAACTCGTGCTGTCGCTGGTCGCCGATGGTGAGCCAGGCGTGAGGCTTGTGGGCATGTTGCGCTCGGTCGGCCGTGTGTTCAAGCGGTTGCTATGTGTTTCATGTGTGAGGCCGCTGCTCGTTGTAGCAGCAACCGCAGCAGCTGACAAAGCCTCGGAAGGACCCGACGTGGATCCCGATGTTGAATATTCTGGGGCACTAGTCGTGTCCACACTAGCAGGGAACGCGACGGCAGCAGCCGCGTCGCGCTTGGATTTCGCTGCACGCAGGCTCGCGATGCTGACCGGGCCCCTGTACTCTCCATCCAGTGTGCCAGACACAGGCGCAGCATGTGCGGATGGTGCGGCTGCTCCGTTTGGGCTGCCTCTGAAGCCGCCATCAATGGAGCTCGAGCGTGAAGCGTTTTGCCCAGCGGACGTGCTACCAAGAATGAAATCCTGAGGCCCCGCCTCGAATGAGGTGGGCGCCGCGGTCCCGCTTGCGCTGCCATTGGCCGCTTGCGCTTTCTTCATAGCCGCGTTGTACGCGCGCAGCGATTGCCCCTGCCTAGGAGCAGTGGTAGAGTACGTCCTTGCGCTCATTGCCATCTTGACCTGCGCCATGCTTCCTCCGTTTGCAGGTGAGGGGCCCGCGGTGCCGCTGGCATCCGCGCCTTCATGGGCACCCGTAGCTGCGCCAGCAGCGTTCGCGTTCTCCTGTGCTTGGTCGTTTCCCCGCTTCTTCTCCTCTGGCCACCGGGCGAAATCCGTGCCGTTGGCTGCAGCCATCGCCGCTTTCTTCCGCTGGCCGGGATTGACGATGGAGACCTTCTGCCTCGCACCGGTGCCGCTGATGGGCATCATGAAGCCTGTGCTGCTACTTGACGAGAAGCGTGAACGGGAAGAAGGGGATGGTGTGGAGAGGAAGAGGACGCGTCCATCCGGTGAGCGGATGGCGCTGCCGCCACCACCGGCCCTGCTCGACGATGGGCTGCTGCCTGAACCTGGGCTAACACCATTTTCGAGACTTGCGACCGAGCCCTTCCTTCCGATCCCCCCTACTTCTGAACCAAGGGCAGACGTGCGCCCGGAGCCACCGGACCACGAACCATCGGCACCGGCGGCACCTTTGGCTGAGGTCGGCGATATCCCGAGCGCGTTAGGCAACGGGCTGCGGCCGCTGTATGACGAGTCGAATGAGGTCTTGAACCCGAACCCTTGCGAGGTGGATGGCCCGTATACGGATGACTGCGGCCGGTCGTGGATGCGTGACTGGCCGAATTGAAGCGAGGGCGGCAGCGGACCACGTGCAATCAGCGGCGCTGCGTGCGCTCCAGGCGGCAGGATAGGGCCTGCGGGGTGGTCCTCATGGTAGCCATTGGCAACAGCGCTGCTGCTGCCGTTTGCGTTGCGCATGGTGCCAGACGACGCAGCTCCTGCATTGTGCGCAGCGTTTGCCCGCGGGTGCGGCTGCATCGTGGCACGGCGCTGTTTGCGCGGAGCAAAGTCGTGCGTGGGTTACGCGGAAGCGACAGACACGGGAAGGGCACGTCGCTGCGGCTGCAGATCGCGCGCGGCGCTCAGGCGAGGATGCCGATGTGCATGCCCAGAGGCCTCGTTGTATGCCAGAGAGATATGTGCTTAAAGGTCCCCAGTGCTGCGCCCTTTCTTGTTTGCGCTCGGCCGAAATCCCGTTTCTGCGGGGGGGGGCTCAATGTCGTGTTTCCGAGTAATACATATGTATACGCGGCGCGGCGCGGAGCTGCGCCTGGATGGCTGACGAGGGAGGGGAAACGCCTGCGGGTCTCGTTCGCGACACTTTGCTGTCGCAGGGACCAATCTCAGCCGAGCGGATGTTTGGCGAGCCTACTCGTTTGGAACATCACCTTTGGAGCAAACATTTGGCCAGTCAGTCCAAAGTATACCTTCTCTAGTGGTTATGCTCTACATAGCTCAGAGTCATGCCGTGGCGGTGGACGTGCGGCGTATCCGCGCCGGTGAGAGTTTAGTGCGGCGCAGGGGGGGAGTCCAAGAGACACTAAGTTGACGTCGAGAGCAGCTGCGCAAACTTGCTTCAGGAATTCCCATCATTCATCTAACTGACCTCAACGCTCGTCTTACAGTCCAAGCTTAAAATAGTCAATTCAGGTCTCAACCAAAGCTAGTTCCAATAATAGGATACACCTGCCAATAGCTTCCAGGACTGCACCCAGGACCCAGCTCATCGCCAGTGGACGGTGCTGCGGTGTGCAGATTGTCGCGTGTGCGAAAGAGTTGCCGACGATAGCCAGACCTTTCACCATTCCATAATAGGACACAGCAGAACCTCTTTGCATGGTAGACTCCTGACAACACGTGCTGCGCTTTCGTGCCGCGCGATGAGTACGGCAGCTGACTGGCCGGCGCGCCAGAATGTGGAGATAGCGTGCTCCAAGTCTGCTGCTTAGAGATAGAAAGGTACATTCCTCGAAGTAGATCCAGAAGTGCAGCTTCTGATATGGGTAAAGGCAGCCATGGGGATGCATGCTCGAAGAGGCCTCCAGCTCCGCGCCTCTGACCCTTCGCAGGGCCCAGGTCGATCCTCAAGGTTAATTTTTCGGACTCAGCAGCACGTCGCGCATCGACACGGCCACTGGGTGACATCTCGATGGGCCCCTGCATTGTATATTTGCCCCTCTTGATGTAGCTTGAAGTGGCCATCGAGGGGTACGGCGTTGATATTTACGTGGTTGATTTGATGTTGGGTTATCCTGACCTCACATGGTGTGTGTATATACAGAACCCGGTCGCACCGATGACTGACGAAAGCCTGTGTATGGGCGTTCATTGCCAGAATAGTGAGAGTGCAGCGAGAAGTAAGGCTTCGGGGCTTTCTCCATTTTTTCGTGTGAAGAGGCCCATTCTAGAGTCAAATGGGCCCAGATATTGCTCGTTGCGCTCATCCCTCCGTGACTGTACCAGAGCTGGCGGGCGCCTCATTGTCATCCGTCATCGGGCTAGGACGGCACTGCACCAGTCTCCCGCTTCTTCCGCTCTAAGCTCGGTGAATCATTTTTGCACCGCGCAGGCAGGTCCACCTCGCTCCATCCTCATCGACAGCCACCTCATCGTGCCCCGAGTAGTTGCATGCCTATCGCCCTCGCCCGAGAACAGCAGCCGACCCATCCTAAGCATGGAGCCACAAGAACCGTTGAGCCGCACCGCCGCCGCTCCTGCGCTTCGCAAGGTCGTCCTGCAGGCCAGGCGCCGGCTGAGTCTGGCCTCCACAATCAAAGGAGCTGTTGGTCCATCATGCACCACGCTGCCAGCCGACGGGCGGGAAGGGCAGGAGCTGGATTCGGCATCGTCATCATCATCATCAGCGCTGCTGATGGCGGGTCGTGACACAGCAGCAAAAATGCGTCGCCCTCCGGTTGCACCGTCAACAGCAGCAGCAGCATCCTCATCGTCAAGCTCCTACATCAAGCTCTCGCTTCTTGCGACCACTACCCTCGCGCGCTACATCATCACACCCGCCTTGGCCGTGCCCTTTTCGCAGTTCTCAGGCAACGATGCAGGGGCGCGAGCAAGCGGGACCGGCCTGATGCAGTTGCACAAGGAGCCGCTGCCGTCGGCGCCCGGGGGCGACCTGCCCGATACGCCTGGGAAGCTGATCTTGGACGTGCTCTCCATCGCCGGCCTCGTCATCCTTGGCGGCATCTTTGCTGGCCTGACGCTCGGCCTCATGGGCCTTGATATGGTCAACCTTCAGGTGCTTAGCACGAGTGGCACGCCGGACGAACAGAACCATGCACGTAAGGTTCTCAATCTGCTCGAAAAGGGTCGCCATTGGGTCCTTGTCGTGCTGCTGCTCGGAAACGTTATTGTCAACGAGACGCTTGTAAGTACACAGCAGCCCCGAGTTCCGTACACCGCACCACTGTGCATGCTCACATGAGAGACCGCGCCCCATCCTCTTCCTGTATTTTACACGCGCAGCCCATCTTCCTTTCCGACTTTGGCGGCGGAATCGCAGCTGTCTTGTCCTCGACGCTGCTCATCGTCATCTTTGGCGAGATCGTTCCCCAGTCCATCTGCGCGCGCCATGGTCTTGCGATTGGCGCATTCTGCGCGCCGCTCGTGCACGCCGTCATGATCATCCTTGCCCCCATCGCATGGCCAACAGCCAAGCTGCTCGACTGGTGCCTTGGCGAGGAGCAAGGTACGACGTACCGGTGGGTATATGCGCCTTAATTCCTGTTTAGAGACCGTGCTCTAGCGGAGACACGAAGGTCCCTCTTGCTCACCCATTGATTTTACTTGGTGTCCATCGCTGACACCCGGACATTCTGTCTCTCCTGTCGCATATAGCAAGGCCGAGCTCAAGACTTTCGTCTCGCTTCACCAACAGATTGGCGCGGATAGCTTGAGCGAGGATGAGGTTACAATGTGAGTGTGGTATAGGACATTTCCGTACCGCTGCTGCGCGAGTTTTGGCGACTGATTTGTGCTTTTTCTGCACACTGTCGCTGATAGCATTCGAGCGGTCCTGGATTTGAACGAGTGAGCCTGATATATCTGCTGCACGCGTCTGGGAGGGCTCCTTGCTGATGCGCCATCGAGCTGTTCCAATTTTGCTAACAGCAAAACGGTCAAGGATGTCATGACGCCCATCGAAGACGTCTATACGCTGTCCAGCGACTCAATTCTCGACGAGGCTGGCATTGCAAAGGTGAGTGTTGGCCATTTGAGAGACCCTGGATATTATATTTGCTCTGTCGAATCTGAATGCCACTGCTGACACGCTATAAAATAAACACCTAGCTCGTCAACAATGGCTATTCGCGCATCCCCGTCCACGAGTCCAAGAAGGGTGATGCAATCCTCGGCATGCTGCTGTAAGTGGCTTGTTCGCGTGCTGTTTCTCCATCCACCTACCGCTGCTGACCTCGATGCGTATCCGACTGTATTCATGCGATCGCAGCGTCAAGAGTCTGATCAGCTACGATCCGGAGGACAGCCTACCCGTTTCTTCCTTCCAACTCCACGCCTTGCCAGAAGCCAGCCCGGATCTGACGCTGTTCGACTGCCTCAACTACTTCCAGCAAGGCCGCTCACACATGATCCTTGTCTCTGCGCATCCTGGAGAGCCGCGCGGCGCGCTTGGCGTCGTCACCCTCGAGGACGTGATCGAGGAGATGATCGGGCGCGAGATTATCGACGAGTCGGACATCTTTGAGGACGTGCACAACAAGATCCGTGTCGTGCGCAACAAGCCCAGCTCCACCCAGGACCAGTGGCAGCCTCTTATTCGCGGCATCATCGAGCGAAGGCGCAAGTGGGGCGGCGGCGCGATTAACACGCCTCTCTGGTCAAACTTCGGCATACAAGGCGCTGGCTCGGCGTCCAAGACGAATGAAGCCGGTAAATACGGATCGTTTGGCCAGTCCAAAGGAATCAACCGTGAGTGCAGTGCCCCCCCTTTTTTCGTCCTGAAGAACGATGGTCTCACTCACAATTCGTGTTTCGCTCTGCGACATTGTGTTCCCACTTCCACGCGTGCAGAGGTCACGATCAAACACCCAGAAACGCCCTCAGAGACGTCACGGCGAGGCTCGGAGGCGTACGAGCGAGAGCTCTCGCGCAAGAACACGAATGAGAGCTTTTTAGGGATAGGCGGCGGGCTGGAGAGCGACAGAGAATTTGGTGGGAGTCCGCGCATGCTCGCCAACGGCGCGTATGTCGTCGAGTTTCACGAGGACCGGCCGCAAATATGGGGGCATGCCGATTTGAGCAGCCGCGCCAGCGCGCCAGCGCTCATTTCGGAGAACCCTTCAGCGGAGGCCAGGGCGGTAGCGGCTACAAAGCCCGGGGCGGCAAGTCCGCAGAGTCGGATCGGCATGTCGAGCGCGACGCAAGGCGCCGGCGAGGACGCCAACGGGGATGATGATGACGAGCAGTTCGACGGAGAAAGGCGCCCGTTGATGGGCCGCATCGGCAAGATACTCTCGGGAGGTCGCAGCAAGAATGACACTGCGGCGCCATAATATGACCCGGCTTTGGCTCCGCCACGCTGCACCAGGGTCTCTTCCTTTTATCACTGTATCACGGCACATGCAGCCTGACCCTATATCTGGCTCTCGTCGAAACGCATCTTGTGAAATAACCACAACAAAGCGTGAAGTATGTGTGCTGGAAAATTCTATGGTACATCTTACAGTGTCCGTATAAAGACTATCCGTACAAAAAGGTGGTTGAGCGCCTTGTGATGCTGGGACGGCCATGACGCAATGGAAGCCAACAGGGAAGGGAGGATGGAATTATGGGTAGGCGGCGTGAGCGGCACTATCGTCACCTCGGCAGCGAGTGCATCTCGACATTCTCGGCTTGGCGCCGCTCGTTGATAGCGTGCGATGGCGTCGCATAGCTGTACGACGTTCTTCGCTGCGAGATCGACACGGCGTCTGGTGCGCGAAGAGGAGTTGACAGTGTGCTCGGCGTAGCGCTCGCAACAGTAGCACCATAAGCAGCAGCATGCTTGTCGTTGAACGGACTCTCCTTGCTTTCGTACCCATACGCGTTTTGCGCATCCTGGTCTGCTGCATTGGCGTCCTCGGGTAGTCCGACACCGACGCGCGTGCCCCAGCCAGTCTCGTGTAGTGTGAAGAGTGCATAAATCTTCAGCAGGGCAAAGAAGTAGCCAAAGGCGATATCTATGTGTGACCGCAGTGGGAGAAAGTCAGCAACGAGCAAGCAGATGGAGTTGATCCTTTGGGTGTGCTCACACGCTGGAACGTAGATGATGTCTTGCGGCCGGAACCACAGGTGGGGCAGGAGCTTGAGCGTGCGCGTCGCCGTGAGCCAGACGAGGTAAGAGACGACGATGCGCCACGCAGGCAAGTGGTACCCTCCATCCTCGACGCTCTTGGTCGACTTGTAGAGCAGGTACCCGACCAAGCATGGACCGACGAGGAGTGTCAGGGGGTTGATAAACTTGTCGATCATGCAATACGCCACGTAAGGGTGCCGGGTCCAAATATAACGCTCCTTGAATATGGAGCGGATGTCTGACCGCCATGTGTTGCGCGTCCATCTCAGCACCTGCTTCAAGAATCGCGCATCCGGCTTCATGGTGGAGAGCAGTTCGACCTCAGGACAGACCTGGAAGGAGCCAAACACAGGAGGGGAGACCTTTCAGCCAAAGGACTAGGTCCATGGCAGAAGCACGACCCCTCATTCTTACCTGGATGTAGGTGTTCCACCCATGGCTGACGAGCCATCTTGTGAGGAATTTGTCGTCACCAGAGTTGAGTCTATGCAGCGCCAGAGATATTTTCATTGTCAGCGAAAGGAACGCGGAGGATACTCTGAGCCTGCATGTTGGAGACTCACAGATATTTCTGTGGATTAACGAGGACGCATGGGTGGACAACCGTGCGTCAGCTCTATGTCAACACGTAGGCGGCGGGAAAGATTTACTCACGCCCAGCCAGTAGTCGTTCGTGAACCCCTGACACAATAAATACGAAATCAGCGGGCGCCTTTCTGACTGAGAACAGGACAGCTCACATGTAAAAAAGCTGGGTCCTTGAGGATGACAGTTCGATACGCTGCTGTACGACCCGAAAGGCACGGAACGCCACCATCGATGTGAGTGCTAGAAGCAATCTCAAAGTTGCGGATAGACAGACGGAAAGCTGCGAGCGTCTCCCACACCGTCATGCGGTTTCCGATCGGCTTGACGCGCTGCGAAGTGCCCACGCCTCCGACCTGCTGGTCCTCAAAGCATGCGAGGATCCATTCGAGCATCGTCGGTGGCCAGATGGCATCGTCGTCCGCAAAGACGATGATATCCGTCATAGTGTTGCGGATGCCGTGCGACATTTGCAGACGCTTGTTGGCCTTGGGAACCGTCAGGACTGTGATTCTGCTTGGATCGACTTGGTTTGCGAGTTCCTGCAGCGGTCCTTTCATCTTGGCCTCGGTGACGATGATGATTTGCGCCGGTTTGCTCTCGAGCCAGCTGTAGGCTGCCTCCTTGAACTCTTCTCCAGCGTCAATGGTTGGTACGATGCTGAGCAAGCGAACAGGAATGATCATCGTTAGGGCTAGTGCGCTACGACATCCACTCAGGCGACGACTCACATTGTGACATCTTCAGACGCAATGTAGGTCGGGTTCAGCGGCGGTGGGATGGGCCTGTAGACGAGTGCAGCAGCCAGACGGATGAGATACCAAAAGTATCTATAAAAGCCAATGACGCCGAATGGCACGACTAGTGACGGAAAAAGCAGGACGGGAGGATGGTAAGGCAAGCACGCTTTGCTGGCATTGCTCTGACAACAAAGGACATTGGAGGGGCTTGCTAAGACTCACAAACCGGAAACTTGTCAGCGGTGAGATACAGCATCTTGAAGACGCCTTGGTCCACCTAGGCGGACCTCTATTGGAAGCCGGTGTCGACAAGCTTATCGATCGAGCTCGAAGAAAGCCGGCGACGAGACACGAAACGATACACGTCCTGAGTCTACTCCTCTCACTCGCTCCTTGTATGAGACCGAGCGCAGCTTGCCCCGGGCAAAGGCTAATACTTCTGCTGCACACCGGCTTGCTGACAGCCACGTGCCACAACCTTTCTGAAGTACACCGATGTTCTCCCAACCTTGAAGGTGCTATAGAAGCGTGAGCTATTGATAGCCATCGGCAAGCGGAGGTTACTGTGAGGTGAAGTTTCAGGGAGTTGTGATGAGTGCATCAAAGGTCCACCCAAGTTGCGGTCGCAGCCAGCGTAGCGCAGCGGGAAGAGTCGCGCAATGCTGTGTGCTCCAGGCACTCGACCAACAGACAGGCCGGCGGGGGAAATGCCGAAGCCCCGAAAATCGAAACACCGATCAACAACAGTCTCGTCACGACGGTCCCGGGGAAGGATTTTGGATCGGGACAAGCTTGAGCGCATCCATACGCAACAACCTACAGCAGGATTACAGACGTCGACGCTTCAGCGCCTGCGAGAGAGGTCGAATCTTTTGCCATTTCCGAATGAAGCATGTTACGAAAGAATTTGCACACGGCTTGGCAGCCTGCGCAGGCAGTGCCTTTCCGATGGGTGGGGCGTGACGCAACAGGGCGACGCGTGCCAGCCGCCAGCCCGAGACCGTTCCAACGGTCGATGGAGGCTGGGACATGTGGACTGGACATTGGGCGAATGCGATGATTCCCAGGTCTGTTGGCTCTATGTACATACATGTGTCCTCTTTGGAGAAGACGAGGGCCTGGTCAAGTATGCATTGCATGATGTGAATGCTTTTAACCTGCTTCCACACTGCAAAGGTGTTTGACTTTTTATAGAGGGGATTTGAATCGGCCCACACGGCGGCGCTGGATTGGAGAGTAAAAGACATCTTGTGACCTTGCTTGGCGCCTTTGCCCGCAACCTGTATATTCCACTCTGAATCCATACACGGTATAGACAGGACAACGTCGGCTTGTCTTTACCTCCTTTTGATCATTTCGGATCGGTTGCTGCAACGGTGAGGGCTTTCAACCTGGTGCAAGTGCTGCCTTGCTAGCGTTCGCACTGCCTCGACTCATACCGCCTACATACGGATTGATGTGTCGCACTTCACATGAGGTTCTAATTCAAGATCGGTACACCACGGCAACGATAAGCAATGGTCTCGTGACGACTCCTTTGCTTTCGAAGCTGGGCCTTGGTGATTGACAGAACACAGTTAATGCGAGTCGGCGTTTATAAAAGGAGTGTGGTATCATGATGGAGTGCAATATAAACTGTTCGCACCCGGATTCTCATTTTCTCGACAGGACCTGCAAGGCCGTAGTTGAAAGCTGCAATCTTTAAGCGTATCCGTCCAGAACCATCATGGCGATCGACGGAAGCTGCCTCTGCGGCTGGGTCCGTTACAGCTACAATAGCGACACATATGATGGCATCGCATTCCGCTGCAGTCACTTCGGGCCACACCCCATCCTTCCACCGACGTGCTCGGCCGTCGGGTACGCGGACAACGGCGGGGTGCTAACACTTGCACACTCCTCGCTCGCCCTTTCTCGCCGTGGCCAGGTAGCAAGTACACGGGTACAGCTGCTCACTCTAGTGAACGATGAGACATAGAAGGCGGTGTTGGACCACCGTTTCCTGTGTAGCGTCCGGGGAACTGACATACCTTTGACATCCGCTCCTTAATCCCTTTGCCCCGGACTGCCTTCCGTAGCCTGGTCTGCCAGACGGCCAAGATGACTTGGAAGCAGCGAGACCATTTTGACCCAGTACGTCGATTCGTGCGGCAAGGGCGCCGGTCCGAACCGCCGGCAGCCTGATCTGCTCGACTCTCGAGTACGACGACAGCGTCTCGGACCTCAAAGCGGGCAGTCTGAACGGACTTTGAAAAGTGCCTGCCCGACGTCAAGGCACATCTGTACGCGCCGCAGGATGCCAAGGAGTTCAAGGCTTCGTATGGAGGCAATGGTGCGCGGTTTAATGGCGTACCATAGGCATTTTTGTAGCGCCGCTGGTAAGGAATGCTCACTCTTCGTCCAGCGTACTCGAGTCGTTCTGTCATACATCTGTAGAGCGTGAAAGGGTAGAGAGTGTCCCATCGGCGCTCCTCTTCCAACTGGGGAGTGAGCGACGCTTGTTCAGCAAGTCCGATGAGTCTGATCCCTGGTGCCGGATACCCTGATGCCCGTCCGCACTGCCAGCCGCACGCCTCTTGCCACGGGTCTCATCACCGCTCTTCATCGATTCAAGCCTTGGTTGCGTGTCTCTCCGCACTACCGACTATGCTGTCGACGGCCTCGAACAAGTGTCGCATTCAAATGTACCCACTCGAATAAGGCCGCAGGGAATGGGAAGATGGCTGAAATGCGCGCTCTCCCATTGGCTGCTGATGCGGGACTCCCCCGCATACACTTCCTCGCTGCTTGCAGACGATAGATTCAGAGTCCCCTTCCGTGTCGATCAGTGGTCTTTCACAGTTCCGCCGTTAAGCCGCTGGGTGAATCGGACAGGGCGGTGGGAGATCATCCTATAGTCAGTCATACGTGGTCCAGCTGATGGTCGCGGGGGTCTCATCTTGAGAGACGAGCTCCAAGTTGCATCTGCTTTCCAATGCTACTTCTGCATGCTCACTTCTTCGTGGTCAGTGCATAGACAAAAAGGCAGACAGAAACACGGGGAGAGGGGGGAAATCACCTCGTATCTCATACTCGCTGCTCTATCACCATGCTCTCCCCAACAGCACGTCGCAGCGCCGCGCTCGTCGCGGCAGCGCGCACTAGCGTATCGTCTCCCAGCTCGTCACATGCATCGCGGACCGCTAATGCCCTTCAGTCTTGCACCCGGCCAGCAGCAGCGGCACACAGCAGCTTGACATATTCATCGTCCTCCTCTTCGGTGCGCCGCACTGTCGCTTCTGTTCGCTCTGCTCTTGCCACTAGGCGGCATTTCATCACCTCCACAGCTGCCAAGAGAGATGTACCAGACGACGACGTCGACGCGCTCTTCGACCTCGCCAAGATCGAGCGCGTCTCAGACGAAGCTGACGTCGTCATCGTCGGTGGTGGGCCCGCTGGTCTCTCCGCAGCCATCCGCATCAAGCAGCTTGCAGAGGAAAAAGGCGAAGACATTCGCGTCGTACTGCTCGAAAAAGGCGGCGAAGTAGGTGAGTTTGGGAGGCGCTGTGGAGCAACCTGCTAGATCGACCCTGTCACTCATCGTGAGTCGCTCTGCTACCCTCCTTCTCATAGGTAACCATATCCTCTCTGGCGCAGTCATTCAGACAAACGCTCTTGATGAGCTCCTCCCAAATTGGAAAGAGCTCGGGGCACCGCTCAACCAGCCTGCAACAGAGGACCATATGCGCTTCCTGACGAAGAATGGTTCGTTCCCACTCCCTCACCCGCCACAAATGTCCAACAAGGGCAACTACATTGTCTCGCTGTCAAGAGTCGTTGCATGGCTCGGCGAGCAGGCCGAAGCGGCCGGCGTCGAGATCTACCCCGGCTTCGCAGGCTCGTCGATCATCTGGGACGAAGGCACCAATGGGGAAAAGAAAGGGATCAAGGGCATCGTCACGAATGAGATTGGCCTCAACAAGGCCAGACAGCCCAAGGACACCTTTGAGCCAGGCATGGAGTTCCGCGCACCCATCACGCTCTTCGCCGAAGGTGCACACGGCTCGTGTACACAGCAGCTCATCCGCGAGCTCGGACTGCGAGAGGCAGTGAATGCGGATCCGCAGACGTACGCACTCGGGATCAAGGAGGTGTGGAAGGTCAAGGAGGACAAGCACCAGCCTGGATGCGTCACGCACTCGCTCGGCTGGCCGATGGACATGCGCACGTACGGTGGTTCGTGGATGTACCACATGGAAGACGGCATGGTCTCCGTCGGTCTCGTCGTCGCGCTCGACTATGAGAACCCTTACATGAGCCCGTTCAAGGAGTTCCAACGCATGAAGCACCATCCATTCTTCAAGGACGTGCTCGAAGGCGGCGAGTGCCTTGCGTACGGAGCGCGCGTGCTCAACGAAGGTGGCTATCAGTCGATCCCCAAGCTGCACTTCCCGGGTGGTGCTTTGATCGGCTGCGCAGCTGGCTTCGTCAACGTGCCCAAGATTAAGGGGACGCACAATGCCATGAAAAGCGGCATGACTGCCGCAGAGGCTACCGTCGACGCCATCCTGGCTCGACGGGCTGCCAGCGGCGAAAGCGAGAGTGAGAGCAGCACAGAGAGACCAGGCATCGACCTGGTGGACTACAAAACCAAGTTGGACAACACATACGTCATGCAAGAGTTAAAGGAGGTCCGCAACTTGCGTCCAAGCTTCCACAACCCGCTCGGCCTGTATGGCGGCATCCTGTACTCGGGACTCGACTCGCTCATCCTCAAAGGCCGGACGCCATGGACGTTCCACCACAAGCAGGAAGACTACCAGGCAACCAAGCCAGCTTCGCAGTGCCGGCCGATCGATTACCCTAAGCCGGACGGGCAGCTGTCGTTCGACATCCTCACTAGCGTCTCACGTACTGGCACGAACCACACCGACGACCAGCCAGTCCACCTCGTCGTCAAGCAGGCCGACTATAAGGGACATGTCGAGCGCAACGTCGGCACGTACGACGGCCTGCTTGGACGCGTGTGCCCTGCGGCGGTGTACGAGTACGTCGATGCAGAGGAGGCGGGTGGTGAGGATGCGCTCGGCAAAAAACTCGTGATCAACAGTCAGAACTGCATCCAGTGAGTTACCGTCGGCCACACGGCGCAACAATATGCGCGCACTTGTGCGAGTGCAATGTCCGTTCTGACTCTGTGCCCTGGCCGCCTTTCGCCAGCTGCAAGACTTGCTCGATCAAAACGCCGGATCAAAGCATCACTTGGACTGTTCCAGAGGGTGGTGGAGGACCCAAGGTGAGTGGCACGAGGCAGCCAAAGAATGTGCTGATTGGAGCATGCTGACCGTTCTCGGTGATTTCTTCGCATTGCACTTGCTCGGCACTACAGTACTCGCTCACATAGGTCGTTCACCATGCTCGAGTCGAGCCGTACCTCAGACTATACTGTACACGCTGTAGCATATACGCTGCAAGCAAGCGTCTCATATCATGCCTTGTCGTGCAGCCATCGAATATGTCGCCAGCAGTCTACCGCCAGAGCAATCACCCCCTGAGTGCACCTGCCGTGGCGGTCGCGTTCGCCGGCTCCTTGCAAAGAAGAACTCAGGTTCAAACGCGAAAGCGTCTCGACGCCGAGTGATACCCATGGAGTAGTGCGCCTATCTGCAGCACCATGCTCTGCCGCTGGTGGAACGCAATCCGAGCTGCGGTGCGGTCTCAGCACGACCGATTAAGAGGACATCGTGGGTCTCGCATACTTCAGGGGAGGTGAGAGCCGGGCTGCTTACACGCCCCACAGCACTAGTAGCTAGTACAGACTACAGCACTTGATGAAGGATGCATGGACTCGTTGCCGTCAATGTGTCGCTTAGCGTTGACGTTCGGAATCGCTTCTCAGTTCACCACCTCTATCCCTCGTGCGCACGAAGCTAGCGGACGTGAATGTTGACGCAGACACGGCGACGGGCGAAGACTGAAGAGATGGTCGACCGCGGCGGCGGGCGCGACGGCATTGGTGCTCGCACAACGGGTGACAGAGGTTGGGCTCAGGGCGGCGGTCGCAGAGATAGCATGATCGGACAGAGGATAGTTCTAGCAGGAGCTGACTTGAATGGCGAAATTTTGACAGAGCGTCTCATATTATGTGCAGCTGAGGCGAACTGCTCATCGTTAACCACAGAAATTGGTGAGACGCTGCCCGATGTCGAGGCTGGTCCACCCAAGGTCTTCTTGGCCACTTTTGATATTCTTTTTTCCATAACAAGACCGCCGCGCAGCCCCCAATCTGCTCGAGGACAGAGCACAGCCACAATGGTTGTGGGAGGCACGACGGCTACAGTAACCAGCAGCTGCGGCAAGCAGCTGCTTGCGAGCGGCAGCCGCTCCAGCGCCCGCGTTGCAGCTCGCGTGACCGGCGCTTCTTCAATGGCAAGGTCCATCACCTTTGCTGTGAAAACATCCTCTCAAAGAGCAAACGCTGCAAGTGCACCTGCGCCTGTGGCGCTGAATGCGCCGACTGGAGTACGTAGATCCATTGCCACCGTCGCGGACGCTTCAGCCGCCATCGGCATTGCTCGTACCCACTCGTACCGCGTCGTCGTTGTCGGTGCAGGTGCCGCCGGCCAGGCGGTTTCGCATCAGCTCGCTCTTTCGGGCTTCTTCGACGCTGGCGACTCTTCCGCGCAGAACATCCTCGTCATCGATCCGTCAGAAACACATGACTATCAGCCAGGATGGACGCTCGTTGGGGCTGGACTTAAGCCCAAAGAAGAGTTCAGGAAGCCGATGCGCGAGTTGTTCGCTACTTCCTCGGAAGACGCACAAGGACAATCGAAGATCGATCATCTTCAAGATGCGGTTGAGAGCTTTGAACCTGAGAAGAACCGCATCGAGACGCGGGATGGAAGGACGATCGAATATGAGCAGCTCGTCGTCTGCCCAGGCATTCACATTAACTGGGCCGGCATTGAAGGTCTAGAAGAGGCACTGAGAGATGCGAAAAGCTCAGGCGTAAGCAGCATTTACAGCTATGTGAGTTACTGTATGGCTCAAACGGCAACTTTGCGGATTACGCTGACATTCACCGGTGCACTAACAGGATACGTGCTCTGACGTCTTCCCGCTGATCACCTCGCTGGACCGAGGTCGTGCAATCTTTACACAGCCAGCAGGGTTCATCAAATGCGCCGGAGCGCCACAAAAGGCCATGTGGCTTGCTCTGGACCACTGGAAGCAACGCGGTGTCTTCAGTCCATCAGATCCTTCGAAAGGCGTACAGATCACATTCGCAACCGGTATGCCCACGATGTTCTCTGCACCTAAGTACAGCAAAGTCTTAGATGAGATGCGTCAGGAGCGCCAAGTCGAAGGGCTGTTCCAGCATGACCTGGTTAAGATTGACCCGAAGCGCAAAGTAGCAACTTTCAACCGTCCGGACGGGCAGTCGCCTCTCGAAAAGCAGTACGACTTGCTGCACGCTACACCGCCCATGGGTCCGCTCCCGTGGATCAAGTCGTCGCCTCTGGCTGCTGCTGAAGGGGGTTTCGTCGACGTCGATCAAGCCACCACCCAGCACAAGAAATACAAGAACATCTGGTCCATCGGCGATTCTTCAAGCTTGGCCACTTCCAAGACGACAGCTGCGATTGCCTCTCAAGCGCCTGTGCTCGTCGCCAATCTGCTCCAAGCGCTCGCTAGCGATGGCAAGGCGATGTCAGTGGCTGCATACGACGGCTACACCTCGTGTCCGTTGCTTACGGAATACGGCAAGGTTTTGTTGGCTGAATTCAAGTACGGCGGAGTGCCGAAGGAGACGTTTGGCAATGCTTTTGGCATCGATCAGGCAGTACCAAGGCGCGCTTTCTACTACCTCAAGAAAGACTTCTTCCCTTGGGTCTACTTCAACTCGCACGTAAAAGGCACATGGCAAGGTCCCAAAGGATTTCTGAATGCCGCCAAGCTTGCGCCTTCCAGTGCGAGTAGCGCGAGATCGATTCACACTGCCTCAAGGCCATCCATATCGCCCAGACGCTTTGCCTTTGGCAATCAGACACGCACCTTCAGTTCATCCCCCGCAACATCGCGTAACACGCCTGCTCGTCGACCCCGCGACCCTCTCGCAGTTGACCGCTCAGCTATGCACCATCGTCTGCCAACCGGCGAGACATTCATCGTCCGTCCCCCCCCGAGCGCGCCGAGCCCTTACACCTCGACGCTGACGCCGAACCCGATCCTTGACGGCATTGCCGCTGCTCCACCTAGCCCCGCTCTGCCACCGCCCATCAAACCCCGTACACGATCATCCGTCTTGCCGGGAAGCCAACCTTTGACTGCTCAGCAAATTCTGCAACTTCAAGCGCTTCGCAAAGAGGACCCATTGAAGAACACGGCGAGCAAGCTAGCCAAACAATTCGGCTGCTCGCCTACCTTTGTTCGCATTGCTGCACCAGCGCCGAAGGAGATCAAAGAGCTCCGCTCCTCTGCACTCGATGCCTTGCGTCGCACCTGGGGTCTTCGCAAGCAAGTTGCCAGGACTGAAAAAGCTGAGCGCCGCAAGTTGTGGTGATTTGCGCTGGTAATTGTACATCACACCAACACTCTGTCCACATCCTGCATTCTATAGAAACGAATGTCTATCGGCGTACTTGCTGCTTGTATGCGGTATCTATCAAGTCTTGCATGCTCCAAATTCGGAGCAGTCCCTGGTTGATCGCGTTCTCCGAGGTCCATGCGGGCTGGACTTGAGCTGTACATTCCTCCAAAGGTCCTTCTGCAACTACCAGCTGCGAAACGCCACATGCCTCGCCGTTAACGCTCTCCTCGCCAGGCGGCAGCACCATCTCGATAAAGCGATATGAACCGTCACGCTGACCTTCCACTTCCAGTATCGTCTGTCGGGAACACCTCTCTTCCCGCTTTCCTTCGCATTCCCAGAGTGCCAGTTGAATCTTGGCAAAGTCGAACCCAAGACCATTGCCGAAATTCTTTGTCAACGCCTCCTTGTGCGTCCACAAGTCAAATTGTCGAGCTAGCATTTCGGCGTCAGGAAACGAAAGTGGCACAGGTCGCGCTCTTTGCTGCTCTCGCGAGAGGATACTCTGTGATGAAGCTCGGCTGCCTGGGCTAGCACTGAGCACCCAATCCTTCTCTGCTGGCGTCATTGTCATGTTCATTGTATCGACCAGATTGCGCACAGACGATTCGTATCGGGGCAGAGTGCGCGACATAACGTCGATTCCCAGGCGAGCCTCAGCGAGTGATTGGGCACGCAGGCCAGGCTTGTGCGACTTCTTGGCAGCAGCATCTGGAGTGTGCGACTTTTCGTGAAAGGCTATGGCGACCCAATCGCCATCGTGCGTGACATTGTAGTCCGTGGTGTGCTCGAGTCTCGGTGAGCTCAGATACGGCCTGCCCTCTCTCGTCTTGGAGAACTTCATCTCTCCCCACCGACAGGAGTACAATTGATTGTAGACGAGTCTGGGTAATAACTGGCCAGCCAGTGCCCTCGCCTTGTCTACAGCTTTCACGTAGTGCTTGACCTTCTCAGCAGCTTCAGGTGACGATGCAAGGAGCTCCTCGGCGAGCCGCGGAAGCTCGTCCTCGGGCGTCGTAGCAAGCCACCTGGACACGTCCACTGCCCAAACTCGAAGGGCTGGTGAGCCCTGCAGAGCCACTTGACTTGCTTCATTGATGCAGTCGGTGAAAGGAGTCTGGGGTTGTTCGGATGAGGGTGAGATCACGAAAGGCTGAATATCTTGCTTCGTGGGCTCCTTCTGCAACCCATGGGATTCATGAGGTTCGTTTCTATCAGCTCTCCCCTCACCTGCGGATGCGCTGGCGGCGATGGGCACCTTCCATTGGGGTACAGTGCAAACCGGCTGCTGGTCCATGAACAGGCACGACAACAGCAAAAGATTGAAAGCCTCGCTCGTCCAATAGCTGGTGTGCGCGGTGAGCATATGAAGATACTCGCTAAATCCTTGGCCGTCCAGAACGAAATCGATGCATCCGAATGGATTCAGAGCTCTGAAGCGCTTCTCGCCCTTTTCAAACGCTTTCAGGCTAAAGGTGTCCGCAGCCTGCTTCGGGTCGGAGCTTGCTTTCTGTCGACCTTCGTGCTTTTCTTGAGATCTTGCGTCGGCTTGTGAAAGGTTGACTTTACCCGATTCGACATCCTTGCTGTAAGTCCTCAGGGCCGAGAAAGGGTGTTCACCCACGCCAAAGATTTTTGAGATGCTTAGGCGCGGCAAAGATAAGGACTCGAGTATCGACTCGGGGGCAGCTTGAATCGAGACTTGCTTGATGACTTTTGCGTATGTACCGTCGCATGTGGCTGAGAGATTATAGCCCACCGGATCCGACGAGTGATAAATATTAAATAGGGTTTCTGTAGCCAGACAACCATAGTGTCCAACTCGGTCGCTGACTGCCTCGTCTTCCATGCCTTCAGTCCTGTTGTTGCCTTTGCGTGCAATCAGCTGCCCCCCATCGAGGTATAGAAAGAAGCCGACGGGACTGCCAATGAAGAAGCAGTGCTTGACGTTAAACAGCAAATGCCGATTCTCATTCTGCTCGAGCTCCTCTTTGCTGAGTTCCGAAAGGAGCTTTACATGCGTCGGCTGCTCGGACAAAATGGCACTTCCCAACGCGCTTCCCAGAGAATGGCAGATCAAGCTCACGCGTCCACCCTCGCACTCGAACGCTGGATTCCGTTGAACGAACAGTCGGTAGACACGATTGAGCTCGCGCTTGACTGCCTGGATCATCGACTTGCGATGTGATGATAAGTAGAAAGGGACATCGAGGAGGACTTTAGAGATAACGTTTCTAACGACCGGAATCGACACGTTGTTTGAGACGTCCATGAGCGTGAAAAAATTGTCGTTGCCTTCGACTTGCCTGTCGAAGGATAGACCCGAGCGCCAGCATATGGGCAGGAACTGCACCCGCCTCCCGCGGGACAGCTTGCGCATCTCCGGCCGTTCTGCTTGGTTACGGCTGGTGCCGCGCAAACGCTCGACGTCGTAAACAAAGTTGAGCCCGTCAAAGTCGCCTGCGAGTTCTTGGCCGATGCCGTGGATGCATAGCACAAGCTCTGGTGGTTCTCCAGCGCGGTCCGACGGCGGCTCAGGGAGAGAGGTCTCATCTTGGGTTGGTTCGCCGTCCGTAACCTGTTCCGTGCTCTTATCGTGCCATGGCTTTTGCAACTCTTCGTTGGAAGCTCCAAAAATCTTGCGGATGCCATTGACAGGCAAGAGCCAGATGCTGTTTTCGCTGGATGGCCACAGGCGTGCCGCAAAAGATGACCCTTCATTGCTCGAGCCGCCTTGATCTTCATCTTCCCCTGGTTCACTTGCGCTGTGCTTCGGCAAACAAGACGCCCCGAGCTTTCCCTTTCTCCCTTTTGCGGCGCTCGTATCCCCATGCTTCTTTCTCGCCTGTGTGGCCTCCGCTCGACCCCCCTTCGCGCCATTGTAGGAGTCCGAGTCCAAATCAGAGTCAGAATCTGAGTCTGAGTCGCCAGCGAACCATGGAAGTATGGTTTGTACGTGTTCAATCAGGGTGCCCGAAGACCTTTCCCGGGCGATGCGGTCAGCCTCTCGGAAACCACGTATCACTTTCGAACCACCGAGAATGGAGAGGAAGCGACCGCCAAAATCGACACTGCGAAGCATGGCGAGCGTTGGGAGACGTAGTGTCAACACAGAGCCGAAGTAACAGAGCTTTAGCGCAAGCGGGCAACCTCACGAGAAGAGCTTTGCACTTGTTGCACTTTCCCAATGAACCGTACCTGCTTGTTTTGCCATACACGGTAGCTCTACTTGGTTATTGTTTTGAACTTCCCCATTCGCCTGTGTCCTGTCGAAGGTCCACGGCTTGACTTGGTCATAAGACATCTCCAAGTCTGTAGCGAGCTCCTCATCATAGCCGATCGGTGCGTAGCTGCCGTCCGCCATGCTTGAGTAGAAGTACGTGGCGCGCATGATCTGTACCAGCATGCCCTTGAAGAAAACTGGATACATTGTCATGGTTGACAAATCTGCATCGAAAAGACGGTCCTCGAGGACCGCGACTGTCGTTCGTCGGGCTGGGTGAGAAGGAGACAGGATAGGATCAAGGGTTCGGTTGACCATGATTTTGGAAGGGCGTATGGATTGTTTGCTCCTGTTCTTCGCTTCTGATCCACGTTCATTCTCGGACTTGTTTCCAGAAGGCTGCAAGTTCTGCATGGCACTTTCAACCGCGTCAATGCCCGAAGGAGGAGAGCGTGGTAATAACATTCGTTTTGTCTTCTCCAGGTGTTCTCCGCTATCCCCTTGCCCACCCTTGCGGCTCGTATTGTCTCCATCATTCGATTCGTCAGCAAGTGCTTCGTCTGTGCGGCATTCTATCTGCTCTCCTCCAAGCTCGACCCATTTTCTTTCCAAAGCGGCGTTGTCCTCGTCCGAAAAGACCGCCCAGCGTTTTTTCCAGGCATAGAACCAGCGGGCTTCCAGTCGTGGCTTTTCCTTCCCAATCTGTTGCACTTGAAGAGAAGTGGGTAAACTATCTGGTTCACGTGAGTCAGTCATCATGGCCACAGACCCCAGTCTCGCGCCGAGACCAAGTTTTACGGCACGCTGGCGTGGCTGCGGACAAGTGGTCTGTGTGCAGCATGAACCTGCGTGATCGATACGAAGCAGCTCAAGCGCTCAAGACTGCGCCGAACTGATGGGGGATCCCGAGAACCCGTGTTTGACATTTAGGAGCATTGTCTTTTGGGTGACACTGCGCTTTTGGTGACACCTGACCAAACTCAGCTGAGAAGCCCGGATTTTGAGTCCTGACTGTGCGGCGGTGCATATGCATTACTCTTTTTTGTGGTGTCTATCGACTCATCGCTCATCGCACTCATCACTGCATCACTATTCACTGTTGTGGTCTTCCAGATAACACTCAGTCTCCTGTGGCGTCTGTTCTCTGTAGCCATCGGCACCGGGTTTCGACTTGCGCCAGTGCTTCTTTTGTTGGATTGTTGATGCTCGTTCGTGTACTATCGGTGGTTGTTCGACAGCACAGCACCCAGCACGCAGTTATTGCACATGCGGATACGCCCTCAACTAGCAAACTCCCTACAGGTTTCGAGCGTCAAGTGTCAAGCTCCTCAAGTTCTAAGATTTAAGCATTGCCTATCGCACATTGTGTATACCATATATCATACGTCCAAGCGTGGGAAATGCAGGAACAACAGCGAGTTCGAGTTACCCAGCGAGAGGCATTTCACGGTCGCAGCTTGGAGCCTTTCCTTGCCGCTTCCAGCGCGCCCGCCAGAGAGAATCCTAGCTCCGAAGGGGATTGACGACCGTCTCATTTCTATTTAGCTGCGGAGCCATCCTTGATTCAGCATAGTTCACAATTTCATCGTCACTAGCAATTGTGAGTTTGTTGGGTAGTGTTGGACCGCGTGGCACATTTCTGAGTCCATTCGCCATGTCATGCATCCCGTTCTGCCATTCCACAGAACTTTACACGTACACATGAATAGTGTTGCGAGCTGCAGAGCGGGCCGCTTGTGAGCCAATAACCACATCTGGAGCAATTCCAATTGTGCCTGGTGACTCTGCCAGGCTGGGCCATGATGTCAGCTTAATGCTTGAGATGATGCCCAATTGATTTTACCAGTAGCCTCCTGCTTGCCAGGCGCCCACCAAGAAGCTGGGAGGCCCAAAAGAAGAGTCAAAGGGCCGCTAAAATGTATCTGCAGGCTGCAGTCTGCACGTTACCCTAAGGCCAAAGCACAAACTAGCAAGTCACACAACCAGTCTTTTGACTTTTGATCATGAGCACTGATCGGCATGACGTCATGGGGTATGCTTGTTGGAAATGTGTCGTCTCTCCATCGTGCCTCTGTTTGGCTGGTGCAATAGTTCAGAGGTGTGTAGTCAAATGCCCATGCAGAATGACGTCATTCACAATGCTTGCCAGCAATGGTGTCTGGATGGATGAATGTCTGTCTGGTGGGTCAGACTAGCTACTCGTCTGTCCCCATCTTGGCCCCGCGTATTGAGACCAGCACACGGCATCGGCCGACCGTCCGTCATCACCAAGCCCTGTGCCATCCTTGGATTGTGCCCCACTGTACTAAGATGCAATGGACGCACAGCCTTTACCGGAGGCTGGTGAACATATAAACCCTTACCTGAGTCCGTACAACTTCTTTCGTGAATCTCTCCAGAAGCCACAACGTTGGTCGCTCACGGCTACACACAATCCTCTCCTTTCAAAGGGTGTATGACTGGAACGAGGTGCGAACGTCGCACATGGGATGCTGCTTGCTTCCTCGCACTTTTGTTGATCATCTGCCCTCACTTCTGCTTGACCATCTTGCATCTTTGATTGCTCGTCTCATTCTTGGACCCTCTCCCACCATCTCCGATTGAACCTTCAAGTAAACCACACTAATCACAATGGAGACCGTTAAAAACGTTGCTAACTACGTTTCCGAGTCGTGAGTATAATTCAACACACCTGCACTCCGCCTCGTCTGTGGTTTCTCATAAATGTCGCCGATCACTCTCGCGTCAAACCCTCTATACAGTGTCCAAGGTGCCATCAGCCAGGGCTCGTATGAGACCAACAAGGCTGTCGCCAAGGACTCGAATGCCTCCATCGGCACGAGGATCTCCGCCGGTGTTGACGCCATCAACGACAAGATCGAGCAGAAAGGCCACGAGGCAGGGGCTGACCTTCACAATGAGGCTGCCAAGCATTAAATACGAAAATACCTGTGCCATCCATCATCAACCGCCCATATCCAATGGGTTTACTTGGTCAATCGCTTAACTATGAACACGCAATGTATTTATTGCAGTTATTAAGCAAATTGATTGTCCACTGCCAGCTTGTCTCAATTCCGCGTTCGATCTTAGAGCCTCAATACATTGTCAAGCGAGTGCGCCTGATTCAGCGAGCAGAAGCTGGCTCGCACGGTGCCCCCATCCTTACAGCAGCCCGTCCGAGCCATAGTTCTACGGCGCGAGCTTGTTGATGCTGATAACTCGGAACATCAGGACCCGAAGGAACGAGACGGTGCCAACGCTTGGAACCCTCCTGTCAGAGCTGAAGCCAGAGCAAGCTCCCGGCTCAACGCTCAAAAATACTGCCTGGGTATCATAACATGCAAGATATTGGCCTGCTGTCCCAACAACAGGATATCGACTTTAGATTTCGAGCAAGCGGGGTTGCTATGCTACAAAGAAACCAGAACTCACTCTATACAGGACGAAAAACACGTACATGTATTTACGGTGCTCCAGATATTAGTCGATGCATTGCATATATTTATAGCGCTTTCACATGCATTGTACAACAGATTGCTGTGCAGGATGTCTCGTCGGCAGGCCTCTTTCCATCCAGCGAGCGGTAATCAAGCAGACATACAGTATGCAGAGAGCAAACAGACGTCATCCAACATCCTGAGCTGGCGTGGTCTGCGCAAGCGTTGATCCCCCATATGTCTTCTACAGGCAGCAGTGATCGCCACGGCCTCACTGTCAACCCTTTTTTGTTCCTGGGGAGAATGACACAACCACAGTTGCGGGTGTGCTCGAGGACTGTATAGGGTGCGGTGGAGAACCTCCGCCTGTGATCACCTTCCCTGTCTCATTCGGCATGTGGGATGATGAGCAGGGCGGAACAGGGTCCCCCTCCACCTCCATCTAATACTCGTTCATTGCCACTCTACTCCCACGTGGGCCACCCTCATCACGCACCACAACCTGAGAGCCAAGGGCTCGTTCGTAATTTGTGACTTGCTTCGATGATGCTTGCCTCTTGACATGAGCGCTTGAGAGTGCCTCAGCCTTGCGGGCAAGCAAGCACAGCCCAACAAAGCGGCCGAGTGTTGACACTGGCCAGAGTGCTGGTCTTGGCTTGGCCTTGTGCAGCCACTGTGTCCCGGGCAGGGGATGCTCTCGTCATGATCTGAGGATGGGCTGTGCGGCGCAGCCAGGGTCATACAGTGCCCTCATCAAACAGATCATGTTGCTCACTGACATACTGACATCTGTAAGGGTCCCGTTCTTGGTACATGGAGCAGCATGACGCGTGCCAGGCGTCAGGCCAGTTGCAAGCAAGTTCCCACTCTCCAGCCAACAAGTGATGCCCGCCTGTTCTTGATTGCAGATGATGCCGTCACCGTTTTACCGTGTACAGCCCTGTTGGTCCCAGGTCCCAACCCAGCCCCACCACCTGCTTGTTGAACACCTTTTGGTGCGTATATAAGAAGCCCGAGGACTGCTAGGCCTCGTTGATTATGTTTTCTTCCTTACAAATTCAGTGCCACTCACCGAATCACATCTCCAGCCCACCTCAATCAAACTTTCAATCACTCACAATGGAGACTGTCAAGAAGTGAGTCTCTTTCTACGTGCTGTGGACGCAGCTACATTTACTTTGATCAGCCCCATCTGACATCACGTTGCTCTACTTTACTCTCTCTTGAAAGCGCCGCCAACTACATCTCGGAGAGCGTCCAGCAAGCCACCACCGGTGCATCCAAGGAGGCCAACAAGAACATCGCCAAAGACTCTAACGCCTCCCTCAGCACCAGGGTGCGTTCTTTGCCACATTCACGACTTGATATTTCACGACAGTGTAAACTGACATACCACGCGTTGACTCGCTCTCGTACTGCAGACCTCGGCAGGCATCGACGCCGTCAAGGACAAGGCCAAGGAGGAGAAGCACAACGCCAAGGGCGAAGCGCACAAGGAGGCTGCCAAGAACTGAGCGTTTTCTCCATACCTGTCCACATTGCAAATGTACTAGTTACGGTAGTCACGAACAATTAAATGTTTGACGTTTGCATCTACATCGGCCTCCCCCCATTTCGTCCTGGCTATCCAGCCTGAAAACTACGGTCGATAGTAGCAGCTAACAACGGATGCGAATGAAGTCGCGTTCGTACAGCTTGAGGCCAGCCTGACTAACTTCAAGGTTGGATAACACGCCCGACATGTAGCAGGTGATAGACATGCTGAACAGCAAAGGCAAGCTTGCTAACGTGCGTATGGCATTTCGACGAGCGAGATGGACTGCATGTACAGAGACTGCGATCAGACGTGTGCATACTTGCCCTCATACTTTCTCGCCTTGGTCATGGCCGCGATGATCGCCGAGCCGACGCCGCTGCCGTCCTCTGCCTGGCGCACCTGGATCTTCTTGCCGTTTTCGCCAAAGATGTCGACGAGTGCTTGCTGCAGGCGCTCGGGGAACTTGGGGTACTTGCTGTACAAGCTGCCGTCAGCGCCGACGCCGCACCCTTGCTCTGTGAGGCCCATCTTTGTGACCAACGCGGCGATGCCGCACGAGGACAGGCGGGCGGCGCGCGTGCCGATCAGTTTAGCCAGCTCGCGGAAGAACTTGCGCTCGGGGATCGTCGTCTCGAGGCTAAAGAAGTGCGTGAAGAGGCCGGTGATGGTCAGCAGCTCGTCTGTCGGATCCGACTCCATGAGCGAGAGGAAGGCTGTGTCGAAGACGTATGGCTTCTCGATCTTGTAGGTGTTCTGGCCCAGGAAGAGGTCGCCATCGTCGGCCATCTCGACAAGGCACAGGCGGAACAGCTCGCCAAGGTAGAGACCGGCGATCATCTTCTCGTACACCTGCTCTTTGGGCTTGTTGGAAGTTAAGTCGATATGCAAGTCGTACTTGGTTCGTGGAAGGTATTTGGAGTCGAACGAGTCGAATGCGCCGTATTCGCAGTTGATCGCCATCTCTTCGTCCTCTGGTAGCTCCTTGTGCTTGATCTTGGGGATGTTCTTGATCTTCTCCATGTATGCCGCATTGCACCCAGTGCCAAAGATACATGCGATGCGCGTGTCATCATTGACATCTGGAGGATCCAAGAGTCGTCAGGCCACTTCGAGTCGTCAATATAGGGACTCGTCACTAACAATTGGAAGCAATCAGAGTGCCGGTGGTGTCGTTGATGATGGAGGTCATGTGAATTGGGACTTTCTGGCTCTCAAGCGCTTTGCGGAACATCTCTGCACAATCTCTACCCTCGGTATTGGGGCTGCCGAAGCCCTTTGTCCAGCGCACAAGAACGCCATGGTCGATGCGATCTTGCTCCATTGGGTAGCTGAAGGTGAACCCAAGCGGGATGTCCTCCTCTAGGAGAGGCCCCTCTGAGCCCTCGCTGCTGAAGTGGTCGCAAATGAAGGTATCAAGGCACTTGGCGCAGAATTCGAAAAGCTTCTGACCCTCCTCTTGCTTTTGCTCATCGGTCAGCCTGAACTTGGTTTGTGTGACTTCGAACTTCCCTTGACCTTTCAGTGCTACATGGCAAACACGAAGATTTGTGCCTCCGAGATCGAGGGCGAGATACGATCCCACTTCTTCTCCCGATGGCCAGCCAAAGACGTAAGCTGGCAGCATGGGCTGCAAGCACATACTCAGCAGTCAGCGGTTCGCCCGTGCAACAGGGAAAGGCGAAGCGCATCGCTGATCGACGCACCACTGTCTGGCCATCCTTCTCCAGCCCATTCTTGAGTACTTCAACGAAGTTATTGACGATCTCCTTAAGCTTGTCTGCTGAAACGGTGAACTGCTCAGTGTATTTGGCCAACAGACGCTTCAAGTCTTCATCTCGCGCTGCGGGATTAGCCTCATGCTTCTCCGTCGACGTGTGCCACGAGACAACCTGCAGTAAGGATGAAAAGCAATAACAAGGCCGTTACATATGGCGTTCGTGCGGGAATGAGCTTGCTTGGAAAAAGACTTACGTGCGTCTCCAGTCGCTCGACGCCGCTCCCTCGCCTGCCCTTGATGCTGCTGGCCCGGGACGGGCGACGCCCGGAAGTGGTGTCCATGGCCGCCATGTCTGCTTCCGCAACGGTCGCACAACCCCTTTTTGGCTTTGCACAATTGTCAATGTGCCAAATGGGATACCTTGCTGTCGGTGTGGATACGTCCACGAGCCATTACAGACAAACGGTAGGCGAGAACGAAGAGAGCGTTGGGGTGATATACAAAGTTGAGGCCATCGAGGAGGCGGAGCGAGACACCGACGGAGAGCCGAGACGACCAAGAAGGACTGACAGCCCGCGTCATAGCTGACAGCAGGGCGGCTGTGCAGTAAGTATGCTGACTCGACTGCAGCCAATTTCCGAACCCCGGCTTTCGGCCTGCGGGTCTGGTAAGTGGGGGGACACAACCCTAGTTTATGAGGCTGCTGCTGATTTTGCTAACATGAGTTACGTAAGCACCTAGCAATTACGTGGCGGGCTAGCCCAGTTGCCCTCCCCTCTATATAGATGCATGCAACGCGCCCGTCTATGCTGTCCCTTTACAACGAAGCTTCACGCCTGGTGATTTCCATGCTTGGTTACGGAAGGCTGTCCGACCCTGAGACGGACGCTGAACGCAGACCGTGGCTCGTGTGCGAAAAGTGATGATTCAACCGACCATGCTGGGCACCGACGCCGACGAGCAGCAGTGGCCCGTGGAGCTGTGGGTGTACGACCTTTCTCAAGGCCTCGCCCGCCAGCTGTCTATGGGTCTCCTCGGCCGCAGCTTCGATGCCATCTACCACACTTCCTTGGTCGTCTACGGTCGAGAATACTTTTACGGACAGGGGGTTGATGTGACGACCCCTGGGCATAGTCATGTCCGTTCATTTACCGTCCTTGCAGTGGAGCGGATGTGGAACTGATACCCTACACCGTCTTTTTATTGTCACACAGCACGGCCAACCGCAAGAAAAGATCGATATGGGCTACACGTCGGTCGACCCGGACACGTGGAATGAGCTGTTGCAAGACCTCAGAGAGCGTTTCACCGCCTCAAAGTACCATCTGCTCGAACACAATTGCAATACATTTACGAACGAATGCATGCAGATCCTGACTGGCCGCGAGATCCCTGCACGCATCACCAACCTCCCAGCCGACTTTCTATCCACACCGTTCGGAATGATGATGCGTCCGCAGATCGACGCCATGTTCCGGCCAGCAAACACGAATCACCTTCCCGTCGCACCTACCACTGCAGGACCCGGGCCTAGCTCTGCGCTTTTGAATGTGGTGGCAAATCGAGCATTTGCCGGCAACATGGATGACAAACAGCATGTCCCTACGCCACCTGCTGCAACCGAAAAGAATCTGCGAAGTTGCACGAGCGATGCCTCTTCTTTTTCTATGCCTCCTGTAGCGGTGCATCCGCACGACAAGATCCAGCTCGCCTCGTATGCCGACAGCAGCGAAGCAACGTGGACACGACCCAGCCGATGGGATGCGAAACTGAATTATCGTACAGTATTATCGCGCATTGACGCGGCCATCTCAGCTTGCCCCGCAGCTGCTACATCTTTCTCCATCAAAGCCGAACTGCAAGACGCGGAGCGCATATACCGCTCCTCCGTCATTCCTGCGCTCGAACGCGCTGCTCTTTCTTCGACAGCAATCAGCTTAGATTCGAATCGCCTCGCGGACCTACAACGCGCCAACGCAACCCTTAGCACGCACTTCTCCACCATGGCGATTTTCCCGCTTGTCGAACTAGTGCGCAGCGTAGCTCTCACTACTCCCGACACGCTAGCATGGACGAGCGTTTCGCGGACAGAAGTGGCGTTCGGAAAGCATCTGGCCGAGCTGTTGCACGACAAGCCCAAGAACCAGGACGGCTCGCTTAAAGGCGTTAAAGTGCTGCAGAGCGGGCTGCGCATGATAGCCAACGGATTCTCGCATACAGGAGCGACATTGCCCAATGCAGCATTGCCTCTTCCAAGTGCACGCTCTTTAATCGTAGAAGGTGTGCTGCATCCGCATGGGGATGTGCGTGAAGCTGCCGCGTCCGCTATCTGGAACATGTGCTTGCTGAATGAAACGCAACGCGGTCAGCTGCTCGACGCTGAAGCAGTGTCCGAACTATGCTGCGCCTTAATCGAAGCGGTCAAATCCGAGGACATGTCAGCGTTGGCGTCGGCGAAGCTCTTGGCATTATTGCTACGAGCGCTGATCAAATTGCTCCACAAGAGTCTGTACTGGGAGGAGACGCTAGACCAGCTTCTGCAGGTATTGGAGCTGGATACTATCTTGGCGGGCAAGGTGGCACTCTTGAACAAACTAGATGGCGACGAGCAAAGGAGCCAGTTGCAGCATTTGATTACAGATATACGAGCTCTATACGCGAATTCATGATGAGTTCTTGCTCCGCTTCAGGAGCATCTCATGCGGGCTCTCGGCCAGTTATCATGACATGCCCACCGTGAAGCTTCCTTGCGGCGACTTCCTCGCGTCCCAACCTCTGTATTTCGCTACTGTTGCCGTCAGCGCCGCCGAGCACATGATCCGGCACTCGGTTCGCCCAACCTGAGCCTTTGATTCGTTCATGGAATGGCGGCAGCCCAAGGGAGAGCCGGCTGCTTCTGGTATTGTGTTCGGTCTCATTGTGTGGCGCCTTTGCTGTCTGCTTCATTGTCGCTGTATTGTTGGTGTTTCCAGGAGATCCGCACGCGATACGACGACGCCGCTCGAGCGCTGCGATCTTGCGCTTCTCGTTATTGGTTGGGCCTGGCGCTCGACCTGGTTGTCCATAGATCTTGAGAAGCAGAGTATCATTCGATTTTCGATGAGAGCGGGAGGCTGCAGGCTCTTGCTGTTCTCTAGATTTGCCAGGTGGGAACAGAGCCCGCCTTGCGCGCTGGATTCCACGCTCCAGGGTCTCAGGTAGGGGACCTGTAGGTTGCAGTGAAGCTTGCAACAAAGAGTCACAGGCCATCACTTTTGAATTGCTCGTTCTCTTTCCCTTCTTCCCTCCTTCATCGCTAGTAGTGCCAGTGGCGCTGCTGGAGTGGGTACCATGTGGAACATCAGCTACTCGCAGCAAGGACGCTTCTTGTTGAATCCGACGTGAGACGAGGTCTGCAAGATTACCCGCCTTGCGACGCTGACGCTGCGGTATCCGATTCTTGCTTGTTCTCCCTTCAGTGTGATGAGCGGTCGGTGCAGTAGCAGCAGCACCTAGGCCGAAGACTGGGAGACCCTCCGTTTGCGTGGGTTTGATATGGGCGTGCGCTCCAGCGACATGCACTGACGTGCCACTGGTCGGCTGAACGGAGCCCACATCTGTTTCCATGCCCATCTCGGGGATTTCCTGATTCTCAGCTTGTGCCTGCGGTCCTTCTGTTCCTTCGTCTGCTGTCTCTCCACGGTCGAATTCAAAGGCGCATCCGTTAGCATCATCGCTGCGACGGTTCTGACTACAGCTGCTCGTGGCTCCATCCATGACTGTGCCGGCAGGCGGTGCAGGTAAGCGTCGCTTGAAGCCGCAGTGCGCGCAAGTATGCTGCACGACGCTTCCATGCGCCTTCGATTCGTTGACGCGCACTTCGTCTGTGATGCCTGGTAGTAGCAGAGTGTCACATCGTTTGCAAATTGACCGTTTGATTGAGGGATCCCTGTGAGGTAAGAAAAGTAAAGGGAGCCATTGAGAGGCACAGGTTCTGCGTCAGAGGAACATCATATCGCTGATAAATGACATGAATAGACTGACAAGGAGATAACAGCTTTCCGAGCCAGCGCTTTCATCTCGCCGACACGCCTTCGAGCTAGCTCGGCCAAGTGATCGCTCGTCGCATCATACTTGTGTGTCTTCGATTGTGCCGCATTTTCTCCATGACTATCTTTGTGCTCCACTTTTTTGGGAGCTGTCGGATTCGCACGGTACATGAAGGCCTGCAGAGTGAGCACCATGGCGGACTGCAGCATGTTATTGAGCGTGCTGAACGCATCGAAATTTGGTGCTGTCTTGGGTATTGGCGGCTCCTGCAGCGCTTTAGTATTTTCCATGTTTTGATTTGCTTTTGCTTTGCCCTTCCCCTTGCCACCCTTAGCATCGCTTGCCTCACGTTGGCGACCGGGCGTACCGCGATCATGTCCTTTTCTTCGGCTTTCCTTTCGCTGATCTGACGCGAGAGCAGACAAAGTTTGGGTTCTTTCAAGCGAAGTAGGAGCTGAACCTCCTCCTTCTTGAATCATTCCAGAACCTGGCGCTAAAGCGACATGCGTGGGCTGCTGTCGATCATTCCAGTTGTCATCATCATCCAGTTCTGTGCCCACAGCAGCAGCTTCTGCTTGCCGCCCTCCACCTGCGCCGCCAGTGACAGCAGCGCCATCGACGGCTTGCTCGCCATACTTCCTTTTGCGACCCATGATACCAACGCAGTTCAGCTCTCTCCTGGAATGCGCATTCTGTACGGCACCAAGCTTTACCTCTGTTGGGCCGTCCAGATAGCAACGCTAACAAGGCAATGCGTGTCGTTAAAGGATCCTTATATCATACGCTTGCCATAGTGCGCGAGCAGCGAGAGCGATGCTGATGGAGATGTGCTATTCGGTGCAAGTCGTTCCTCCCCACGGCCTGCGAATTTTTTTCGGAGGATTTCCTCTGACCTCTCATTGTTCGGCTGCTATAAAATACACCATGGTATCAGCCTCATCGTGTGCAATCCCAGAGTGTGTGTTCGTCTTGCGTACAACGAGCACGATCTCCCCGTGTCCTCACCTGACAGTGTAGGAACAACAGTACCGCCTTTTCAATTAGCAACCATGGGCACCGCTGCTGGGTTCTCTGCCTCCAAGGGCAAGGCAAAAGCCACCGGCTCTATTGGTGCACCGTCGTCCAAGGCTCCGTCTCGCAAGTCAAAGGCGAGCTGGCGCAAAGCAATCGACCTCACCGATGTGGACGAGCACCTCGAGTCGCAGCGATTACAGGAGCGCCTCATTGGCCCCTCTTCCACCAGCAACTCTGCTGCCGGTTCGCTCTTCACTCTCGACCGTACCGGCGATGAGCAGGTTGCAAAACAGATCCAAAAGAGAGAAAAGGCCGGCAAGCGTCCGCTGAAGAGCTTGCAGATCCTTCAGGAGCGCTCCGCTGTACCTCCCGTTCAGGCACGTGCCCGTGCTGGTCTCCCTGCTTCTCGATCGTCCACCAGTAGCAGCGCTGCAGAGGAACGCCTTCGAAGAGCAGGTTTGACGTCTAAAGCTGCCAAAGACCGGCTGCGCCGTCTGGCACACAAGAAAGTGCGCGGTCCTCTTGGAGTGCTCGTTGAGGGCGAGCAGTCACGATTGCAAGATGTTGAAGGTCTGACAGTTCTCGCAGACAGAGACGTCTGGAGTGGCCAAACTGGTGCGAAGAAGGCTGGCAAGCGCAAGGCGAGCGACGAGGGACCGGACGACAATGAATGGATACAGGTGCAACATAACAAGCAACAGGCAGCTGTCAAGATTCCCAAGACGCTCTCCGCCCACACACTCCCCTCTACCGGCTCTGCAGCTGATCGGGTCTCCAAGAACCCCACCTCTCACGCGATAGTCTCCCTATCCCGCACGCTCCCTGCCGTTCCCTTGCCGCATCCGGGGACGTCCTACAACCCAGACGTAGAAACACATGAAGAGCTTCTCCATCGGGCGTTTGAGGTGGAGAAGGCGAAAGAATTGGACGAGGAGGCTCGACGGCGATTCAAGAAGCGCTGGGAGGAGCTGAGGCAAATCGAACGGGACGATATTATCGCTGATGAGAAGGAAATTAACAAGAGCTGGAATGGCATGAAGTTGGATGTCTCCGACGACGACGACGACGATAGTGGAGAGTCGAAAGCCAGCGCAGACGAGGGCGCCGTGGAGGCGTCTACGACGGCTGTCGCAGCCGGAACAGAAGCGGTAGAAGCAAAGAAAGACCCAAAGCGCAAGACGCAAGCGAAGCGTTCGCGTGCCTTGCGTGCAAAGGAGGAGGCGCGCCTTGCCCTTGAACGCAAGCGGACCAAACACCTTGCGCATCTCCTCACACAAGCGCCCTCATTGCGCAAGCAGCTGGACGCCATGCAGCGCGCACGCCTCACAGCCTCGCTCTCGCGGCGCAAAGCGAAGGAAGAGCACATCGCGCAGCACGGCCTGCAGGGCCGACGCATCGGCAAGTCTGTCGTCCCCGCCAATCTCGAAGTCAACAAGAGCAACGTGCAGCTCGGCGAGGATCTGACGGAAAACCTGCGTGGGCTTAAGACCGAAGGCAACCTCTTCCGTGACCGCTTCCAGCGCATGCAGGCGCGCGCACTTGTCGAGCCTCGCGCGCCCGTCATCGCAAAGAAGAAGCTTGGCAAGAGGGGCGAGAAGGAGTACGAGAGGCATTCGTACAAGCAATTCGTTTGAATGCGGCAGGGCCTAGCACAGCATGTACACTAAATGACGGACTGACTCAGCTATAAGTGCTTGTCACAAATACTGTGTAAGACTACAGGGAAAGTGTTCATTGGGAAGCCTGTTAACCCGATCCAAAAATACGGTATCTTCGCCAAATGTCAACAAGAGAAAATCCACAAAGACTGGACCCAATCTTGGTGCCCGCAAAGCAAGTCATGCTCGAGGCCCAGGTGAAAGGGATGGATAAAAGAAACAATGAACGAACGATAGACCCCTTGACTTGTTGCCCGCATGTGCCTTGAATAGATTGAAAGTGCTGCGATGGGGGGAAGAGGTTGCATGCATGGGATTGACATAGGACTGGCGGATGATAGGAGGATGGTGGTCGATGATCGATGGGCAAGGCGACGAGATGGTCGAAACGTGCTGTTTGCTGGATAATAGTGGTGTTCGTCTTTGTGGTTGTTTGTTGCACCATACAGAGACAGAAGTCTGAACAAACCTGCGACGAGGCTCGGCTCGGGAGCGGAACGAGACGAAATGCAATGCTAGCGAGCCATGATGCAATGTGGAGGGAGCGCAATCAAAAGTCGACACCAAGCAACAGCTGACCCGACGGACCGCGCTCGAGCGACTGCAGTTGACGCGTCGACCAGTCATCGCTGCGAAGTCGCGCAAGCAAACTAGCCTCGTTGGCCGACAAGGAAGCGCTGGCAGCGTGTCGCTGACTGAGGAAACGCGCATTGCTGCTGCTGCTGCCGTTACCAGCGCTGTCTGCCGTGCGCGGGCGGAGTAGCGCTGTCTCCCTTCGTCCAGAGGAAGGAGCAGTCGACGGGCGCGGGCCTCCGGAACTGGAGCGCATGATGCGCGGCGGTGGCGCGACGAGCGAGCCAAGCGGTTCTACACCTGCGGTACTGGCGGAGCCGGTGCCTGAGCCTGCAGCAGCAGTTGCAGGCCGGCGACGTGAGGCGTTGGTGCTTCCGCGTGAGGCCGTAGTGGCGGATTCATAGATGGGTGCAGCGGCCGCGAGACCTCCGACGGCTGGCGGCATGACACCTGGGCGTTTGCGAACGACGGCTGGCGCTCGCGCGGAGAGGTCGGCCGCGGATGAGGCATCACAGATCGACCGTCCATCGTCAGATGACAGATCCGATATGCCGACCGGTGCTGCTGCTGCTGATGTGAGTTGCTGCTGATCGTCATTCTGTGACATGTCTTCCTCAACAATCGTTTCGTCGGCGGGTTGCGCATAGCGCGCATTAGCTAACGCCGACAATGCGTTGGCCGGGAGGCCGCCATCGATGAAGCGCCTTATCCCAAGCGACTGCGACGCGTGCACGTCGTGGTCCGCCTGGCTGTATTCGGGCAGGCGGTCCGGCGAGTTGACGGCGGTGACAGTGGAAGAGGGTGAGATAGGCGATTGAGGGTTATTGCTGTTGTCGGCGCGGAGCGGGGTCAAGCCGGCGTGGGTAACCTGGCGCATCTCCTTTTGATCCATGGGCGGTGTGCGTGCGCTGTGGCCCGGACCGGTACGTGAGACAGCCGAGGAGGAGCTATTGCGGCGAGGCGAGAGCGCAAAGCTCTCAGAGTGGTAGTACTCGCCCTGTTTGCCACGCTGCTGCTGCTTGCTGCGGTTACCCCAGCGCGTGGAAAAGCCGCCCTTGTTGCTACCACCGCTCCCACCGCCAATATTGTGACCAGAAGCGTGATCGTCGGCGCCATAGTCATCCTCGTCGCCGTATTTCTTCTCATCGACTTGGAGGTAGCTAATGTCGTGCGAGATAACGCTGTGCGTTTTGCGGCTTTGGTGGTCGGACGCGCGTTCTTCGGCCTCCTGCATCAAGCTGGATGGGTAACGGCGGCGGAGCTCAATGACGACCTCGTGCTCAAAGTCGTCCGCCTGACGACCGCGGAGAAGCATCATCTGCGATTTGGAAAAGAGCGTGTATGGTGTAAAGACAAACGGAGTGCCGTTACCGGGGCGGTCCGTCGGCACCGTCTCAGCGGCAGCTGCGTTGACCAGCTCCGAGTACGAGTTGGGGCTTACGCGCGCCTCGGGCAAGACGGCCTGGATCAGGATCATCTCTGCCGGGGCCGTCGAGTCGTCGAGCGTCGACGGCACCTCGAGCACCTCAGCGCTGATGCGGGCTGTCTGCGCGATGCGCGGGTAGAAGCGGACCGAGTTGTGCAGCGCGTCGAGCGCAATAAAGAGCGCCGTCTGGAACTGTATCATCAGCTCGACATTCTCATCGTCGGTCGCGGCAATGTCGCCTTTGGCATCCTGCTGTTGTGCGGTGGCAAGGCCGTTCACGTAACGCCGCTGCTCGCCTGAACGGATCGATTCGCGCTCGCACACCTTCATCGCCTCCTCCATCGTCATCTGGTCGAGCATGCGGAGGAAGACGCGCATATCGGGTGTGATCTTAGCAACGTCCGGCAGCCGGTACGCGGGGATCTGATGGCGGGCAAAGTTGTACACAAGCACGTCGAGGCCTCCCTGTCTGCTCGTAGATGGACGGACGCCAAAGAGGCCTGCATATACGCCGCCAGGTTGGACGACAGGGCGCGTGCCGCGCTTGGCGTACAAGCGCAGCGAGTCGAGCATCACTTCCATCTCGGGCTTGGTCACCGCGACGCGGTCAGCGAGCACGCCAGCGAGGAAGCGCGTCTCGGTCATGCGGTAGCCACGCTGGCGATACTTTTCAGCATTCTCCGCGGCGTCCTTGGCGCCGCTGCTGCCAGGAAGCTCGCGGACGAGGAAAAGCATCAAGCCTTCCTCCTCGTTCTCGCCGTCGCCAAAGATGCTGGGGACATGGCCGTTGATCGAGCTCTCATCGTCAAAGCGCTCGAGCGTCTCGCGATGCGGCTTGAACTCGTGGCCATTGTTGGCCGCCTGCAGTGCCACCTTGCGCGTGCCTGTGGGGAAGACGCGGTCGTACAGGACGCCAATCTGCTGCAGGGGGATGTCGAGCTCAAAGCTTAGGTGGTTGGCCGCGTCAATGAAGCGGTCGCGGAACTCGGCGAGGGCAGCGGGGCCCTTGTTGGGCATGCTGCTAAGCGCGTCGATGCTGCGACGGCTCTTGTTGAGAGCCTTGACTTTGAAGAGACCGGCGCCGCCGCCGGAGTGGCGTTGCGATGCGCGGCGCTGCTCCTCTTGGTCCTTGGCGAAGAAAAAGGCGGTGATGGCGCGAAGGAATGGCGCGACAATGTTCCAGTCCCACGAGATGGAATAAAGCCACTGGAACGTCGGCTGGCGGTTGTCGAGATAATCGAGCATGTCCTTAATCTGGATCTGCGTTTCGATGACCATCATGGGCATGGTTCCGTCCTGCTTGACCAGCAGACGGCCCTGCTTGTCAAACGTGGCCGAGCAGACGACGACTTTACGCGCCTTGTTGCGCGCATCGCGCGCCGTGAGCACGTCCGAGACGGGGATGAAGGTCGAAAAGACAATGATGGCAAAGCACATGACGCCAATGGCGATCGTTACGACGTTGCTCTGGTAGCTTCCCGTGCTGAGGATGCCGGGGACCGCCGTCGGGTCAGGCGGGACATAGTACGACGTTCCGGCGGCGCCTAGGTAGTGCATGCCCGAGACGCCTGCACCGAGGATAGTTGCGCACACGAGCCGCTTCCACCAGCTGTCCTCCCACTGCGCGCGGAAGCGGAAGAACGAGAAGAGCGCAATCGTGGCGGCGACACAGCCGAGCAGGATGGAGAACGAAGTGTGAATGGGATTGTACGTGACGACAAAGTTGGCCTTGAATGAGGCCGAATAGTGCATTAGAGAGACGATCAGGCCGGTAATCACGCCGGAGAGACAGACGCGCCACATCGAAAATGAGACGACATCGTCGACAAAAAAGAAGGCAATGACGAGCGAGATGGTCGGAACGAATAGACTGAACACCGTGAAGCCGGGGCTGAACTGGACATACCAGCTCACGTTGGGGATCGGCCGGAGGGAAAAGTGCATGCCGATAAAGTGCTGCGGGAGTCATGAGACGAGATGGTTTAGCACACTTTTTCATAATGCAGGCTCACCACTCTACGGTCATGCTTGCACTCACCATGCCCCAGATTCCGACACACGCCATGACTGCAGCAGGGTGGAACAGTGCATGGCACGGGTACGGTAATAGCGTCAGCGGAGGAACAGATACGACGGCATCGCGGTCAACTCACCCGAGGCAGCCATGACCAGAAGAGTAATGTTGCGCGCGCCTTTGTTGCTCGTGCGCTTGCCGAGCAGCAACAGGGTTGAATACGAACCGAGAATGGCGACTGCGATGGACGCGACGATGATTCCGGGGTTGTAGACTTGAGGGATCGCATGCACCGTGTAGTACAAAGCTACATCTGTGAGGTCTGCCCGTGCCGAGTACACACAATGTGAAGAAAGTTGGGAGAGAAGGAGCGTGACCGTCAGCTCTAATCGGCAAAACTCGCTTGAGGCTGCTGTACTCACTGCTGGAGTGGAGATATGCATCTGAGACGGTTGTTGTGCCCTCCCCAGCTCGGACCCATACCGGGCTGGCGAGGGCCCCTGTAACCAGATCTAAAGGTGATCGGGCCATGGTGGAGAGCGCTTGCAAGGATCGGCGGCAAAGGCAGGCGAGCGAACAGGCCGTAGTCCAACGTTGCTAGCTAGCCAGCTCCTCAGCTGGCATGCGGTCGGACGACGAGGTGCGGCTTGAATGGCGTGAGGTGGATGTATGCGCGTAAATAGGAGGGGGAGTAGAGAAGACGTGGGTGGAGAGGGAAGGAAAAATGAAAAAGATGCAACGACGACGAGAGGTGGTTCGAAGGAGATGATATCGAATAGGACAACGATAATGATGAGGAGGTCGCTGCCGAGGGAGCGCCCTTTCAGTTTCCTGATTGTTGCTGTGCTATCTTTAAGCAGGTTGCTGAGTAAACACCACGAGTCTCAGCGAGTCAGTGGGGTCTTGACGAATGAGGAAACGATGCAAGAGCACCACAGGAAGTGTGGCTTCTGACCAATTCGCCGAAAGAGTAGTGGTAGTAATAGTAATCGTAGTAGAAGAAAAAGTGCGCAGGCTCTGCCGCAGAACACACGGTGCGAAACGTGGGTGGGAGGGATATTCCGATCGCTCCTACCACTCTCTGACGGCGATACAAACTAGGCGACGGGGAAGATGATGTGATCCAACCGATGGCAAGCAAACGAAAGCGAAAGCCAGAGCAGCCAGCCATTCCAGATCGAGGAAGAGGGAGTGGGTGAGGAGAACAGACGGGCCTGGGGCAGCGAGACAGCACCACACAGCAGACACCACCGCCCGCGTTCACCGTGTCCCATGACCCTGTGGCTGACAGGCGATGGCCATTTTTCTCTGTTGACATCTTAAAGTCACACTGTCTCCCCCGCCCCCTCGCAGCAGTCCACCCGTGATTCCCCTGCTGCAGCACAGTCTCTAGCGCGAATGGGAGAAACCGCCAAGAGTATGTGATTGAGAGGATGAGTATGTATGCATGGCACAGTGGACAGGGAGAGTGGCGGAGAGCAGAGATGAGATGATGTGGCTTGCAGCATTCAAGGGGGCGCACGCCCTGCCCCGGCGCCCCAGGGGTGGGAGGGATGGGGTGGAAAAGCTCCTCGGCTCCCCCTCCCGCGGCCGAGCGCAGCACAAATTGACATATTACAGAAACACCCCCCGGTCGGTTGGCATTTGCACGTTTGACTAAAAGGGAAAGAACAGCAAAGCAATCTCCTATCTTTCATCCAGTCATCCCGTCTCAGACTCCCTGCATCTCTTCCACCCCCTTTCCTCTCCTCGATCATTCTCTTTTTGGGCGTGTTGCCAGTCCCTTTTCTGCCGCACTAAGCCGCAAGTCTGCCACGCGTCAGATCGTCGCGCGGTTCTTGAATCCACAAAAGTGGATGGGATTGCATAGTCCCTTCTCATCTCTGTCTTCTATTTCCTGCACCGAGCGCGTTGTTGAGATACTGTCAAATAGGAGGACGATGCGGCTACAACTCTCTGTACATTCACAGTGTGCAGCATCATGAGCGCATGCATCGTTGACACAACTCAAACTCTTTTTCGCTCAACATGCAGACACGGACGAAAGGGAGTTTTCGCTGCGGGCACTAGCGCGGCAATAAGGTTTGAAAATAAGCAGTATTGCCTCTTGTGTGGCGCATTTCTCACAGGTTCCTCGACAAAAATAGCAGAACAACAAAGAGAGAGAAACGGCAGGCGCTGTACATTGCTCTGTCCACTATACCCGCCACTTAGGTGCTCGCATGCAGTGCCGAAAAAGAAAGTCAGAAAAGACATTGCATCACTCTACAACCTGCTGCAATAGACTGCAAAGTGCAAGCAGCCAATAACTGCTCGGTTCTGGGTCGCTCAGGTGAATTCATATGTACAGACAACCAGATTGCAAAGGGGAAGAGTGCGAAATGTTTGAGATATAATAGTAACGATTTCTGTATACTCTTATCTCATATAATTCAAACCCAAAGCCGCTCAGAATCCGAAAAGGGGAAAACGCCCTCGTTTCGTTTCCATGGGACCTGTCGCGGCCGTGCATAATGCATAGAAACAAGCACACCAAACACGCGTGGTGGCCCTTATGTACAAGTTTCATCAGTACAGTTTAACATGCATGCAAAGCTTCATCCATGCATAGTCGCATAAACTCGTTCACACAGGGCATATGTTGTATCGTCGATGAAGATAGCTTTCCTTTCTGGGGTGCTTGGGCCTTTCTGTTTCCGTTCAGTAATGCGTTGGACCGCGTTAACCCATCACTGGCTGGACTGGGCCAAAGCAAGTCTGAGGGAGGTGAGACCGAGAGTATGATACTGAATCGATGACATTTTACATTTCGCATTTAGCATTGATCCTAGGTATATGTATACCATATATATGCATACAAATGTCTGTGCATACATACTCTCGACTAGCAGAGAGTCTGAGACACTGAAGCCTGATATCTGTGTACATTGAATGCAGGGTTGGAAGCCGGAAGAAGGTGCCCTGGCGTGGCTGGTGAGGCGACGAGAGGGGGTGGCAACTCGCGTTTCGCAAAAGGGGTTGCGGCCACAAGCTACGAGCGACAGCTGAAGACTCGAACAGAGTCAAAGACTCGAACAGAGTCAACATGACCTTGCAACCTCACGTTGTACTCCAAGCCCACCCTTCCTCCACCCTCCCCTTTCCGACCTCTGCAGTCCGCGCGTTTCTTATTTTAGATTTCTCACGTCTGGATCCCTGATCATGCAGCAGCAGCGAGGTGCATCAAGGAACAGTGTGTTCATTTTGCTCAATCCGCTGGAGCCTGGAAGCTGGGCTGGTTTGAATTCTGTTTTTTGGTAGCCACTGGGATCGACCCAAGGGGCCACGATGCAGGACGCCACAATGGCGTGCCCATCCAAACCCAATCATGACTTTGCTAGTCCCCTCCCTCTCGTTATTGTCGGGTGACACACCGCGCGACGCGACGCGATTGGGCGCAACAGCGAGAAGCGTGACTGCACAGCTTTTCGCCGTCAACTTCCAGGCTTAGCAGTTTGGTCGGAAGGGTTCATCGATCTTCTGTAACCGGATCAAGCGAGCTGCAAGCGGCACAAGCCAATTTGAATATGTATAGCATCACCACCAGTGTCATCAGTCAACATGCCAACACTGGACAAGGCAAGTGAAGACCCTCTGCATCGTCTGGGGGAGTGGGGAAGCAGGTCTGCTTGCGCTTGGCCGTGGCCGCGTCGTACCCTGTTGCAGCGCTCCCCAACGGGCGTATCGCTCGGCGCACCTATCGCAGCTGACCGACGGCAGCTCTGCTCAGCCTGTAGATGGCAGACAAGAAGATCCATTCACCCCGCTCTCTCGCGCTTGCACTCGCAGGCGCTCGTTCCACGAGTGTCGAGCAGCTCAAGCGCTGCGCGAGGAGATGTATGCACATACACATATACATCTTTCTCCAGCGTTCAGGCCGTGTTGCGCAAGACGCTGGAAGACTCGTTGCATTAGGCACGATATGGTCTGCGGAAGGTCTGCACTCTCTGCTGTGCGCTTGCATGTGTACACACTGCAAGAGCAACGCTCGGACTTGCCGTGATACGCGCACCTTCTAGCCGCTACCTCGTTGTCAGTCAACCGCCTTTGGCAGCCTTCAACGCCGCCATACGCGCCTTCCTCTCCTCTCTCTGTCTCTGCATCTCTGCGCGCTTCTCCTCCTTCGTGAGCACCTTGACTGCTGGCGCTGGCGCCGGCGCCGATACGGGCACCTCTTCCAACACATCATCGAGCGTTCCCCAATCGTGCTCTGCGACTGCTGGCTCCGCTGTGGCTTCCCCCTCTTCTTCGCCTGCCGGGGGTGTTGGCATCGGTGACGGTACGTGTGCTTCGAGAGTTGCAATCAGCGGCGCCGGGTCGATGAACGCCGCAACCGTCAGCTGCATCGAGTCGCTCATGCCTGCGGCCGCCGCACCATCTCCACTGTCTGGCGCGCCGCCACAGCCCGTGTCCCAGCTGTCCCCCCACGCATGCTCATCCTCTGCGGGCGCCTGCTGCACAGCCAGCGCCTTGCGATGGATCCTGCTGCTCAACGGAGCTGCCGCTGCTGCATTCTCCTGCAGAATCGTGTTCGCCAGGCTTACCTTCTTCCCAGCACCGAGGGCGAGCTTCTTGGAGCCGCCAAGAATGCCAGGCAAATTCGCTCTTGCAGCAGATGCACCTGCAGCACATCGCTCGTCCATTGCCTCCCACTCTCCCGCGTCCTCTGACGGGTCGGGAGAGAACACCGTAGTAGACGCCGCAGATGAGGACGCCGCGCTGCTGTGGGCCTTGAAGCCGTTGGCGCGCTGCGGCGAAATGGGCAGCACTGGCGCTGCAGCAGATGATGCAGCTGCCGGTGTCAGCGTGGCGGAACCGCGCAGAGCGCCAGGCCTGTTGCCATCCATGCTCGTGTTCTGCAGCTCGGATGCGGAAGTCTGCTTGCTGAACTGCGACATGGCGGACGACATAGCCCAGCCGGCCAGGACGGACGCGGCGTTCGTCGCGCTCGCCGCCGTCGGATTGAGCCGCAGCGACGCAACCGCCTGCGCTGCACTGCTGACATCCGTGCCTTCACCATCGGGCGGGAGCGCTGTCTCGGGCAGCGTCGCTGCGACCTCGCGCACGCGCTTGAGGAATACATCCACTGCCTTGTTCGCTTGATCGCGCACAATCTTTTCTCGGTCCATCAGGCATGGCATTGCAGCGGGCAGCACCTGTCGTGCTAGGTCCTCCGCATCGAACGCATCGCCCGTCGCGATGAGCGCCATGAGGCCGGCGACGCGCGCGTGCACGAATGTGTCCTTCAGCGAGCGTGCGAATGCAGGGACAAGGACCGTCTTCTTGGTGTTGTTGGACAGGAAAGGCACCAGCCGCCCGATCAAAATGGTGGTGTTCGTTCGAATGCTGGGCTCCGAGTCCGTTTGCGTCTTAGCGAGGACTCTGAGGAGCTCATTGTTGAGGATTCTGTCGCTCAGTTTAGGCGCCAGCGGGAGAATTGACTTGAGCGTCGCCTCTCTGATGGCCGCCACTGAGTCGCAGAGCCCATTGATTAGTTTCGGCCAGATCTTTTCGACGACCATCTTGTTGTCCAGTCGATCTGAGTAGGCGTCAAGGTTATCCAGCAGTGTCATGCGCATCCCTCTATCTGGGCTCATGTACGCTGTCTCGATCGCTGGCGCCATGAGGACCCGCCACTCAGTGTCCGACATCGACTTAGCCAAACGTAGACAGAGAGGAATCAATTTGGACCCTTGGAACAAACTTGGTGTCGTGCTCTGCGGATTCGGTTGGAATGACAGAGCGTTCAATAGCACGGGGAGGACCTTGTACTGAACGAATGGTGCAGGCAGAGCCTCGGGTGATGACTCAAGCATCCTGTCGAGAGCAAAGACAGACGCAGATGATCAGCAGCTGCGCGCTCTCGAACGCGCACAGACGAATGGCTATCGCAGTACACTTACCTGACAATGGCGCCTCTTTCGCTTTCCGCTGCCAGCATGAAATTGTCTATCCCAGCTGCGACCTGCACAAGCCTGTTCGTCACGAAGTATCCGCCTTCCGCCTGACCCTGCTCGAGGAATTGCGTGGTGGAGGCTCTTGTCTTAGCATTAGGCGTCAACATGCGCTTGAACATGCTGTAAAAAGGCGCGGGGACCTTGCCTTGTGCTGGCACACCTGCTGTTGGCGGCAGGGTGCCATTGTAAGCCTCAAACCCGGCTATCGCCAAACCGTAGGAGTCAATCACATAAGCAGGCATCCCTATCAGCGCCTTGCACCCCCCCTGCCGCGCTTCAGGTGGCAATATTCGCGCTGCGTCGGGTAGCAGGTTCCCCATTATATAGAACACTCCTTGGTCCTCCTTGGTTGACGTCAGCGTCTCGAAACCTCCGATCTTCCACTCTCCTGAAGAGGCGATGAACATGCTCTCCACACGCACATTCCCGTGTATTGAGTTTGCATCGACATTGATGAATTTTAGTGCGTTTGCGATTCGGCTCAGACCCCATCCGACCCATTCGCTCTGCGACGGAAGCTCTTCCTCCAGCATGTCCGCCAATGGCTTGACGACCTCCACAGCAATGTAGACAGCATTCTGTGTCTCTACACTGTCATAGAAGCGCAGCACATCCGGGTGCCGCATGATCCTGAGCTTGCGTGCGGCATTCTGTGCGAGGGGCAGCAAGGCGCGGCGCGGACTGTGGGCCGGCTGAGTGGCATCAAAGATGAGGATGCTAACTGCGCTGCCATCGTCACGCTTGCTTCCAGCGTGCAAGGACCAGATGGTCTTGCCTTCGAAGCGGGTATTCTTTTCGCCGATGTTGAAGTTGGGGAACGGCCCGCCGGTCTGCGCCAATACCGCCGACGTTAAAGACTTGAGGTACTCCATCTTGCCGAAGGCGATCGCGTGGTCCGCCTATGGGCAGGTATAACAAGCTAGTGGCCGTCTCTTCCCCGCCCTTTCCCGCCCAGGGAATTCACCGTGCCTATTGAAGACGCCCCTAGCTCCTTCGCTCGCATCAAGGGATGTAGCACTGAGTTGATCAACCTGGAGGTACTTGAGGGCAATACTGATTAGCAAACATGTTGGTCGATGGTGCGGCGCTTCCCTCCTGTTTTGGATATATCTCGTAAAATAAAATAGACGTCACAAGACGCCGGCGGCCGAAAGACGCGCAAAAGAAGTCACCGAACAAATGCCGCCGCCCTGCTGATCTCCATCTCATCTATTCCCGGCGAGGGATGAGAAGCGAGAAGAGGGGAGAGAGCAACTAGAGTAGACCAAGTGGTGGTAATAAAGAATAAAGAATAAGGAACACGCCGTACGTATGTCGTAGAGTCGTGCGCAACCGTGCTGGCGCATTGCTTTCTCCCAGGAGCAAGCCAGTTAACCAAAGCATGCACCAATCAATATTCGGTATTCTGTATTAAAGTACTCAGTATTGCTCCTCTAACGCGGGCACTGATCCTCCATCCCCTCACCCATTCGAGCCGGGTTGCGCATCCCGCACCCCTCTGCTCCTTGGAGTTGCTACGAAAGCCCCGAGCGACGCAAAGGATGGGCCAGCCCCGGTTGCGTAGGCCGTGAGCTCAACAAATATGGATCAGCGGAAAGCACCTCCATCAGCCACGAGATCAAACAGCGACTCCAGTGGCAGGGCGAACGACGCGATGGTCCCAGTCGAGAATGACAATCCAATGCGAGCGCCAAGTGCAGCATCCATGCTGTTGCAAGCGTCGCCCGCGGCCAAAGGCGCCTCCCACCGACAGCAAGCGCTGAAGGCGAGTGGCAATCATGCCGCTCCGGTGATCGCCAATGGGCATCATGCGGCCATTCCGCAAGGTCAGGCAGGGCCCTCCAAGGTGGCTTTGAGCTCGCAATCACCTACATCCAGCTCGAATTCAGGCATCGCCGGGCTTCCGGTGCGATCACCAGCCACTGCTTCTACTACTTCTGCAATGGCACCAAGCCCAGCGCTGCACCAACTGCAATACCAGCTACAGCAACAGCAGCAGGGCAGTCGGAAGTACGTGCCTCCGCTGAGTGCACGGGCCATGGAGAAGCGACCCATGCTCGACTTGCAAATCCCGCTGGAGAGGTTAGAAGCCGAAGTACAGCATGAGCCCGAGGGCCTTATACCATTGACCGACGTGGTCACGAGACTGGCGAACTATGGCTACGAGAGCTTGCAGAATTTGGGAGAAACGTGAGCTGTCGGCCGTCCCATGGAATATCTGCGAGTGCAATGATGCCGACTGCTCACTTCCCCTCTTGGCCAGCATGAGCTCCCTCTCAGGTGAACAGCGTCGAAGCAAGATCTACAACACGGCTCTCGAGGCCCGCCGACAATTCATCAAGCTGCTAGTGCTTTCCATATGGAGCAGCAAGGCCCCAGGCATCATTAGAACGAGGGTTGGTCACTCCACGCATGTGATGGCTTCCATGTGATGCTCACGCTAGATGCAAACCCACCCTTGCAGGATCTGATTGGCCTAGTTAACGAGCAATTCAATCAGAGCAACGACGTTGTTCAAGAGTTGACTGCGATTCGGCGATCGCTTCCCAATTCAAGGTGCGTGCGAGGCAGATCATCAGCACACACACCATCCCACTGATGCCCGTCGCACACCTTTTTTTAAACCAGAGCCCGCCAATACGATCTGGAAACTGCGGCAGATGTCCTGAATACAGGCACGTACTCTCGTGCACCTCATTCAGTCGGAGGGTTCTACGAAGTCCAAAGAGAATACACTGATGCAGAGGCGAAGCAGATTGTTGAGGAGCTCAACGAAGCCATCCAAATCCGTCTGAGCTGCGGAGAGAATCTCCCGGATGAGTTGTGTGACTACTCGATCGTGGATGGGAGGGCCATCTTGCGCGCCTCGAATCTATTCGAAGCGTCGATTACTCTCTCTGGCAAAGACCCACAAGATCGATGGTACCTGCTGTCCATCGAATTCGATATCTCTGTCGTTGGGACTGGCTCACAGCATTTTCCACGGCAGCCGAGCAAGTTGCAGCGAACGCGAATCCAGACGCAGGCGGACGCTGTCCTCACGCCGCGAGGTCTCGAACCGGAAGGAGGCCTCGTAGCAGAGACGGAGGCCAAGCCGCCAGATCGGGACATGGCTGGCTGCAGTTCTGATCCAGAGGCTCTGACCCGGCTTTTTTCTTTCCTTCGTGAGTGCCAATAACGAAAGTTTCGCCGTTGGCAGTATCTGATCTGCTTTTTTCTCGTCTCGCTTTCAGGCACGTGCGCTTTGGGTTATCAGCTCGAAGCCTTGCATTATCAGGCGCGACAACTTGTTTCACAAGAATGGGGCGCAAACCTGGCGGTCGAGTGGCATCCAGGACGGTCTTTACAGCTCAGGTATTGGAAGTGGGTTTGCTGAGTGTATCAGTTGTGTGCTATCAGGTGCGCTAATACTGACCTCTTCACCGTGCAGTCTCCTCGTGCCTCCAGCACAAAATCGATCGCAAGCAGTAGCACGGAAACCGCAAGATTTGCTCACGAGTGGTGTCATCATCATTGAAGTCCCTTCAGAAGATACGGGTTCTAGCGATGACGAAGGGGAGGGCCTGCAGCGTCGCTCAAATGCAAGACTGACAGTAAAGAGGCCCGCCTCGAATGTTTGTGGCGCAGATGATCCACAAGTGGTAGGTGCTCGAAATACTAACTTCGATTAAGCCGGAGGTTGAAGAAGCATCGCTGCCCTTTCAGAATTGCAAAGAGCTCGATCTCGGGCAGATCATGCGCACCGTGACGGCCGAGCAGGCCCAGCATAGTCTGCTGCGTATCGTGAAGGCCGCGCTCCCAGCTGACGAGCCCACAGCACTGTTGGACATCGCCCGGCGGCGGGTGAGTGTCGAGCTCGCGCTTCCCGCAGGACGGAGCCTCGAAGTCAGTTTGTCGTGCGTGTCAGGGAGGCTGGATCTTCATCTCGCCGACAACGCAGAAGGCCGCCAGCCGACAGCCCTGGCCAAGGCGCTTGGTAGCTTTGCGGGTCTGCTGGCAGACAGCACTGCGCGCGTCAATGCTGATCCTCGCCGTTTTGCGGATGTCTGGAGGGCGATCAGACTCGAGGTCATGATGCAGGATACGGAGCAGCGTCTCGCCTTTGCCGGACTGCAGAGTACGAGGAAGCTTCCATTTGCGGATGGAGGTGAGTTACCAGTGTAGGACAAGAAAGCCCCCCATCTCGCCGCTCATGTGTGTCACGCTTTACAGAGGTGCTCAAGCTGGATGGGATGCGCCGATTCGCATTCATTTATGCTCCTGTCGACCGTTGGCCCTCTTATTATCTTATTGTCGCTATTTCAGCCGAGGACATTAGGGTCGGGCTCATCTGTGCGGACTTCTCTCCCTCGGGTGGAGCGCTATTCACCATCCATTCGATTGAATGGATCGACCGGGAACGGATTCGCGAAGCGGCGGGCGAAGCTGCCCACGCATTCCCCCTCATGCTGACCGCAAACGAGATTCGGCAGGCTCACAATTACTGCATCGCCATCATTTGCTACTTTAGGGTGGAGCAGCAGCTCAATAATTGGCAGGTCCCCTTCGCTCGCGTGCGTTCGTGGCCACCCCAGCTGCAGGAAGAGAGACAGCTTGCAACGCGCGAGGTCCATCCGTCCAAGATTGACGCGCTCATACCGTGCCTCTCGCTCAACAGCCAGGAGCTCCTAGGGGAGTTCAGTGAGATGGTCAAGCCCAATGTCTTCCTCTGCATTGACGACTGGTGGGAGCGCACCAATGTGCACGCACGATTCGCTATCTGCTGGAAAGCGAATCTGGGCATCTCTGCCGAATCGACCAACACTCCGGAAGGGTTACGCGTCTCTTACGATCCCAGCACGAGGATCATGCGCATCTCGGCATCCGACATAGATCGCTGCGTAGACGCATTCAAGCTGTTCGCTCTGCGCATTTCGCGCGTTGCCGTCTTGGCGAAGGCGGTCGCACGTGTGCAGAAGCGTAAAATCATCCCAAAGCTCAGGCTCAACGAGCTCAGTCTCAGCCAGATCAGCTTTGAGTACTGCGGCGGCTTCACAGCCACGGTGCGGTGGGTGATGCATCTAGGCGGACAGTGGCAATATCGTCTCAGCCTTCTGGCGCGAGACGCGGCGGAGAACCCGCACAAGCTCATCGAGCGCCATTTAGAGGCTTACTTGAACAACACAACAACTTCCTCGTCCGTCCACTGGCTCCGCTTCTTGCGTGTGAGTCACTGTCTCTCAAATGGCCGTTGGAGAATCGCTTTTGACACGTACTTGTTTCTAGCTTCTCCGTGATACCTTCCCAATGCTCGATTCTCTGCAAGCACTTCAAAAAAGCGGCGAAGGAACGTCCCAACAGCTCACAATTGAGGCTTTGAGCGTATCGCAAGTCCTGGTCCTCTTTCGGAAGAAGTGAGTACATCAACAGGTAGGATCACGTAGCGCTGGGCCGTTCAATGACCGAACTTGCGTCAAACCGTTCAGCTGTGCTCTCGACATTCGCCTCATCTCAGGCTCACGCCTGCTGCTTTCGGACGGGTATCGATGCGGCTTACACTCTGGGCAATACCCTACTCTGGGCTTCAACCCGCGCGCGCCTCGCGTGCAGCTCCCAGAATTCTGCAAGGTCGTGCAGAGCACATATGAGCAAAGCAAGCTTGAGCTTGAGCCTCTGGTCGCCAAACTTGCAGAGGAAAGTGCTTCGCCGGAGGCAGCAATAGGCAAAGGAATCGATTCTCACGCTGCAGCGCGTAAGGGCACTGTACAGCCGCTCGTAACGAACCTGCGCCACAGCCTTTTGTGCCGGGCAGACGACGAAGTGGCACGACCGATCGTTACCATGTTGGTCACACGCATCCTTTCTGGCCATACAATGTAATCCGCTGCGAGTCAAGCATCAAAAATACGGCGAAGGTGTCTCCCATACTTTTCTGTACTACCGCCGAGGTGGAGGCCTTGAGTCTCTCGCTTCCTTGCTCGCTGCCCAGACCGGACCGCTGTCATCCTGCTCTCGCGCTCGCTGAGAATCCGAGATACTGCCACTTCAGCCGACGTACGGCATGAGTCGTAACCAAGGGTCCCGTACTCACTGCTATTTGTTCTGCGAGCGCTGCCTTTCGGGCAGCCGCTTGTCGCTGCTGGTCCACTTGCCGCTTCAGATCAGGACTCAATTTCTAGCGTTGCATCAAAATTTCAGGCGAGTGAGTAGGTAGGGTGGGGTCAGATGCTGTCGTCGCTCCAGTCGGTGGACCGTCGGACACTCACGTCGTAGAATTCTTTCTCAGAGGGAGTCGTCCCTGTCGGACAAGGAAAGGTGGTTGTGATAGCGTATCAGCAGCAGCAGAGCGAAGTACGCGGTTGCGACTGCACTCGGCTCACCCTTCATGATCGCCCAGCCTAGAGCGACGATGGCTGCGCCGCCAAGTATACCTCGGCCCCAAGGTACTGGTTTGCTCATGTTGATTATGTCCGCGATGTTGTCACCCCACTTCCTTGATCCTGCCTACCAGAACAAAGCGAAGAAAAGGCTCGATCCATATCTCAGGTTGGATACATATATCCTGTGGCAGAACGTAGAATCATGGATCGATTTAAGGGCTTGTGTGGTGTGCCCAAAACCCGCTGCAGCGCCTCGCGTGACTTGGGTGCTCACGATGATGTCAGCAGCAATCGCATATCAACCGACGACCAACCAGAACAGCATGGTCG